GCGTGGGCCATGTGATATAGAAGGATTGCAAATTTATTTGGCACGGTGAAGACACGTGGCGGTCAATCCTGACATACGGAGCAGGCGTTATTATAGTTTTGGGTTTTTGTGGGGTAACCTATAAGAAAGTTCAATTTGCTTCTAAACACGTACGTGTCGCTCTTCTTCCAGTTTGGATATTTTGGCATCCCGACGTCAAAGAGCTTCAACACCAAGGGCAGGAAGATCACTCCTGGAGTTATTTGGCCAGGAGTGCAAGGACTCTCAACACACCTCATTTGCGATCGGACGCAGGCAACCTTACTGGTTGAAGTACAAGATCGCAAGACGGCTCAAGTGGTCAGAAGACTCGCGACTTAAGTACCCCATTTTTGGCAAAAGGCGATCAAGGCGGATCGCGGCGACTCTGGGAGAGCTCCAACTAAGAACACGCGATCGGGTGAAAAATTTCCTCTTGATCGACAACAGTGTCTAAAACTGTCACGTCCAGCATCGAGTCAAGTCCACCTAGAAGAGTGCAACCCGCCCTACCGATGGGTACACAACGTGAGGAGGAAACAAGCTCAAGCGAAATCGGAGGTCCCCCTCGTTAGTCGGTCGTCTGAACGCCAGTGTAGATTCGGGGTCGCCTCATAAAATGAGCAAACCCCACTCCACCACACATGCAACCTGTTTTCTGTTGGACGCTTAACGAAAGACGTTGGCTCCGTCACATTTGAAAGTGACGGGCGTTTTTCACAAGTGAAGATTGTGAAGTGGCAGCAAGGCACGCACATGGGAAAGGGCTTGTTTAAGTTATGCATAAACCTGATCATGCCAGATGAGAAAACAGCGTTAAGCTAAAATAGCTGTTGATGCACACCACTTCGTTTCTATAGCATCTTCGACTTGGTCACATTAACTATGGCGGTCTTCATGCCATTTCCAATATGGGCTACGGTGAAGGCATCAACATTACGTTGGTGCAGCATTGGTGAATGTGTGAAGGATGTGCTCTTGGCAATCAAAATTGGGTGATCTTTATGCCAAGGTCTCCAGAGCTTGCAAAGAAGCTGGCAGAGGACATGTGCAGTGATGTCTGCGGTCCAACGCAGACAACAACCTTTGGCGATAGCAGGTACTTTGTCACCTTCATTGACAATTTCTCATACTGGTGTGTGGTGTAAATACTAAGGAAATAGTTAAAGTGGTTGCCAAGTTTTCGATTTAGGCGCATTTGCTGAGACACAGACCAGCGCCCGCGTCGAGCTACTTCGCAGTGACAATGACGGTGAGTACAAACTGCATGAAATGACCAAGATTTTCAGAAATCGTGGCATCGTACAGATATCCACTCCACCTTACACACCTCAACTCAACAGAGTAGGAGAAAGGACAAATAAGACTTTGGTGGAATGCGCTCGATGCATGTTGGAGCATGCTGGTTGTCCAAGGAGCATTGGGAACAAGCCTTCCTAACTGCTACGTTTTTCCGCAATCGATGTCCGACGCGTGCCAAGTAAAGAAAAATCACAACACCAAGTCTGGTCAGGCAATGAGTCACCTCTTGCGACCCTCAAGGTTTTCAGGTGCCACGCGCATGTGACAGTCTTGAAGCAGAAACGCACCACGTTTGATGCACAAACAGTGCATCAAACGTGGTGGTCGCTTTTTAGGTAACATGGAGCACGAGAAAGCGCATCGTTTTCAATAAACCAAGAGCCGTTAAGTTCTGGTGAGTCGCGACACAACGTTCATGGAAGACGACTTCGACAGTGAAAGAAGACAAGAACAAGAAGAATTGGTCATGGACATTCAAGAAGTAATTAACACGGACCAAGAAGAGCACTCCGGACCTAATGAGCATGAAGATGAAGAAGGCATTACACGAAAAAAAATATTTAAAGCCCGGCAGTAAGCGACACTCGCAAAAGCATCCACTGAGCAAAGCAGTGGAGATTCCGATTTCCAGCGTCAGAGCAAAAGAATTTTGTTTAGAGACGTGTCAGCGGTCGCACAAGGCGGGAACAATGTTAGGGCGGCCTACGTTGTGATGTAGTGAAATAAATGCCGATGGCGTTCAAGTCGGCAATGAAATGCAGCAACTAGGCCAGGAAGAAGGAAGTGTGCGGCTCGAAAATAAAGTCTGTTTGCAAAAACAAGACATCACAGCTGGTACATCTACCAAAGGGATGGTTAACGATCGGCCGCAGATGGGATTTTCGGGTAAAATGTAATCAGTCCGGCAAGATAGAGAGGTTCAAAGCGCGCCTTGTGGTCCAGGGATGCTCACAGTAGTACGGCATTGGATGCGAGGAAAGTTTCAAAATAGTCGCCAAGTTAAGTGGTTTTGGTTGTGCTTAGTCAGGCTGCCAAGTGCAATCTTTCCGTACACCAGATGAATGTTAAGACCGCGTTCCTGAAGGGCGAGTTGGATGAAGACATCTACATGGTGCAACTAGACGGCTTCATTGAAAAAGAACACGCTCATCTTCTTTGTAAGCTGCAGCGGTCACTGTACGGACTAAAGCAATCGCCTTGGATGTGGAACAAGACCGTCGACGAGGTTATGCTCAAGATCGGGTATTATGAAGTGCGAGTCAGATCATTGCATATACGTCAAGCGCAATGACCAGTACATGATCTTCGTGGCAATCTACGTTGACGACCTAATAATTGTATAGCATCAGCATGATGCTCCGTGAAGTCAAGTGTGCACTGAGTGAGCGGTTCGAGATGACAGACATGGTTCTGATCAAGTATTTTCTTGTAATCGAGATTGACCAGGACTATTCGAGTGGGAAGGTTAAATTGCGACTGAACAAATTGGCTAAAGCCATTATACAGGATGTTGGCATGCTGCATAGCAACCCAGTAATATTATCACAGGAACCAAAACTCAAGTTATTAAGGCCTTGTGCGAAGGAGGCGGGAAGCACGAAGAAACGATGACAAGCTTGCTCTACTGGAACACCGTTGGATGTATCATGTACCTAATGGTAGGTAGTTGTCCTGATCTTGCAGCTGCAGTGGGAGTAATCAGCCATTTTTCCGCCGACCCGTGTGCAATACACTGGCAAGCACTAACAATAGTTATTCTGTAACGGGGCACCCAATGTGTGGGGTGCCGCGAAACTTCACGTACACTTGTACGTGCAGAGGAAGCTGGTCTACTGAAGCAGCTAGTTTGAGTAAAAGGCAAAAGAGAACAGTATTTAATATAGTTAAGCTATCAATATAACTTCAGTCTTTACATAACTATATTAATCTACATTGTTGTATGACGACAACCTGCTCTCCACTCTTTACGCTCGTCTAGCAGCGATTGGTGGTAACCATGGTTGGTGTGTCTTTATCAACCAATCGTTATGCAGCACGTGAATAGTATCCTGAAAGGGGATACTATTGGTACGGAATCGTCACGCTCGACAATCTCCCTATTAACACCGTTTGGTGTCAATACACGTAATGGGCGACCCCGTTACAGAGTGCGATTCTCACTGAAGTTAGGCGGGCCCAGTCGATATTGTTTGCGACGTAGTAGCTTTGGCTGCACATATTGCGTGTAAGTGTGGTTTTTTGTAATAGTTTCTGCAGCATGTAGACCGATCACATCGATGATAATCAAGCATATTTTGATGCTACTGGCTGCAACCCCGTCAATTATGTACACTCTGATTAGTCACCCCGTTACACCACCATCGCAACAAATACAAATCGCAAACATGTTGCCGGATATAAAACAGGGGTGACGAGTATACCACGCAACGAGACACTCTCAGATTCCGTCATCTTCTTTACAAGAGCGTGGACGTCCACATCTCTTCTGGTTTGCTCATAGAATTCCTTTTATCGTCAAGAGCAAAGTGGCCTTGTATTGTTTGAGTTCAATCAACAAGGTCTACAAAAAATCTTCGCTTCACGCCTGTGTCCTGTCCAGCACAGAAGCAGATGCGGGGTATGTCAGTCATGCTTACTGTGTAGTCATGGAAGCTTCGTCCGGGCTTCCAAAAGACGTCGAAGAGAGATGTGAGCTTGCTTATAAACGGATGGAACTATCTGAAAGCTCGTTGCGTACAGGTCGATCTCAGCCATTTTAATGTGCTTCGTAATGGCCATTCTTGGAATTTCCACATAGCTTTACTACGTCGCCGGTGCGAAGACTAACGGTCGTTTAAGTCGCATCTATGTCTTGACAGTGCTCAGACAAGCAAGAAATGCTGTGTGCAACTAAACGATGCAGCTTTTCTTGATCCATATGCAAGATACTACTGCTATACGATGCAAAGCTTGTCTATGTAGTCCGTACACGAGCACGGACTACCTCTTGTAGTGCCTTCACTCAATTTAGTTGTAGGTTCTTCGCAATATCATTGAGAACTTAAGTATCGCCATCGTCTACAAGCTCGCAGAAAAAAGGTCCCGGTACATTTTAAACCCGGCTTACTACACATATGGACATCAATTTTCAGCTACAGATCCTGGCGAGGAGCTTTCTCTCTGTGGTGTTGCTCTTGCCACGACATTCATTACCTGCACTTCGCAGCAAACGAATTTGTGCGATGATGCGGTGATGAAGAAATTGCTTCTGACTGCGGACTCCGTTATCAACTGGAGTCTTACCGACAAAGTGTTTACTGACACAGTGGCTAGCGAAACAAACAACAAAGTCGAGTTCATCATCCCAACCTGGACTTTATCTCGCATCGGTGATCTTTGTCTTTTATTTGCGAAGTGATGTCCGTATTAACTACCGAGTATCGAGAGGATGAGAAGAGAGGTCGCTGAAAGAATTACATCGGTATCTACAACTGCCCATACAAAAGCGTCGAAATATGAGATGCAAAAACCAGCTACTACGACACCAAGCCATCCTGTCTGGATACAGGAACGGACATGAATAACTTCGATCTATATTTTCCCAATTGCAACTTTCTCGACCGCCCCGAGTGTCATTCTGTACAACTTCTAGCTGCCTCGGCGATCGAAACAGACGAACAAACACTGGTCTTCAGCTTCAGCTAATCGATGGCCTGAAAAGTCAGCAACACGGGCTTGGGCACGTTGCGTAAGTGCATTGTCGACCGCTCGAACCCGAGCTGCCGCACGTCCTTGCTTCCAATCTTTATCAGGATGTCGCCTACGGCCACACGTCGTAGACCGGCACACGTGCTTTTGCCCGTACGTTTCGTAATGAGGACGACAGAACCTTGCTCTGATTGTGCCTCACGCACCGTGAAGCCAAACGGGCCATCCGTCCATTGAATCTGGTAGTACGCGTTCGAATCAATCTCAAAGAACTCGCCCTCCTCAACTTGACCTCCCTTTCGGGCCTCCTGCAGTGCTTGTCGCTGTGACTTGGAAAAAGACTGTTGTTGTTGCAGCGGAACCTGCTGGTGATATACCTGCGGCGGCGGCACCGGCGCCGATTGATGCCGATTAGCGTTGTCTCTATAGCCCTGTCCCGAAGCCATCTGGCCAAACGTCAAGTCCTCTGCTGCTTGTCCAGGCAACAGTGTCTGGCCTTGAGACTTTGCAGAGTTCTGGCGACGAACAATAGGCAAGGAGCTGTTACTGCGCGCACTTCGGTAGCCCAGTATACCTGAGCCGGTCTCCGTCTCACTAGTAGCAGGGCTACAGTGTGAAGACGAGTGGCTCCGCACCGGTGCGAACGCCACTGGTGAACTCGCTACACAAGCAGGAAGTACTGCAGATGAAGTGCGCTGCAGTTGGGGCTGATCACCAGTCACACTCATTGCAGCCATTTGTGTTGTCAAAGGCATCGAGCTCTTGGTAGACTGATCGAGCATATCAGTCTTGCTCGAATACCCGAAAGGTCGACGAAACCGAATCAACGCGGGCTTGGGTACATTCATAATGTACTGCATGGTCTCATGAAACCCGTATTCCTTGGCCAATCGATCATTCACCATCACAATCTCGTCATTCTCCTGAACTTGTGTCAGCTGCTTGGACGTGCCTTTGCCGGTAAACGAGCGGACATACGGTAACCCGTCTGCCGATGTACCCACAACTAATCCGAGCGACCCGTATTCCCATAGAAAGTCATACTCGCCTTCGGCCAGTTCCGGTAACGGTGTCTGAAGTTCATCGGTTAACGGTTTTCGGAACCGAAGCGTAATGGGCTTGGGCATTTCACGGATTATCTGGATAATCGCCGACACCGAGTGGTCTCGTGTCGGTGTCTGATTCACGTAAATCAGTTCATCACCAATCTTCACATCGCGCTCTAAGGCGGTACTGTCGGCTTTACCGGTAAACCGCTTCACACGCGGTAAGTTACTGACCGCATCGGTTGTTAAAACAATACCCAATGGACCGGACGTCCACAAATACGTATACTCGTTCGGCGCCAGGTCCGGCAGGTCGGCCGCGGCCGTCGCACCGGCGCCATATGGCGACAATTGAAGCGTCAGACGCACGGGTTTCGCCACTGCACGCAGCAGCGTCGTCGCTTTAGTCGGGCCCAAGTGGTAGACCTTTTCCGGTCCAATTGCGATCAGTAGATCGCCCGGGACGACGTCCTGCAGCCCGACCGACGCGTCCGTGGCCGTCCGACGGGCGAGACACAAGACCGGGCCCCGGTCGGACTGGACGGGCGTGACCGTGAAGCCGAAGACGGCGCCGTCGACCCACTCGACGACGTACATTTTGCGCTCGTCCAGCTGCACCACCAGGTCCGCTGGCGTCGGCGGCAGCAGCGCGTCCGCAACGTCGGACATGGGCGTCGTCTTTGGTCCGCGATCGAACGCTAATGGGTGTGGTGGGTTTGTGTGTATACTACGAGGGGACCACTGGGAAAAAGGGTGGTACGGAATTTGGGAGCTTGCGTTTTGGGTCGACAGAGGAGGAGGAGCGAGATGGGATCAGTTTTTTTTGGGTCGTGCAACCTAGCTTTTTATCTCGATATAGTGGGAGGGAGACCGCGGTCGGCTCTTTTTTCACGTGGAAAAATAGTCGAAGGATGTTTGTGAGACGATCGTACTGATCTCTTGGCCATGTGCGACTGTTCACGCGATTGAGCGAAATATAGCGATGACGTTCGGCAACACCAGAAGCGTCAATTACGACTGGACAGAGCGATTCTTGAATTGTAGATCAAGCTTAAGATGTAACGTACGCATGTAGCTGAGGAGTCGTTGACAGTGTGGGATCTCCCTCCCCCTGTTGCAGCTGTTGTCTGAGTGCTTTATTTGTGACGGGACGCGGCGTTCGCTTTGGGCAAATCGCTGGACTCGTCCCAGTCGTCACATCGCGTAATACGCACTTCGACCTCGTCCACCACAAAGTTGCCAAGAGCAGGGCGGATCGTTGGTCGTGGTTCTTGATGCCGCACTCTTTGACGATGCAAGAGCCACGCAGAGACGAGGACTCCCACGACCACCCGCATGCGGTGCTGACGAGACGAGTAGGATGTGGAACTCCTGAACGTTGATTGAGGGCTCCTACCCTGTACGATATCGGTGAGCTGCTGCCGGGGACCCGACCGGTTACCCCCGATGGGCCGCTGACACACCTGGACTAGGCCGATCTTGATCACGTTCTAGGCAAGTTCGCTTCCTGGGGCCCGAGAGTCAAGCTCGACGACCATGCCGACAACTCGAAGGCTGAAGTGGAATAGTAGGTACTAGATGAGGGGTGGGTGACAACTGCTGTTGCTGGACCCCTCACCTCGGGGTGTCTGGGTTGTTGTTGCTCTCTGTCGGTTTGCACGCTGCGTCGCCTCCCGTAGCGCACGCAGCAACATGAAGACATTCCTCCTTTAGTCTGGGCCTCACGATAGGAGACTTCCCACATAGGATGAGGAGGCCGCTTGGAGGTCTTCATTGCTTGGCCGTTGTTGCCCGGAGGTGCAAATTGGGAAGTGCAGCTAGGGCAATTACGATTTCTTGACGCGAAGAGGAGATGCAAAGTCTGGCTTTGACACGGACAGGACTCCTACATTCTAGCTAACCTCGAACAGCGGTCGACGGTAAGAACTCGCACCTTTTGGAACTGCAATCCGACTGCATCGAGCTGGCCTTAGGCTATAGAACAGTCCAAATGAAGCCTGCTTGCTCCGTGATGCTTGTCCAGAGAGTGACCATTCTCACAATAATATCAGCGTGTGGGTCAGTCAATGGTCGGTTTGTCAAACCTGCAATAGTTTAGGTCGTCCAAGAGCAGTACGCTGGAACCTCATCTTGTAGAACTGGACAGATTGCTCCGTTGGACAACTTCGAAATGAGAGTGACCGCCACGCACAAGCTGCTGTCTCTCCGACTACACAGTGTACGTACAGTAGCCATTGCTGGAAAGAAATAATCAGCCCCATGATGGCGACGTCGACGTCAACGTAGTTAGCACAGTAGTTAGGAGACCGACCTTACCTTCCAAGTAGAAGTTTGGCATGAAACGCCCTCTTACCCTCATCACTCTACGCTATCTTGCTTCAAATGCCATCAGCGCATACAACGAGGAGGTCGTGCGACAACTGGGATGTTCCATTAGCGCTTGAAAAGAACCAGAGAAGAGCTGAGGTCAAGTCTTTGAAAAAGCAGTCATGACGCAGTCAGTCGAATGTCTTGTTACCGTCTCTACCTTATAGTTGTACATACGAGAGCCTCTATGGTCTCTCTTTCCGTGTCCAAAAATGCAGTGGTGATCGCTGTCAGCTCCGATATAGTTGCAGCGTCTTCTTGACTCGTGCATTTGCGCAACCCACCACAACTATATTTCGTTATCAAAAGTCGTTCTGCATCTCCTGGTTTTTTAGGAGCTCTGGATCGAATCAAAGCCCAACCGCTGCACCAAGCCTGTACTGAGAGCGTGGACAGCTGATCCGGAGCCGTGTGAGCAGGAATTTAGCAGTAGTGATCACCCATTCGATCGTGTTGTTACGAATCTTTCTCGAGTCATTTCTATTTTTAAGGAATTGTGCCGCAAGTGATTTTAACCCGAAGTCTGTTGCCCGAAAGAGCCTACACAAGCAACACGGCAGTATCGGCGTTTTCTGATTCTATCCTTTGGGTGTCGTTGTAGTCTAAGCTTTTATATAGCGGCATGACTCTTTCTCTGCTCCGTAAAAATGGCACATACTCAGATCTCAAAGCACAGGAAACTATGCGAGATCGGAAATGGAGCCTTTACCATATTTTGTCTGTCTCCTTATCAAGACTCTTATGAAAGAGACGTAAGCGAGGGTAAAGTGATCGGTGAAAGCGGGTTATCACCGACTTCCTTTTGACATTCTGTAATATACTGCAATAATCCTCCAGGAAACAAAACGGTCTTCAGCTATCAGAGTACGTACAAAGCATGTTCAGATCTATAAGTGCTGAGTGCTGGCAAGTCTCAAATGATCGCCAGGATAACTGGTCGATGGAGGTGGCAGCAGATTTGGATGTATCCAACGAAAAAGTATGAAACTTTCGTAATATCAGTAGCATCTAGCAACCTACAATCGAATTCGCCATTTCAGCCGAAATGCTGATATGCTATTCCGTTGGACTAATTAGGTGTACCCTTCTCTTCCTCGTATCTCTTTTTCACTCAAGATACCCACATCGAGCGACTAGCCAACATCGACGTAAGTTTGTGATCTCAATCTCTAAGGTCCCGTAATAGCCGACGCATCATGCGGGGAGGCAGTTTAGCGTGCTCGCGTTCTACCAGCTGATTTTGATTTGAGTGCATTGAACAAGAGTTTCTCGTAAGTTAGAGGTTGACGGCTATTGACAAAACAAATGCATACGGTACCGTTTCATATGTGGCGCCTTCAAAATTTGGAATGCATGTGCAATGATACCAGGCATCCTGCAGAACTGCATGTGGTTTCATTGTGTTCGAATGACCAGCATGATATGCGATGACTAGTTCAGGCAGAGCACGTCGCGGATCACTCCTGAGTAAGACGCTGGCGTAGAACTACGCATTGCTACAGAGGAATAACTGGATTGCTTACTTCAGTTTCGAGAAACAGCAAAAAGGAGTGGCTGAGGTCAGGTTATAGTTGGCCAACTTATCGACATCCTACCTGCTCTACAAAAAATGATTGATCACTGGCTTTGGTCACTAAGGATGCTTGTCAAGCGGGATTGACCGACTTTTGCCGAGTAGAATACGAGTGAGCTGGTAGCTTCAAGCAAAAGTTGATCACGTGTCTTGTCGCTTATCAAAAGCTGCATGCCGTACACGTATCAGCACCGGCCAAATTCCGATGATGCTCATTGTACGTTGTTGTACGTGTCATACCACTTGTTTCGAAACGAAACAGCGCAAATTCAGCACAAAGTCGCACGTAACTAGGTATTCAAATCCGGCACTTCTCCACGTGACACGCGCTTCGTGCATTCGTTCAGGTCTTGGGCGCAACATCCTAACGTCTCCATTTCTTTTTGCTAACGGGTTGCTGGTTCCTAGGTCTCTTCTTCGAACTCTGGTTTCTCGTCGCGCCAAAGACCACGGGAGTCTGGTACGTATGAATGGCCAGTAGATGGTACCTCGAAGCAAGCTGCTTGAGTACTTCCTTCACCTCCGACTTGGACAGCCCGTGGGTGATGAATGTTTCTTCGATAAGCAAAGACGTCGTATGGACGCGCTGTACCTTCTCAAGTTTCTGAGCAAGCTGCAGGGCTCTCGCTTTCGCAGCTTTCTCGGCCTTAGCAGAGTTCCGGCCTGGAGGGACTGGAACCGTTTCTTCGCGGGAGGCGTCTTCCACGGGAACTTCTTCCTCAATGGTGGTGTTCATGAATCCAGGGGAAGTAGGTGGTTCAGAATGTCCATTTTGATGATTGGTGGTAGGAGGGTCCATGCTCACGACTTAAGCTCGTGGGAGAAAGTCTTATGTCCAAGAACTCACGGGAGAAAGTATTCTGGATCCGGCCGTCGGTCTGACGGACGATCTAGTTACAATTGATAGCTTTGACTAGGAGATAGCTGTTTGATGGCTATCATTCCAACAAGACTAGACAATCAGAAAATTCCTCGACTACTCGACATTCAAAGTGCAGGTACATTGTAGCAGGACCTAACGGGAGTCAGGCACGATATTGCCTGTAAAATTTAGTAGCATCGTGAAGACGAGTGAAGCGTATGCTCTTCGAACGCGCGTCACTCTCTCGGGGCTTCGTATTTTGCGTGTCACTTTTACCATTTTGGTATTAAAAAACCGATAGGATGGCAAAAGCTGGTAAAAAAGCACTCGTCGACCGCTAATTAGTGGTAGACTGATGGTCCAGCAGGGCGAAATGGGTCTGAAGCCTTCTGATTATAGGAATAAGAACCACTTCGAAATCGTTTGGCGCACAGGATCTGGCTGGTCTTTTCTTGCACAACCTGTAGATGTCGCAAATACGACGATAAAGAGTGAAATAGAGGACATTATTTGCTGAAATATATTGACGCTTCTGTACCCCGCAAGACGCGCGTTTACAAATGTTACGGTCGACATGGATGACTTTTCTTTGAAAGCAAGTGATTCTACAACACCAGATGTCTCACAGGATCGTGTTTCGTAGATGATTATCCAAGCCGGATATCAGGCAACGATACCATTCATTGTCGAATGATAGCATCGCAATTGTGGCCAAATATAACATGTGTGTGACTACCATCCCAAGAGATCCTTGAGTATCTGACAAAGCAGCATTGCGCTACTGATGAAGTGGTGGTTGGTAGCACGGATTGCCTAGGACGACGAAGTTATTCATCCCTCCGTACGAACGAAGCGATCATTACGAGCCGCAAGGGTTTACACAGTTGCAACTTGCAGGGCTGCAACTTGCTGCCATCGGCCTTTATATTTCCATTTCGTTACAAAACTCTCACGTTTTTAACGTCCACAACTCTGCTGCTGTTTGTAACACTCCCAGCGGGAGATAACGAGCCACCGGCTTATGCACGCCCGCACAGGTTTCGAGCGTAGCAGCACACCAATGATCGTCTTCCACACGAATCGAAACTTTACCGGTTTGTGCAGAGACAGACCGCATACTGCCGAGGAGCTAGACGTGACTTCAGCATTGTTCTCCATTTTTGCCTCTTTCCCACATATCCCCCAGATCATTTATTGCGTATAGCACACTCACAAAAATAGCAAAGAGTCCTCGCCAGCAGGTGTAGCATCAGTATCATACTGTCTGCATTTGCAGCTTAGGTTTAGCTGATGCGGAAACTGTTGCCTGACCTATTGTCTCCTTTGTCGAGATATACGCGTAAGCAGAACCACCAATAGTTACAACGACGATACCGATGACTTTCTGCGCCGTGATCACGTCGTTGTTGATGAGGATAGACATCACAATCACGACCACCTGCTTCATGTTTCCGCATACGCACAATGTCACAGGAGACGTGACTTTGTTCGCCATGAAGCTCGTGACATTCAGCATGAAGCTGATGATACCGGTCAGAATGTACCAAAAACTGGCCGACGGCACAGCTTCCCAATTGTTCATGATAGTGTCGACTTCACCAGATAGAAACATCGCGGCCAAGCACCAGCACGCTGACAAAGGGGCCTGGTGCAGAATCAAGTCTACGGGGTGCAACTTTAAGTCCCCGCTCAAAAACTGCAGTCAAACAATACAATCAGCACCATAAGTCCACATCACGAACACCACACAACATTTCCCTACATCCAGCACGAAACACCAGCCATACCTTATTCGACAGCACAGCCTTCAAGCCTGCAAAGAGTACAGCCACGGCTGTGATAATGAACCCAATCACCGTGCACGAGTTGTCCCCCGTGCATGCCAAGTAAACCCCAAAAGCTACTGGAACCAGCGACAACTTCCGCTCAAGCGTGTACGTTTTGCCTAGAATGAGCATGCTGAGCACAATGACAACAGATGGCACAAGTGCCCGCATCACCTGGTTCAATGAAATGGACACGAGTCCAAGACTCCAGTTGCCAGTGATGATATTGCTCACGAAAATGAACGAAAACGAGACCATGAGCTGGGTTTGGCCAGGCTTGAGCGGTTTGCGGTCAATGCCCTTGTACACGTAAATGAAGAGAAAAGCACCCAGCGTGTTGCACGTCATATGTACGAACGTGAGCGTCACGGGCAACTGCAGAGCACTGAGTGCTTTTTTGTTCCAGAAAGTCACGCCAATGTTCTGGAGGAACCACATGGCGAGCCAAAAGACCACGACGGACGGCGAGACGTACGACGTCTTGACTTGACTTTCTTCACCTTCTTCGTCCTTTTCCTTCGTATCGAGCAGCTCCAGTCCCTTTTCAGGCTCGAGCTCCACGGCCGGTAATTTATTTTTATATTTCAGCTTGAGTTTACTATTGCTGCTCGTATCGTCCTTTTTCTTGTCCAGAAGCTGCGACGTCTCCGTCGTTGTAGCCATTTCTTCGTCATCTTCGAGGCACTCGCTCACGGAGACTGGACTGCAGTCTATTACTGGGCTTTCGCTGCTCGAGTGCGTGCATGGCCGAGCGCTGAGCGTCTGTGGCGCGTCCATGGAAGTGCGTGAGGCTGGCGAGTCGCGCTGGAAGTAGAGAGCGAGATGTCGTTTGGTCTGAAGCCATCAAGTGACGCGGATATAAAGTATGAGAAACCAGAAAATAACAGTAGCCGTTTTTTTTTCGTCTTGGATTCAATTTGCTGCTGAATGTCAAGTGACGAGCGGATCAGATTTGTTGCAATTTGTGCTTTTTGTTTTTGCTTTATATGAAACGAGACGCAGAAAAAAGCGGATTGTCGGGTTGCAACGACTTGTCCATACGGTGCATGAAACTAGTATGATCCACTTGAGATGAGACTGACTTGAGTACACGTCGTCGCACGCAACCGCTTGACAGCGAGCTCTAGCAACCGCTTCAGCCCGGCACCTGATTCAAAGTGAGCAGTTGTAAATGAAGCCACGCTTTCGCTTCTAAATTTCCGTGGTGGAGAAAACGAGGTCGTACCTGTAGCCGTGATGCCCGCAGCGGTCTCAAACCCTGAAAAGAAATCACACAACGGTCCAAGAGCCACAAACTCGACATCCAAGTGTCCTCGCGTCCCCTGCTTCTGCTTTAGATCTTCTTGTCAGTCATACTGCACTGTCATGCGGTCGCAAAGACGGCACACAAGGAGCTAGCCCACCTAAAAGCACTACCCACCTGCCGCCTCGTTTCGACATGATCAAGCTCTTGTAGCAGCTCGTAGACACTACGACACTGGCGAAAACAAACTCGGTGCAGGACTTCTTCGGCAGCCACGTCCATTGTGTTACTCACGGTACCAGTGACGGCAAACAGCAGTCGTTTCGTCACTGCTTTCGGGTCCCGCACCAAAAACAGCACGTGCTTTCCTGCTCGTGCAACCAGTAGAGCCCTGTCTACACATTGCTGGTGACATGGAGCACACAAGAACAACAAAAGGAAGTCACAGCACGTACATCAAGTACATCTCTACCAACCATCAACTGGATGAAAGCAGAGAGAACAACTACATCAATACTGCACGTTTCAGCCCTTGTCTGCTCGGTGTTCCCTATCACGTCGCAATTGCTTCATTCCACCAACAAACAAAACCACCAACCAACAATCCCACCGTAAAGTCTCCCTTGTGTGTCCATCTTTGTTTTCCAGCTTACAACTTTCAGCATCAAAAGCAAACTCTCACCTACTTATAGATCGAACCTACCTTCTTTTGTCAACAATACCAGTCGATCGCGTGTCCAGTGTCGACATGGCTACAAATGACGCACTGTACTGTGCTGCTGCTGCTTTTCGCTGTACGCACATCACTGGCGAGTCCAGACGTGACGCAAACAGCTCCTCAGCCGTCGTACATCGAGGCGTCACTGCATCGTCCGTCGCGTCTTGACGTAGCAGCGGCACGAGTCGCGGCATACCCACAGCCTGTCACTAGAACGAGGTCAATTAGTGACACTTTCCCTTTTAAGTGCTACTCCCTCAAAAGAGTGTTTTCCCTCATAAGAGTGTTCTCCCTCGAGTGAGTGTCCTCCCTCGTGTGAGTGCTCCTCCCTCGAGTGAGTGCCCTCCGTCGTTCCGACGCGTTTCTTCCCTTTTGGGCCTTGGACCCGCGGCGCAAATGGCCGCTCCTTCTGGACGTCGTTCCGTCGCGTCTGACGCGGCTGTGAGCGCGTTTTCTTCACCAGTACGTACCGGAAGTGTCTCTTCTGTGTCCAGTGCGTTGTTTCAGCCGCGTATGTCGTTTCTGCGTCGCGTGACGTCCGCCCCAAGTGCGCGTCCCGTCGGGACCTCGGACGCTATTCAAGCGCGGTATCAAGACGCTACGGAGCGCAGAAGCACGGCATTGGTGGAGCTGATACTGGAGACAATTGCGGACGTTCCGGAAGCTGTGGAGAAGATTCGAGGGAGCGAGGAGCTACGCCAGAGACTGGAGCAGGAGATGGACGAGGAGAATCACGAGCTCTTGCATCGGTTCTTGGCCGTTGACTTGGATGACCAGGTGGGCAAGAGTCTGGAGCAGATGAGGATGGAAAAGCACTTGAAGGAGAGCTGCGGACGGTGTGAGAGAGCTCAGGGACGAGCTGGGGATGGAGAGGACAGGTTGAAGGATGGAGTGACGTTGATTGATGGCTCGGGACGTCGTGACGAGCGGAAGATGGAGGCTGAAGAAGAAGAGCGTGTGGACTTTGGTAATTGCAGCAGAAGTAGCAGTGATATGGACGACGAGTACGAGAACGACTTGGCTGAAGCTGTGCATCAGCTGTGTATGACGGACGACACACTTACGTCAATGAACAAGATGCTTTCGGACCCGATTGGGATTGTGAACGCGCGTGTAAGCAGTGACAGTGTTGCGAGTGTTTCGACTTCCCCACCGTCTTCGTCTGGTCTGGCAGCTTCACCTGGGACAACGTTCATGGATGGCGAACCCGTGTCAGCGTTATGGCCTCGGCAGCCGGATCAGTTTGCGTTTACGCAAGAGGAAGACCAAAATACCCGGGCGGAAGACGAGGTGTACAGTGAACTGGTGAATTCTGTCTGCGACGATGACGCATTCCAGGACGATTGTGGAGATGGTGAAAACGACGCTGAAGGAGGGATGCTGGATGGCGAGAGCGAGGAAAACGAGGAAACGCTGTTTCATATGGATGATGAGGACGTTGGTGGTGATAGCAGGGTCAAAGAAAATGATCTGGACGACGACGAGGCACAATTTAGTCATCAACGCACATTATCGGGGCGGCCGTTTATTGTTAGCTCCCCGATTTGGGGCCAGTTGACGACGTTTCAGCATGATCTTGATGGCAAATCGGAACCGAAGACAGGGACCGTTCACACTGTTGATATCAAAGATGGTGACGACGTCCATGTTGACCTTGACGGGAGTGTAAATTCTGAAGCTGAAGATGGCGAGCCAAAAGAGTACGAAGAGTTCCAGCTCCGTATCATTCGAGAAAAGAATCGCACTGGATTCGAGCCAAATCAGGACTGGCGACCTCGTGCTGGGGTCTTGATTGGCAATCGATACAAGGTGGGTGTTGATGTGTTGTGGTGGGTGAACTACTGAGATTTATAGCGATGTCAATGTTGGTATGGAATTGCAGGTTGAGCTAGCAATCGGAGAAGCGGTATTCAGCCGAACGTACAAGTGCATCGACACGACAACTGACCAGGTGGTGTGCCTCAAGATTATCAAGAACAACAAGGAATACTTTGATCAGGGTGTTGACGAGATTCGTGTACTGGAGTACATTGATCACAACTGTAAGGTAGACGAAAGGCATCTCGTTCGACTATTGGACGCGTTCTACTTTCGCGAGCACCTGATCATTGTGACAGAGGTGCGTTGATGGGGAAAGGCGTTTTGCCGATTTATCCGGAGTTGCATCTTTGCTCGTGCTAGATCTCATCTTCACCTTTGTCCACAGCTTCTTCGCGACAATCTCTACGAGTTCTCTCGCCTGCTTCTGCAACGCGGTGTGATTAACTACTTCAGCATACCACGCCTGAAAAAGATCACGATTGAGGTGCTGGAAGCACTGGACGCGTTACACTCGTTGGGAATCGTACACTGCGACCTCAAGCCAGAGAATATCTTGATTCAAAACTTTAGCGCGTGCACCGTCAAGGTCATTGACTTTGGATCGGCGTGTTTTATTACGGACGAGCTCACGTCGTACGTGCAGTCGCGTTCGTACCGGGCCCCAGAGGTATGTTTGGGCTTGACAGTACTAAGGTATCAATAACGTCATGGTTCTGACCTGTGTACTCCTGGTGCAGGTCATTCTCGGCTTGCTGTACGACACGAAGATTGATTTATGGTCGCTCGGATGTGTCGTTGCCGAGATGTACACGGGCGAAGTGCTGTTTCGCAATGACTCGGAGCAATCTCTGTTGGCTCGGATCTTGGCGACAATCGGTACGTACCCTGCACGATCGTCTTGTGTTCAGTTTGGTAGCTGGCTGACCATTTGCTTCCACGTCTTTCTCTCAGGTTCCATTCCTGCATCTCTACTCGCTGACCGCGAGGAGTTGCAGCAGCAATTGATCGACACTGGATTGTTCAAAACGGACCAACTGGGCAATGGCGTCTTGACTGCGAATAGCAGTGAACCCACATTAGAAGAGGCCGTGCCGACGAAAGATGTCGAATTCCTGGACTTTTTGCGCGCGTTGCTGCAAATTGACCCAATGCATCGAGTATCGGCACACGAGGCGTTGACCCACCCGTGGCTGCAAACAGGTGTTTTTGCCGAAAACCGCATCTGATTCGGCTTGGTGTGTACCACATCAACGTTACATCCGACAAGGCGTTGCGCAGTCAGTCAAAAAAGTGCGCTAAACCAATGACGTCTGTACGTGATGACGGCGTCTCAGCGGTGCGTGATCGTACTCTGCATGTTACGTTGTTGTGTATGAATAGAAATAGCTCGTGACTCGCGTGGTATCAAAAATATAGAGAAAAGTGGCAAGCAAAGAGGTCGTCGAGCTCTCTCACTGCCGCGTATGATCAGCGACTGAGTGTGTGTGTGAATTTGCTGGCCCTTTGTGCTTGACGGTGACTGTTTTTGTGGCAATTCGCCAGAGTCAAGAGATGCAGAATCAAGTGGAAGCTTTGTACCTGGATGGCGACAAGCAGATCATGGAAAGAATGGTGCAAGAGAAGACAGGAGATCTCGAACGTGGCACGGAGTTCTTGTCGACGTTTGGTAGTCAAGCAGAAGCTGGAGCCGACCAGGGGCTGACACGGGCCGTTACGAGGGACGGAGTCGGTATTTACACAAGTGACAAGTGGGCTGAGTTCTACTTGACTTCAGAGGTGGCAGTGGTGACAAATATCGGACATCCGCCGGTTCCCCCACGAGGTGAGGGACGTGTGGCGAGAGACAAAGTCTGATGATAAAACGAGGTGGAGGAAGAGACTGTAATAACGAGTGCTGCTTGGTAGGGTACATTCCATTGCGACATGGACATGGCCGTGACCTACCGAATGCATCGACATGCACGTTCGAGATCTCCTGTCTTCTCTTGCACCATTTCAAACCTCACAAGCGATCACGAAGCCAATGACTTCCGACACTTTACACAACTCGTTGTTGCCACATGCAGAGCTGTCGCGTCAGAAGTATGCAAGGAGCGATCTGTAGTACTGAAGATACTGATATTCACGCGTGCATCCATCTTCTTCCGTCCAGTGTCTGTCGTTGCCTCGGGGTAGTTGGTTACCCTCATTTCTCTCAGCATCCATGCTGCATCCTGCAACAGTTCGACAATCAAGAGCATCCAGCTCCCACGTCCAGCACAACACCTGGATCCAGCACATCTCGTCATACCTGCAACTTGCGTATCTTTTTCACCACGTGGCTGCTCTCTTAATCCTCTTCACTGCACGGTCTTCTTCAAACCAGCATCCATCCATCCATCCATCCATCTGCCACTTCATCTACCACCTCTACCTGCGCGCAACCATCCTTCTGACGCTCCGTAAACAGCCACGCAAAAGTCATGACAAGACGCTACTGACGAGTCGATATAAATTAAACGACGGCCACAATCTCTCCGACGTTACGTCTCCGCGTCTGCTGCCTCCTCCTCCTCCTCGTCCACTACTTCCTCACCACCACTCTCCATCTCTCTCCTTTCCTCTTGTCGCTTGCCTCCTCCTCCTCCTTGTCGGCCTCGTCTCCTCTTTCGTCGTCTCTTGTGCAGGACGTCGGCATACAGTGAATGGGCGAAAAGGCCAGACAGCATTCCCACGACACAAGCCGAGCGCAGACTTCCCGCGCAGCGTACGGCCACCAGCGCCGCGACTGCTCCACCCGAGAACTTGACGCTGTTTTCCATGCACGGCACGTACGCCAAGAGCGAACTGGACGTGAGGCTTGCCAGGGACAAGAAGAACCTCGAAGGGCGCCCGTCTCGAGCCGCCATTGCGGTGATTTCTTCATGGGGCATGGTGCGTTCTTTTTGTCCAATGAGATGCAAGCACGACCACCTGTCAAATCGGAACGGTCACACTGTCGTCTGATTGGTTGAAACCGACACTGCTGAGAGGGCGCGACACCACGACAAAGAACGCGCGCGCAGACGAGACAACGACAGCATCGACGAGATGACGAAGACCAAGTGTCCGCACTACGGACGGCGCTGCTTCGTGCTGGCGGAATGCTGCGACAACTGGGTCGGCTGTCGACTCTGCCACGACCAGCAGCTTGGCAGCCACCACTTGATCGACCGATTTGCCATCGAATGGATGCGCTGCAACGTCTGTCAGACCGAACAGCCGGTGTGTCTCTTTTCTGTTGCGTTGCGCAGAACGTGCTGGCTCACCACCTGTTTTTGTTTGTGTCTTCATTTACTGTTGGGTGCGACACAAAAGTGCGCCCAGGTGTGCGTCGTCTGTTGCACGACAATGGCTGCTTACTTTTGCCCCGTCTGCCACTTGTTTGACGACAAAGGGCGAGAGAAGCAGATCTTCCACTGCAGCCAATGCGGCATCTGTCGGTAGGACTACTTCCTGGGGGGGGAGGGGGCAATGGGATAAATGCTAGGTGGTGGTGTGATGCCGGATGATCGTTTGACAACATTTGTATGGGGAAATGCCACAGAGTGGGCGGACGCGAGAACTATTACCATTGTGTCACGTGCTGTGGCTGTTACCCGCACTCGATCCGGACCAAACACCGATGTGTGGAAGCATCGATGCATCACGATTGCCCCATTTGTCTTGAAGTAGGTCGCTTTTGCTTGGATGAAAGAAAAGATTGAACGTGCTGCAGGAAGGGTGTGATCTTTTGGCTCTGCTTGGTGTTGCTGCAGGTCACGTTCGACTCGCTCGAAACTGTAAACGTGCTGCCGTGTGGCCACGTCCTGCACTCGAAGTGCTATGACCGATACGTCAAGCACGGGTGAGTCCAACTAACTCACTTGCTACGTCTACTGAAGCTTGTATTGAGTCTTCTTATCGACGCGATGCTTGTTCTGTAGCAATACTGCGTGTCCAACTTGCCGGGCAAGAATGCGAGGCGGGGCTGGAAACAACCGACAGCCGGACAACGGGATCTACAGATGGTGAGGCGAGTGGCCATGTGCGGACCTTGCATGTAGAGAAGGACTAAGACGAACGAGGTGTTGTCGTCTGATCTGTAGAAGTTGACGAAACGACGTTGGAGACGACAGCGGCGTGGAAACGAACGCTGCAATTGACGCAAAATGGACTGTGGATGGTGTCAAGTGTGCTGCTACTCGCCAGTGCATGGCAGTCGGTCACTACGAGTGCAAAGCTCTGAAGTATCGATACTTAAGTGACAGACTGAAATATATGTGTGAAAAACACGAGCTGTTGGCAAGTGGGGTCAAAGTTGTCGATTCAGGAACTGTGGACGCACTTAAGCGAGTGACGACGCCACCAGACGCACACACACACGAACAGCCAAAGACAACGGCAACAACCTTCCCCGTTGCACATCTCTCTCACGTGACCGCCCTTTTTCTTCTTCTCTGTCTCCATCCTCTTCTTAATTTTACTTCGTCTCCATCTTCTTCTTTATTTTACTTCGTCTCCATCATCTTCTTGATTTTCCAGTCCGGAGCTCACACGTTGCGGTACCGTCTTCGGTAGACGCGAGCTGACTGACTATAGAGTGCTGCCGACTTGCAGTCGAGCGAGCAAAAGCCCACGTAGCGACTCGTGCCGACCACGAAGCTGCGCGTGCACATGCCACACTGGGCCCAATTGGCACTGCCGTCACTCTTGGCTTTCCGTCTTCCTTCGAGTTCTTCCCGACTGACGCTCGTCGTGGCAAAGGAACTGCAGAGCTCCGAGCGCGTGGTCGAGCGTTTGCTCGCGCCTGCAAGCGCCACGGGCTGCAGCTGCTCGGCCTCTTCTTGCTTGACGTCGCGTCCGCTGAGTTTGCGCAGGAGTTTGCGGGTGGAGTCGCGTAGTCCCATCTGGAGCTGGAGGAACCGGAGGCAGTGGGACTGCACGGAAGTGATGGAATGCTAAAGTGCTGCTGAAGTAGCGCCAAGTGTTGTTGTCGTTGCAGTTGATGTAGCGGTTGTGTGGTCGCCAGGTGATGACGACGACGAGTGTCTCGAGTTCTGTTGTCTCTTTGGCTTTGGCCTTTTTTCGCTCGTTTTCTTCGATTCGACAGTCTGAGACGACAACAAAGAAAGTGCGACAACGAGGCGCTTTTTCCGTCTCACTTGACTGTTGTCTGGTTGGCTGGCGATTATGTCGGTTGAAGTTAGTTGGGGAGGAGGGGATAGAGGCCTTTGCGACCAGTGAATGAAACGAGCAGGTGAGTGGTCGGCTGCGACACGCGACGAGCACCATGTGTTGGTGAGAAAGAAGCGTCGCTCTCTGCTTGCAGCTTTGACCAGCTCTTTATGTACATTGAAGATCGATCGCTCTCTCTCTCTCTCTCTCTGGCATTGCATACGTCAGTTGTCAACGTTCATTTGCGCGGCCTGCACGAATCGTCACTGTCTTTTTTTGCGTGTGTTGAATACGCGCAATGTCTCTCCCGACCACATCCATCATCAATCCCTATGGAAGTCCCTGCAGAGGAGAGATGTTCGGGCGGCTGTCGTGTTCGGTATCGTTGTTTCCCACATCGCATTAGCTTTCTTGTGGTTTTTCCAGGCTTCAACTGCTGGCTTCCTTAATTCAGTACAAAACAGAAGAAGGCAACACTTCATTTCAGTGACGCACGCGACACTTTAACGTCCCAGTGTTGCTCTCATGTTGCTGCTTGAAGACCCGTCCATTCCAGCCACATAGTCAGACAGAGCGAGTCAACACGTAGCCATTTAACAAAAGCTGTAGCCATGCAAGTCGACACGGTGCAAAGTCTGTAGCCATGTAGCAACTTCCACATCCCCCCCGATTAGATCATGTGCGACACTCCATCACCAGTCCGACAGTACCACTCTTTCGGTACATTCCAGTCCCAGCAGCTCCAAAGCACGGCAGCCAACCATTTTGATCCCCCGGGCCATCCCCCGCCTGCCTCCCTCCGCCATGCCGCACGACTTGGCCGCGTCTCGCTCCCTCCCCGAGCGCATCTCGTTCCCTGACGAGGAGCTCAAGATCCTCGAGCAATGGGAGAAGCTCGACGCGTTCCAGAAGTCGCTCGCCTTGTCCAAAGATCGCACGCCTTTCACGTTCTACGACGGTCCGCCGTTTGCAACGGGGTTGCCCCACCACGGCCACATTTTAGCAGGAACTATTAAAGACACCGTCACGCGCTATGCACATCAGACGGGGCACTACGTCGAGCGTCGCTTTGGCTGGGACTGTCACGGGCTTCCCATTGAGAATGAGATCAACAAGAAATTAGGTGTCACGACCAAGGAACAGGTGCTGGAAATGGGCATTCACAAGTACAATGCCGAGTGCCGCAGTATCGTACAACGCTATACGAGCGAGTGGGAGCGTGTGGTCAAGCGCATTGGGCGCTGGATCGACTGCACGAACGACTACAAGACCATGGAGCCGTGGTACATGGAATCCGTCTGGCACGTCTTTCGCACGATTTTCGACAAGGACTTGGTCTACCGGGGCTACAAGATCTTGCCCTACTCGACGGCCTGCACGACGCCGCTGTCGAACTTTGAAGCAAATTTAGACTACCGGGACACTCCGGATCCATCGGTGATTGTCAATTTTCCACTTGTGGACGACCTGCAAGTGAAGCTCTTGGCCTGGACGACGACGCCATGGACACTCCCGTCGAACTTGGCGCTGTGTGTGAATGAAGCGTTTGATTACGTGAAGATAAAGGACGTGCAGACGGAAACTGTGTACATTCTAGCTGAAGCGCGGCTGTGTCAAGTGTACCCCAAGATGACCAAGAAGGGCTATAAAGGCGGCGAGTTTGAGGTACTGGAGACGTTCAAGGGAGCTGCACTTGTCGGCAAGCAGTACGTGCCGCTGTTCGACTCTTTTAAAGACTGGCCGAAGGCTTTCCGCGTCCTTTCGGATAACTACGTCTCGGACTCGGGTGGTACAGGTATTGTCCACCAGGCTCCCACGTTCGGTGAAGACGATTACCGTGTCTGCGTGCGGGAAGGCGTGACTGACAAGTTCACGCTGCCTGATCCGCTTGACGATAACGGTATCTTTACAGATGCTGTGCCGCTCGTGAAGGGCTTGCACGTGAAGAAGGCTGACGATGTTATTTGCCAGGATCTGAAAACGCGTGGACGTCTTGTATCAAAGGGTACGGAAGTGCATAGCTACCCGTTCTGCTACCGTTCAGGCACGCCGTTGATCTACCGTGCTATCCCTGGTTGGTTTGTGAACGTGGAGCGTATTCGCGACCGTATTGTGGCCAACAACAAACTCACGTATTGGGTGCCGAGCTTTGTGCAAGAAAAGCGTTTTCACAATTGGCTGGTAGATGGCAAAGACTGGAATATCTCGCGTGGTCGCTTCTGGGGCACACCACTGCCGCTATGGGTAAGCGATGACTACGAAGAAGTGGTGTGCGTTGGCTCGATTGCTGAGCTTGAGGAACTGACGGGCGAGAAAGTGACGGACTTGCACCGTGAGTTCATTGATCACTTGACGATTCCGTCCAAAAAGGGGAAAGGTGTACTCCGCCGCGTGCCCGAGGTCTTTGACTGCTGGTTTGAAAGCGGGTCCATGCCGTATGCGCAGCAACATTATCCGTTCGAGAACAAGGAGAAGTTTGAAGCTACGTTTCCAGCTGACTTTGTAGCTGAGGGTCTTGACCAGACCCGTGGTTGGTTTTACACCCTCATGGTGCTGTCCACAGCACTGTTTGAAAAGCCAGCTTTCAAGAACCTGATTGTGAATGGTCTCGTGCTGGCTGAAGATGGCCGTAAGATGAGCAAGAGTTTGAAAAACTTTACAGACCCTGAAGAGATCCTGCGGAAGTATGGTGCCGACGCACTTCGTCTGTACCTGATCAATTCGCCCGTGGTGCGTGCTGAGCCTCTCAAGTTCCAGGCCTCAGGTGTGCTCGGTGTCATCCGTGAGATCTTCCTGCCATGGTTCAACTCGGCGCGTTTTTTTGCTCAACAAGCTACTCGTCTCCAGCTGGAAACGGGTGTGGCCTTCGTGCCTGACCGCAAAGCGGCTCTGGCTTCGACAAACGTGATGGACTTCTGGATCATTGCTGCCCTGCACAACCTCATCAAGTTTGTGCATGTGGAAATGAAGGCTTACCGTCTGTACACGGTGGTGCCTCGCCTTGTGAACTTCATCGGCCAGCTGACAAACTGGTATGTGCGCCTGAATCGCCCCCGTCTCAAAGGCAGTGCTGGTAGTGCAGAAGCTGCCGTGGCACTCTCGGCATTGTACGAGGTGGAGTACAACCTCGCCAAGATCATGGCTCCTTTCACGCCGTTCTTCACCGAGTACATGTACCAGTTCCTTCGTCAATTCCACCCGAACGTTGTCGATGGCGCTGATGCAGACTTGGCTGAAGATGCCGATGGCGTGTCGCCAAGTGTTCACTTCCTGATGCTGCCGGACTTTGATTCCAGTCACGTGGACGAGGAAGTAGAAGTGCTGATGCAGAACCTCCAGAGCGTGGTGGAGATGGGTCGCGTCGTGCGGGAGCGCCGTGCGATTTCGCTGAAGAATCCCGTCATGAAGGTGATTGTGGTGTCGAGCGACCAGAAAACGCTGGACGGTCTTCGTCGACTGGAGACGTACCTGCACGATGAGCTGAACGTGCGTGATCTCGACTTCTCCACTGACGAAAAGGAGTGGTGTGTCCTGAAGGCTGAGGCGAACAGTCGTGCGCTTGGTCGTCGCTTGGGCAAGGCCTTATCGAGCGTGAAGAAGGAGATCTCGCAGATGACACACGACGATGTCGCTGCGTACGTGTCCAATGGCAGTGTCACGATCGATGGCCACGAACTAACAGGCGATGATCTACTGGTGAAGCGTGAGTTCAAGGGCGATACCAAGGTCTACGAAGCCGATGTGTCACTTAAGGGTGATCTCATGGTGGTCATTGACACACGGGAGGACGAGCAGCTCAAGATGCAAGGGTGTGCGCGAGAAGTGATCACCCGTGTGCAGAAGCTGCGGAAGAAAGCAGGTCTAGTGGTGCAGGACAAGATCCACGTGTACTTCGAGGAGAAGAACGGCGACGAGGGACCGATCTCTAAGGCCATTCAGTCGTCGTTGCCCATGATCGCTTCGACGCTGGGTACAGCTCCAGCTCCAGTGTCACTGCAACCGGCACACAGCGTGCCGATCGTGTCGGAGGATGCTCAGTTTGCAGCCTCGAGCGTCAAGCTCATAGTCGCTCGTCCTGCGGTGCTTTTTGCGTCGGCTGAAGTACTAGCCAAGCACGAGGCGGCTATGCCAGTGGAAGAGTTTACGGCGTACGTGGCTTCGATGAAGTACGAGGACGTGAAGACTGCGCTCGAGTCTACTGAAAACGCAGTCACTGTTCGCAGCGCAACGGCTGAAGTGACCCTAAAAGCTGATTTGGAAGTCTTCCTGGACGCATCGGCGTTGGCAAAGACGCTGGGCGGGGAGTCGAAGCTTTCGTGGCTAGTCATGTAGCAAACTCGAGCTCCGGTTGTAGCTGTCTAGAGGATGGCGATTGCGTACAAAGTGAGTGCAAGACAATGATAAAGAGCTCCTCCATGTATCGTCAGTTCGCTTGGTCACCACCAACCATTAAAATCTACGCATCTGATCCCTCCCCTCGATCCTCACAACCGATACCGACGGTAAAAAAAGGGACTTCAAGAAACGACTCGTGCAACAACCCGTGACACCCACACGTCACGCTCGGCTCGCACGCACGCACGCATTAACATCATGTGTCGGTAGTATTTATTTCGTATTTGTCCCCATAAGTTTAAACATGCATCGAGAAGACGGGAAAGACGCAGCAGAACACCAGGAAAAGGCCGTCGCCACGACCACGTGCTCGTCCCCTTGTCAAGCCGTGCAGGACTCTCCTACCTCCTCTGGCTTGTCTGCTGCGGGACTGAAGCGGTGCGAGAGCCAGTCAAACGACACGAGCACAATGCCAAATTGCGGGGCAATGCGGCTGACGCGCGGTCCCCATCCACTAAAGAGCGCGGCAACACCTCCTTGCGCCGTCACGTGTCGGTACGTGTTCGCAAATCCCTGCACCGTCGCGTCCCTGGACTGCATGCGCGTCTTGAGCAGATCCAACGGCGTCGTAAAGAACGCAGCAGGAATGCCGGCGGTCGACGCAGCGACCATGGACCAGCCTAGCGACGTGCCGTCTTGCACGCCGAGCTGGTTCTTGGCCATGTCATAGAGCGTAAAGTACGTGGACGCAAAGAGAACGTCACGCGCCAAGCAGGCCGAGTAGCCCCTATAAAGTCCCTGGAGTCCCACGTCGCGGAGCACGCCCAGTGGCTTCAACGTACTGTCGAGCTGCATCCGGACTTTGACCACTTCCACGGGGTTCATCACGAGCGACTGCATGACGCCCGAGACAGCAGCCGACGTCAACGACGCTTTGAACTCGTTCGGGTGCTCGAAAAAGCTCTTGACAAACTCGCGCGTCGCGAGCGACACGGCCTTGTCCGGGATCGTGCCCAGCAGCTGCGGCCCCAGCCCCTTGTAAAACGATCCCACGCCCTCGTTCCGGAAGATGCTCGTGAGGGTCTGGACGGCGCTGGTCGCGACGCGGCTGTTCTGCATGCGCGTCTTGATCACGTCCACGGGGTACACGGCCACGATCCCCCCCATGCCCGCAGTTGCTCCGATCCACATGCTCTGGAACACGCTCTGCTGCTGGGCACGAGCGACTTGAGGGGCGGCGGCCAGCACCGAGTGCGGACGTAGCTGGGAGATGGTCGGGCTCGCGTCGATCTTTTCCATTGGGGCACCGAGAGAGAGAGGGAGAAGGAGGAGGAGGAGGAGGAGGAGGAAGGGGGAGACGGTGGGACGACCGCTTGCGGGCGAGGAGGTCAATTGAAAAGTGATGAGGATGATTTGCGTCTTGAGTGGGTGGGTGGGTGGGTGATCAAGTTTGAGGGTCTCTCTCCCCCTAATGTAGCAACGCGTCAGGGAGATGATGGACGGGCTCTGCGCGGCGACGTCACTCGGCAGCTGAACAGCATTCGGCGAGCAAGTTTTTAGATAGGGCTAGGGGACGAGACCACCTCGGACCGTAAAATTAGACGGGGAAATACACGGGCAGAAGCGCATAGACGAGACGACTTGAGGTTTGGTGGTGTTGACCATCGGTGCTTTTTATGGGGGTTCTGTCTGTGGGAAGTGCGTGCAAGTTCCTGGCGCTGGGCACGTGGGTGAGATTACGCACTGGGCAGGAGAAGAGGAGGAGGTTCCACGTCGATTAAACGCGGCGTCTTTCCTGTCGATCCATCGCAAGGGCGTGCAATCGTGATCGGACCGTTGCGATAGTTCCAGGAGACTGCTTGATTTGTGGAGCACATGTGATCGTCTGGATTGGCGCGCGAGTCGCTCGATCCAGTGGCTGAGCACGTCGTGTCAATCTTTGCTCGTCGCTGGCATCTAATCATAAGGCGATACGCTGTTTAGACGTCGGAATGGCGACAGGGCGGAAAATGTTGCACCACGAACGAGCTTGTGCGGGTACCGAAGCAGTGCCAAGCGATTTGTCATCGCGGCAATCCAATGGACAGCAGCTGGTCTACCGACGTACCGGTCATGTCGACGCTACCTACAGGTATCTGCTACCTTTGACGAAAAAGCAGTCAAGACCGACCACCTGTCATTCAAGTCATTGGTATTGCACACATACACACACACAGTCTCCATGCTCCTGTGTATGGATCGCACACTTTTTTCTTCGAAGCAAAAGTCGTGCGATGGTTTCGCTCTGTCGGAATAAGCTGCACTATTCGTATCGAGAGCGGACCAATGGATGGACGACGACGGCGTGGATGCGCGTACCGCCACCCATCGAATCTCACTGACTTGAAGAGCACGTGGTGACGCGATTCGGTCAACGACTGACGAGCAGGTCAGACAGACACAAGCATTATCGACATCGATGAGTCATCGTTCGAAAGAAATAATCCTGCGACGTGGCGAGGCGTCGTGACAAGTACAGGACTGACCGCGAAAAACGGTATATGTGACGCGCGCAACGGTAAACCACCCGAGCAGCCGGTATCGTCGCTGATTGGAGGAAAAGCGCCATCGACATCGCGTCGTGCTTGTACACACAATGGCCGCAAAAAGAGACCCTTTTGCGTGTACCCATTTATCCGCCGCGTGGTCCCTTTTTGCCCATTTTACAACCACCCTCAGCCACGAGCTCCATAACGTCGCGGACGTCGCTCCTCGACAGCTATGGGCGCGTCCGACTCGTCGCACGGCATTTTGTTGCAGATGTTCGTCATCTCGCCTGCAATCGCATGGATCCTCAAGCCCGGCCGCTTCTCCAAGCGTCTCGGCTTCGCGTACGCGGTTGCCTTCCTCGTCGCCATTGCCGCCATCACAATCGTACGTCGAAAAAAGAGACTTAAACGAAAATACACTTGATATGTGTATGGACACACTAATTGGATAGATGTACACATATTGGTTTTGACAGGGTATCGAGGTATACGCACAAGAAGGCAACTTGTACCACGTCGTGGGCATCAATCGTGACGCGTCGTTTGCTGAAATTAAGCGCGCTTTCCGGCAGCGCTCAGTGGAGCTCCATCCCGACAAGAATCCGTCACTCACTGCTACAGAAGAGTTCAATAAGCTCCGACTGGCATTTGATGTACGTGCGTACGTGGCGTGGTTCTGTGGGAATCTTCAATTGATGCGTGGACTTATTTTTGTACCCATGACTCTTTTTTTGCTCATGTCGTGGTGATCAGGTTCTAGGAGATGCCCACAAGCGTCCGCTGTATGATCTGTTTGGCCAAAATGCCATCGAGAAAGACGCGTGGTCTATGCAGGTGGAAGCAGTCGTGGGCTCCCTGACGTTCTACGCTATTTGGGCCCTGCTGACGTTTGTCTTGACGCTGAGTGAAGCTGCCCGAGAAGCGCGTGCGTGGTCGCTGGCTGCTGGTGTCCTCTTTTTTCTGGTGGAGATCAACTTTATCTACGGAGGTGCTCGTCTACCGCCTTACTTCTTTCCAATGATGACAATGCACGACTTTGTCATGATAATGCATTTAGCGTTCCCGTTACTTTTGAATGGATGTCGCGCTATTGGGGAATATTTTCATCACGACTTGACCCGCGAAAACTTTGCGCTGAGTGTTGAGCTGCTGAAGAGCAACCAGGTGCGCTGCGGTTGGGTTTGATGCTAGTGAATGGGGAATGTCTAACATGTGCTTGCAACATTTGTTGGCTGGTGACTGAGTAGGCCATTCTGCTGAACATGCGTGAATTGCAAGGAGAGGTCGCATCATCTTCTCGTCGCCGTCCAGAGGTTGTGAAGGATGACGTGGTTCCTGCTGCCGCAAGGAAGCGCATGAAGATGGACAAGCATCTGTCGACATTGCAAGCTGTTGAAAACGCATCGGACGCACAAGTCGCTGTCGCCCAAGAACTCCTCGACGTTGCTACCCCAAAGCCAGAAGTACAGGACGGTGGCCAAGGCTTTGGAATTCCGTGGTGGGTGTGGTGCATCGGCACGTACTTTGCGTTCGATTACATAGTCGGTAGCTAGACGTGTTGCTCGAGAGGATGGCGGGTATGTAGAGACAGAGAAGGGGGTCATCTGTACACAGCTTTTTTGCTCACATCCGTGTTCATAGCAGCAGCGGCTGTATCGCAGTCCTGCCATAACAAACGCAATGCACTACGTATGACAAGTTCTAGCAATGCAAAAATGAGGTTATGCTCGAAACTACATGTCGGGTTGACCCAAAATAAAGGACTCGTGAGCTGACGTCCTATTGCCTTCCATACCTATAACGTCGATCACCAAAAAGATGGGTCCTCGAAGATTTAGCACCCGCGCAAGTCTATTTTGTTTGTTACCTCTCACGTACTCGGTATCTGCTGGTAGGTTATTTCTGCGAGAAAAAAACACACACGAGTGCCTCTGTCGTTGCATCACTTCAATCACACGACGTTTCGTGCTCGTAGTCAGAATGTGTCACTTCAACAATCTGCACTCATCCAGTTTCAGCCGTCCATCCCACCAGCTTCACGACAATATCTTCTTCTTCTTCTCACCACAGACGAGTCGGTCGCACATTGTCTCACTTGTTCACGCCTGGGTCCAATGATTGCAACAACGTTAGTGTCGGGTCTATCCATTGACTGTCAACGTTCGTTCCCCACTGTCTTCAGCAGCGGCACTGTTTGAACAAACGCCTGTCAACAAGTTGTCCTTGAAGTCGGTAGATCATCCAGTAAACCTGATCGCAACTTCTTTCGACACCTCGAGCTTTTCTCACTTAACATCCACATAACCATGACGATGACGTCGTTACAAGTGACATGTAGAATTGCTGCTTGAGTATGGTTACCACTCGAAAGGCATCGCCCAAATTCTGTCCCGGACTTTTGATTCTTCTCTTTATGTTGTGAAACTTCTTGACATCTGCTTCACGCATGCAAATTGTATGCGACTTCATTTTCATGTCCTATATAACAAGTAAAGAGTCGACAAATGCCGACATTTTAAGTCTTTACCCGCTTGAGCAGCAATGGTGTATACGCAGTACAAAATCGTGCAGTCCACACCCACTCTTTTCGTAAGTGATGGTCGAGTGAGTACCTACGTATCAGCAAATGTTACAGAGTAACAATAAATGTCGAGATCAAATGAGGCATTTTCATGATCCTGCTATGAAGACAAGAACATGTGCCTTGCTCTGAGTGTGTGCGAATCGGAAGCGAAGCACAACAAAGTTGGTAGATGGGAGGCACGAGTTACTTTACTAGCGGGGTTTAGCGGACTCACTGCAGCTCGTCTTCGAGGAAACTGTACTCAAACGTGAACTCTGTCTTAATGCGTTGGCACCAACCAGTCTCGTAGTCGAAGTACACAAACGTGCCTTGCTCGTAGTCCTCGCCTGTCAATTGCGGCTCCTCGTGACGCTTAAACCATGTCTTGTACTTCTTGTGGTACCCCCATGTCCGTCGCTTCAACTCACGAGCGGCCAGGTACTGCTGATAGGAACCTTGCTGGTAGTAAAAGATGAAGAAAAGCGTGTCCACGTCCAGCTTCTCGAAAATGGCAGCACTCGAAAACAGCGTGGACGGCGTTGCGGGGAACGATCCCGGCGTCGGGTACAAGTTACGCGGAACGTAGCGGTTGGCCTTTTCAGAGTCGCGGCTCTCGGGAATGAAGTGAAAGCTTTCATCGATCAGCCGCAAAACCTGTCGCTGTTCTTCCGTCAGTTGAGGCGATTCCACCATGGGCCGAGCGTTCACTACTGCTGTTACTGATGCGGTAGATGAGGCTTCAGCAAATCCAGACACTGGTGAAGGTGCTATATTAGTCACCCCTGCAGCGGTCGACGCGGCGGGTGACGGTGCAGGTACTGGAGGCGGCAACAGTGAGGAGCTGGATGGCGCAGGTGACGGTGCCGGACCTGTTGGAGGTTTAGTCACAGCCGGTGAAGCAGAGGACGACAAGCGACCTCCCATGAGCTGTCCCTTGCTGACACTAGGAGACGGTGTGCGCTGCGGTGTGGGCGGTGACACCTTGTGGACCGGTGTGCGCTGCTCTCCAACACCAGGAGAAGACGGTATCGGAGTCGGCGCTTTGCTCGACCCTTTTTCGGACGACGACGATCCGCTTTTAGCATGCAGCGGGGTCGAGCGTCCTTTGTTCGTCTCAATCTTAAGGCTGTTCAATGGCGACGTGTCACTTTTACTCGTGCTGCTCGATCGAATCGGCGTCGACGTCTTGAGATCAATCGGCTTCACTGCCCCCGCACGGCCAATGCCAGTAATCAGCGACGATGACGCACTCTTGCGTGGCGTCTTACCCCGCCCCGTCGAGGTCGTACTAGCTGCTGCTGCGACCGGCGCAGCTGTTGCCACCGCCGCCGTTGCTCCATTTGCATCATCAATACCGACATCCTGCTCTGTCGGCAGTGCCACTTGAGCAGCTGCACCCAACGTATCAAGATCCAATGTCTCATAGATATCCTCGTCCACGTACGTGTCCATAAAGTCTGGCTCTTGATTAGCTTCTAGAAAATACTCGACGTCTTCCTTGAGTTCATCCACTTGCTCTGGCTCAAGCGCTGCATTGTCCAGCAGTCGATTGATCTGCTCGAGCTTGAGAATGTGCCACTTGTGCCGCGACAAGAGCTTCTCTTTCTCGTCAATCTCGGCTTTGTTCCGATTGCGTCCTTTGACCAAACGGAGCCGCTCGATGTCGCTCTCGAGCGCTTCGATCTGCACGTTAAACTGCGTGAGACAGTCCTGAATCCACGCATGCGACTCCTGTCGCGCTTGCTGCTCAGGGTCCAAGCGCTCGACTTGAGCCAGCCCTTCCTTGCTGTACGCCTTGGTCTTGGTCTCTTTCTCACACACTTTGAACTCCTCCATCTTCTGCTCAATGAGCTTCCGCGTCTCCATGAGCGGCCGCTTGTCCTTCACGTCGGAATTGCCGATCCACGTCTTGATCTGGTCCCGGAAGCGCTGGAGCTTCTTGATCTCCTTCTTCAAATCCGCTTCGTGCTTCTCCTTCTGGTTCTGCGCCGTGGCCGCGTACACCTTGTCCCAGATCTCATTGAACACGTCCACGCCTTCGCTCACCTTCTTGAGCGTGCGGTCGATCTCGCTCAGGAGCTTGCGCTGACCGGCCATAGCGACGTCGACGAGGGGGTCGGGCTGCCAGCAGTGACTACGAAGAGCTCAAGGGGGCGAATGCCGGGACGCGACGAGCAACGATTGGATGAAATGGAAGATCGAGTTTCCACCAATCAAAAGACTGCCCTCCGCGACTTTTCGAGTCGGCGGGATTAGCGAGCGACGAAGATGGCGAACGTGATGCTGACGAGCGAGGCGGCCAAGGACCCGAACAAACCCTTTGCGCTGCGTGTCGAGGACGTCTGCGCCAAGTTTGACGTGTGTGCTACAGAGGAGGACGAGTGGGAGCGCGTGCGGAGGTCAACTGACGCCGCTGGTTGGTTTTGTAGGAGCTCGTGGCCGAGTGTCTGGCGCTTGTGCAGGCCGAGGAGCAGTTGGCGTGCGTGCATTTGTTACTAGGATGTGGTGATGTGTATGCTGTAATTGGTGACGCTCTTGTTCTGGTGTTGGTGAAGCGGTAGTGGCGAGAGGGACGAGCCAGGCAGTGGGGAGGAGGACCAAGTGATCAAGAAGCTCGAGCAGTTCAATTTGGTCTGTGACGAGCTCTACAAAGAGATTGTACGGTAGTTCTCGATAGAAGATGCACGTAGGCTTTGTACTGATGTGTGTCGCTTGCCACAGCTTCGACGGAAAGAAAAGCTGCTGTACCTTATGGAAAAGAGTCCCAAGAACGTGGACCTGCATCGCCAGATCCAGACAGCAGGCAAGCTTGTGCAAGTGGTGGGCGACTTTCGACACTTTCTCGAGACAGGAACTAGCAATGGCAGTGGACAGTAGCAGCAACTAAGGAACAAATGAAAAAAAAAAGAGGCAGACGACGCGTCAAGCGGGGCTGCATCCTGTATTTTCGAGCACGCTGGGTAGTTGTCGGTCGGCGAAAATTTAACAAGTACCTACAATCGTGGACGCAGCACGTCAAATGCCGCCAAATGGTAGCGACGGCATCGATGTCTCGCTCGTGTGCGTATCTGATGTGGTTGTTGGTGTTGTTGCAGTCGTGGTTGGTAGCCCAACGAGTGCGGATGTGAGGTCTGCGTCTATGCCGTGATATGGCTCGTCGCTGAGCTCGAAATAAGGCATGACGGTGTTCGAAAGTAAATGCGGCTCCAGAGCTGGCTTGGACCAAGTGCCGTCATCCACAGGATTCGATCGAAGCAGCCATTCAAGAATGGAGCTATCAGTCGGAGCCGATTGCAGTCCCGGTCCCGGTGGAATGGCAGGCGTGTGGTGCTTGACAAGTAGCTCATTCTGTCACGTCATATAACGTCCAGTAAGTAAAGTGCGCGGTCACGTCAAAGGTCCATCCAGTCACGTTCAACCAACCTGCTTCTGTACTAATTGAGTCAGATGATGGACTTGTGCTGCGAGTCCATCGATCTTCCTGCTCATTCGATCTTCCAACATCGCCAAGTCTGCAGCACACAGCGAAAAGCGTAACACACGCCTGATGTAACGCAACGTGTGACAACACCGTGAACGATAGAGTGCAACTGTACCTCGTTTGAGCAGCTTGGGAGGAGGCTCTTTCACGCGAATCGACGAGTCCGAGCTGTACGGACTCGGATGTTTCCGCTTGGACAGCACGCAGATTGCATTCGTAAACACTGGCGTGAGGTCCGCCACGTTCGCAGTGCACTGTTCTTGGTCCACTTCGATCCGCAGCTTAAACCGTTGGCCATCTTTCCGTCTGCTCACCTTCTCGAGACGAAATTGCACCACTGCCGTGCGCGTAGCAGCTCGAATAACGACCGAGTCGTAGTCGTTGCCGACAAATCGAAAGATCTCCTGGTCCGTGTCGTCCACGCGCTTCCCCGACTCGAAAAACAGCAAAATCCGCAGCGGAATGTCAATAAACTCCTTGTCGCTGGACCGCGCGGGCTCGCCGTGTTCGTCAAATTCCACGAGCGTCACTTCGACCTCGAGGGCATTGGCTTTGCCGCCTTCGTCCTTGTAAAACTCCGACAGCGGCTGCTTGGTGATCACCAGCCGACGCGTCCAATTGAGTCGTTTGGACGGGAAAGTGGGTACAGCTGCTGTCTCAATAGGCGAAGAAGAAGAAGAAAAAGAAGATGAAGAAGATGAAGGCACAATTACGGGCGACAGCGGCAATGGAGTCAAAGGCCATTCGCCACGTTGAGCTGCTATTGCAGTGGTGGCGGTGACTGCAGGAGAGTCGACGGTTGGCTGCTGCTGCCCCAATCGCGTCTGCTCGGCTGTGATGAGCATGGGGTCGGACCGGCAAGTGGCAAAGTGACGGGAACACGCCGAAGCGCGTGGCGTGACTGACTGTCGTGACGTGGGACGAGAGCGACTGCGACTTGACGCGGTCAAAACGACGGGAAGCGACTGGTAACGCTCGCATCAACGTTGACGCGATGGAGAACGTGCCACCTCCATCAGAGATGACGAAACGGTGATGGGGAGCTCAAGTGTAGCCATGAAGAGACCGTGTAGCTAAGAGGAGACAGTATGTAGCCATGAGGGGGCAGTATGTAGCCATGATGGTTGCGAGTTTCGATGCGGTTTGAGGATCCCTGACTGTAGCCATGTTCACAAAACAGGAGCCACAGCGGAACGTCAACGGTCAGAGGGACGAGATTTAGCCAATCGGTCGACTGTATCTTTAATTGACCAATGAGAAGCGCACGTGCAGATTTTTGGGCTCAAGTGGACGGCGATGAAGGCTCCGAGTCGCTGCTTGGCGCGTTTGCGGCGCGATCGTGAGGCTACGCTACCGTCAATTGACGGGCGCTCTGGTGGTGGAGGCAAGTGGAGTGCGGGCGGACGGGTGTGTATCAGTATAAGCAGCGGGGACGAGGAGGAGGACGAGGAGGTGGTGGTTTTGCAGCCAACGGTCGACGGTTCAACTGTCGTGAAGGCCGCGGCGGAGCCAGAGGTGGTTACAATCGACTGCAGCAGTGAAGAGGAAAAGGAGCTGAATAGGGTGGGAGAAGACGACGTGGAGAAGCCCGTGCGACTCAAGAGGAAGTTGGAAGTGCTGGTACTGGACGAGGAGGAGGAAGAGGAGATTGTAGTGGAGGACTCTGTGAAGGAGAAGCAACAGGAAAAAATGAAGACGCAGCAGCAGGTCACGACGTGGAACGAGCGTTGCGCGTTGAGAGTGCGGAAGCGGCGCCTTGGGGAAGAAGATGCAGCTTTTTTGCTTTTTTACGGGGATCGACAGACGCCTAGTGCTAGTGTTTTGCGACTACTTGTTGGTGCGTGCTGTGGCTCGCTGGCTGGCTTGAAACTGTGTTGGAGGTTGTGGTGTCGTTAACGTTGACTCCTGTGTCTCGCCTAAGAGCTCATTTCAGCAGGGCTAGGCGCGTCAAGTGAGTTTTATGTCAAATTTGTCAAGTACTTACTCTGGCGCAAACTGAGCTCGGCTGTCGAGGCAGGGCTGGCAAGCGAGCGCCTCGTGCAGTCCGAATGGACTAAAATCGTGTTCAGTTGTCCCATGCCGCCGCATCGTCGAAGGTCCGGTCCCACGACTCGTCCAACGTTGCTGCCACGTCCTGTTACGCTAAGAGTGCGGCCGCTACAATTATCGCGGCAACGCCACAACGTTTCCACAACTCATATCAGCAGCAAAGCTGCTACCAAACAGCTAGGATTGTCTATACGTGCACCGCCTCCGGAGTCTGGAGTGTGTGTAACAAATGACTTAGCCAGGGATAGGGTCCACTCCAGGGCGAAGAGTCCTACCAAGAGCACGAAAACGGTGCAGTCAAAGTCTCCTAGAGGTGAGGTACGGAAACGCCCACGCAGTGTAGCATTTGGCGATGGTGTAGCTACGTCTGATCGACCTACCGCATCTTCGCCGCGCAAGCATCAGCGAGGTAACAGTAAGGCAGGTGCGCTGCCCGTGACGTCGCTTCAAGATGTGAATGTCAAGAGCCCGAGTGGTACAAGTGCCTGTCAGAAGCTTACAGAACCTTTGCCACAGGATTGTCGAACACTTGGTGAAAATAAGAGCTTACCTGTTGGGTGGCACCCACTCTGTGATGACGGAAATCAGAGTATAGGTGGGGAGGAATTACAACCGGCGAATTTTGTGACGGTGAATCCGATGTTACAGATGACAGCAGACGAGATTGCACGACATATTGCGTCCCTTCGTCGGGAAGGTCGCATTAAAAGTTTTGATAGAGTGACGGATATTCTATTGAAGCTCATGTCTGACCCCAGAAATCGGCATGGTGTATTTAATACACCTGTGGATCCAGTGGCTTTGCAATTGCCTACCTACACGACGATTGTGCAGCACCCCATGGATCTTGGCACCATCAAACGCAACATTGGTGCCGGAGAATATCTTGAGTTGGACGAGTTTGTTTCTGACGTCAGATTAGTGTTTGAGAATGCAATGCTTTTCAACCCCGAGTCGCATTATATCCATGTGGATGCTGGACTGTTGCTTAAGCGCTTTAATGAATCCGTAAAAGCTGAACAAAGTCGAGGGGCGAAGCGGCAAAGCGTGCAACATGTATGTCTGGTGTGTCGGGGAAACACCTGCGTTGTTTGCCAGCAGCAGTGCTTGGACGTCGCTCAGCCGAACCTACAGTGCTCGGCTGGCTGTAGCACCGAAATCCGCAAGGGCTCGGTATATTTTATTTCGAAAGATGGCACTCGCGTTTGGTGTCACAAGTGCAGAAGTCGTTTGTCTCGACCCCATGCACAAGATGACCAAGCGGCTGCGTTAGTGGACTCTCTCATTAAGAAAAAGTGTGAGCCTGGTGTGGAACCTTGGGTAAAGTGCGGTGAGTGCGACCGGTGGCTACACCAAGTATGTGGACTGTATAACCCTGTGATCGGGGCTTACGGGTCTCAGAAGGCCTCGAGCACAGCTTCGAGTGGCTTACCTCTTAAGACTTGTTCGTACGTGTGCCCGCTCTGCCGATGCCGGCGCGAGCGCGCATCTTCACTACTCAAGTCATCCATGCGCAGGATCTTGCAGCCCGATCCTGATCCCGATGAGCACGCGCAGAACAGCTCATGCCTTGACATTCCGAGTTGTGAACTCAGCATATTTATTCAAGACTTTTTGCGTCGTGGGCTAGACAAAGCTGGCGAATATGATGCAGCTCGAACATTGTACGTACGCGCGCTGTCTTTTCCAGGTGAGCACGTGGCTGTTCCAGAGGTGGTGGTACGGGTTTTTAACGAGAACTCGGAACATCTAGCTCAGAAGCACCCTGGTACCGATACTAGCTCGCAGCGAATACCTACTCGTATCACTTATCTCTCTCGCGGGCTGTACCTCTTTCAGAAGCACGAAGGGATGGAGATTTGTCTGTTCACGATCTTCGCTCAAGAATATGGCGATGATTGTGAATTGGAAGCGAACCGACGTGCCGTATATATTGCCTATTTGGATAGCGTCCGTTATTTGAAACCTGCTACTGCACGAACGCTGGCATACCACTTGATTTTGCTGGCGTACTTCGATTATGTGCGGCGCCACGGTTTCTCCCGTGTGCACATATGGTCGTGTCCACCACAGAGGCGGATCAGTTACGTGTTTTGGTGCCGCCCCCCGTTTCAAAAGACTCCAAGTGCTGAGCATTTACGCCAGTGGTACAACAAGCTTCTTCTCAAAGCGAAAGACTATGGGGTTGTCAAAGCCTGGTCTACGCTCTACGATCGCTATTTCGGTGAAAGCGTCCGTAGTCACCCTGTATGCGGTGATTCTGAGCGGCCAGTGTCGTTCGTTTCAATGCGGGAAGAAAACGGTACGGGTGTGTCTACTCGTGGCACCACGGTGCAGTCCGTAAATGCTGACGAGCTCATTTGGCCAGCAGACCAGCTTCCGCCAATTTTTGACGGTGATATCGTTCCAGCTGAATTGGAACGAGTGATTGGTCGTATTCTTTCCAAGAACCATAAACAGAGGCGGTCGAGCGAAAACAAGAAACGTGCAGCTGCTTGTGGGACTTACAGCGAGTCCGATGGCGGCGGTGACAATGCTGCATTTGGCGGTGCGTGTTCACAGTCTAGGAACGGTGGTTCCGGTGCGTCACTGGTAGCGCCAGCATCGCTACGAGTAGATGTGAAGGTGCGCGAGGTGTTTGATAAATGCCAGTTCGCTATTCAACGACTGAAACAAGACTTGCTGGTGGTTGATTTAGAAGTACTGGATGACGTCGAGGCAAACGGTGGAATTGTGCTGGGAAACAATCGAGACAAGGGGTGCCATCCAGAGACACTTGTGCCTTCCTGGTACGAACAAGTCCCGCGCTTCTTCGGAAGTCGCTTTATGTTTCATCAGCTGTGTGCGTACGCCGGCTATCAATTCGACTCGCTGCGCCGTGCCAAGCATTCGACCATGATGATATTGCACCACTACTTCAACGAACAGGCCGTCCAGCTCAGTGTGTTTTGCCGGGAATGCAGTTTGCTCGTCACACGCGCAGAATTTTGGTCTTGTCGGAGCTGCACGCGCTACGCGCTATGTGATACCTGCTACCGGCGTCATGGGAACAAGCATTCGCACCAGTTGACCTTTGGTCCAGCTCCATTGCGGATTCCATCGATCCAAATGCAGAGTTTAGAGCACAGTCCCGCATCTTCGGCCCAATAAAAGCCAGAGCGACCCGGATCGCCTTGATGTTGAGCAAATTTGGCCTGACGAGTTGGCAACTACAGTGCAGCCGTCGACCGCCACCGTCTGTGAATTGCGTCAACTATGTACATCAAAAGGAATGACTGCGCTGCAGCTTTAACTAATTGATAATTAATCGACTGTACCTTGAGCATCGTATCACTAAAACCATTGACTGTGTGACTTTTGTCCATCTGAAGTACCGCCACTATACGAGACGTGACAGTCTATAGCACTCACGTGTGATTTGTCAAAAAAAAGCAACTCTTTTTAGCTTTGCTTGTCAATCATCGCATTACCGCTTGTGTCCGTAGGCGTCCTTTTGGCACCCGCAAAAAGCACGATAAGCTAGATGCTTAACTGCACAAAGCTGAGCGACCACTTCTAACGGGAACAATACAGAAAGGATGTACATTTCAGCAGAAACTGTTGCTTCGCAGTCACAAGTGATCGCTACCCTGCATAATAGTGATGTGATATTCAGTCAGCAGCGATGGACGTCATGATCGCAATGCAAGAACTCACGCTTTCGTCAGCGCTTTTACATGGATGTTACTACCGAGTTAAGAATCCGCAACTTTGACATGATACTTCTGTGGAGTCTACGACCACTGTACATTCTTGATGAAGATCCTCTTTGCACTATCAACTGAGTAGCCGTCGTCCCAGCAGTAGCCCGATGCAAGGAAACTACGTTGAAAGTAGGCAATTAAAAGCCTCGAATGAATGTAGCGAGTGAGGCCAACAAGATTGAGCTGTAATAAGCCCCACTTACCTAACATGATGGTGAGCCTGTTTTTTCGCTAACGATAATCCCAATTCGTCAAACAGTGGAGGCTTAGCTCTTTAATTGTACCTCAGTATTTGGTCGAATTTGGCTTTGTCAGGCCTTTGGCGCTGGAACAAACGCGTGAAGCTACTCCAGCGCACCGCAATAATAGCTGAATCATGCAAAAGAAGACGTGGAAGAAGAAGAACAGGTTGAATGCCAACGAAGAAAATGCGATGTAGTCGCAGTTTGAAAGTGGAAGTTGTAAAAACAAATCGGGACATGAAAACGGGAACACTGAAGACGGCATTATCGAGGACAAGTTAATGTCGGAGTGCTTCTGCCAAGCGACTTCTGGTCGATACATCACGTGATGTATCGGAGGATGGCTAGTGATTATGGAGCCGTGCTGCGTACGAAGTCTTTTGGACTTGATTGTTCTCGGGTGAAGTGTGGAAGGAACTCAGTGTTGACGGGCGTCAAGGTTACGGAAGCCTTGCTGCACAGGCTGTCTTGGCACTACTGGTGACTGCATGCGTCACCTTGGACACGTCGATACTATTCTTTGAGTTTTGATCTTGGCTAGCTTGATGTTGTCACAGGCACTCGATTCAGCTCGTATGGCCACATAGATAGATACATCATAGCCACTTTCGCGTCCATAGGTCCTGATCGCGTCAATCTTTGCTTTTGAGTGTGATCGACCGCCTCCCAATAGATGCAATGGTGAGTTACGCGTTGAGAAATCATTCGTCGAAGATCTAACCAGAACAACGCGAGAGTCCAACAGCTAAGGCTCAACTGCTGGTCAAATTGGGATTCCTATCGCCTAGTTCGGTCATCCAACCGGCGACGAATATTCCTTACAAGAAAATGGTAGCTCTTATGTTGATAGATATGCTGATACTACGACTCAGACACGTCTGTAGAATCGACTTTCAAGCCGATTACCAAAGCATAATTACCGTCGCTCCAAATTGTAAGCGCTCCCCAACTGCACTTACGATGACCATCTTGGAATGCTGTTACAGAGAAATCATGCCGGAATGGAAAGCCGCAGAAGCGGAAAGTATGCGAATCGTGAGAGCTTGTAAGATTGAGATGGCAAGTAGATAAGCGATTGATGAGTTCTCAGCAAGTAAAAACATACTAAGCTACCCACTTCGTATCCAGAAACGTCATGGCTACTATCGCTCCTTCCATAGCTTCATTGCAATGTTATCATCAGCTATACTTGTTTGTGTACCGAGTTGACTCCTTCACGGCCACATCCATCAACATGCTACTACCACAAGTCGTCCATAGCAGCTGCAACATCAGATCGAACTTACTGTCAATCGTACCGTCGATGGAGCTTATTACGTGTTTGTCGTCACTTCCAACCCACCACAATCGTGCGTTCCTACAGCCTTATTATAAGTTATGTGGCCGCCATTCCGTTTCCGGTCGTAGTGGACACAGTTGATTGAGCATCAACTATTCATGTTTCAATACAGCAATCTCTAGTGCTGCCAAGAGGTGGTGCGGGGCACTTTCAGGGAGCGAGAAGACACGTCTGGCTTGATTTACTGCCTCGTCAATCTACGGAGGACGTCGTGACGCTTATAACAAACTTTGCAGCTGTCGTTCAATGCGTCCAACTAATCTTGGAGTACGACAGCAATTTAGCTCACTTTATGCACTTGACGAAGTGCTGGCTTTCGAATCGAGAACTTACCGTCATTCTATGGCTGGCGAAGTCTCCGGATTTAGATCTGGTCGAAAGCCGTTGGGGTGGACACGTCTGTCTTACCGTGACTACGTGAAGGATGGAAATGCAGCTTGATTTTTGCACACCAGACGCCGTGTGGGAGGCATTTTCACGCTTGACGATTGGCGAGTGCTATATCTAGAATGCCCCTTTTTTAAATCGCTGTGTGCTTCTAAACTGAGCCATTTTTAGAATCGTCGCTGACTTGCCACGAGGTCCGAGGTTTATTTTGGGCACTTGTTGCTTCTGTTTGTCTTGAGTTGCGACAGATGCTGGTTGCGGAATCAGGGGATAAAAGAGGCAGAGCCAATGCGTTAGCACTAGGAGTATAGTCAACGTCTCCTTGATATTATCCGTCTTTTCGTACAAAATCCAGCAAGAACAAACATCCTTCTCTTCGTCAAGCACTTTAACAAAAACTCGATAAACGTAAACCGTCCTGACCACGTTAGAGCAAAGAGCTACGCGGTTACCCTAACAACAGCATGGAGCTCCACGTTCGCGCGTGCTCAGCGCGTGACTTGCTAGACAAACAGACGTTCGGCAAGCAGGATCCCTACTGCAAGCTCACGCTGCGCCGCAAGAGCTTCAGGACGCGCGTGCACGACAACGGCCGTGAGTTATCGCGTCTTTTCATCGTTTGTAACCTCTGGACACTCTATTTCTACACACAATTGCGCTATTTCTAACTGCACAAAAAACCTCATCGAACCCCCTATCTATGTTTTCTGTTTCCATTTCTATCCATTGTTATCCTGTTTTTAGATAAGACGCCCGTGTGGAACCAAGTGTTTATCTTTCCAGTCGTGGACATCCAGCTGGACCAGCTCGTCCTTGAAGTGAAAGACAAGAACTTTACCGCCAGTACACTCATTGGCGAGTGCCGGCTGCCCGTGACCATGTTCGTAGACGGCAGCGTCACGGATCAGTGGTACACGCTCCACAATGGCTCAAAACGTGCGGGGGAGATCAATCTGCGCGTGCAGCTCAAGGGATCAGGGGTGCCGTCCAAGGGACCTGGGGTGCAGCCAGTACCGATGGCATCGTCTACTGGCAAAGCTCTTCAGCCACCGACAGCAGCTCAAGCTTATCCGTACCCCCAGCAGTCGGGTTACCCACCCACGCAGCAGTACCCTTCGCCTTACCCCCCGGTGGCTTCTTGTACCGCTCCTGCTGCTGCAGCTGCTGCGTCAGCACCTCAGCAGTACCCGCCACAGCCATACTACGCACAGCAACCACACCCCCCTCCGTATGCACAGGCACCACCACCTCACTATGGTCAGCCACCCGCACACCAGTACCCTGGACAGCCGCCTGCAGCACAGTACGCCGGACAGCCACCGTACTATCAGTCGCCTCCTGTGGCTACTCCGGCCTATGGCTACTCCCCTCCACCCGCTGCGGCTTACGCTGGAGGACCTCCCGGCATGGTTGGTCAGGGAGGATACCCGTCCGACCACCATCAGCAGCACCATGGACCTTCGCTTGGTGGCTTTAGTGTTGGCAACTTACTTGGCCATGGTGGCAAGTCCGGTCATGGTGGTGCGCGTGGGGGGGCCATGGGTACCGCTATGAGTCTTGGCAGCTTACTTGGTCACGGTGGTAAATCCGGTCATGGTGGGACGCATGGGGGTGGTATGGGTACTGCTATGGGTGTCGGTAGCTTACTCGGTCATGGTGGCAAGTCCGGTCATGGTGGCAGCTCTGGTCATGGTGGTAGGCGTGGGGGTGGCATGAGTACTGCTATGGGTGTTGGCGCTGGTGTGCTTGGTGGATTGCTGCTGGGCGAAGCTCTGGAAGATGTCTTCGACTAGGCTGGACGGTTGCACAGCTTTTTTTTCTGTTGGACTAAATAGCAGCTTGACAGTTGGATGATCTGTTCGACAGCATCGATGAAGCGATGGATTGAATGAAGGCATTGTTTGATAGATGTGCGACCACCTGTAGTCATTTTCTCGCTCGAGCGTCTGCGTCTAGCTCTGCAGACTTGAGCTGAAGGCTGAACTGGTGTCAATAGCTGACAAACTTTGCAACAGGGGAATACACTGGCAATCAACAACTTTTGGCAGAAAAAAAGAGGTGCGAGGATCATGAAGAGTTGCAGCGATGTAGCCGGCAGCACTGACTTCGTGAAAACTACATTGCCGAGCTTGTGATAGTACTAGGTCTTGGAAGTAGCTGTTTTCAAACTTGAAAACCTAAAAAAGTGCAAATGTGGCGCTGCTGGTGACAATATTGTGCCAACCAAGATGTTTTTACATCAAGACGTCATCGTGCTGTATTTTGTATGGTCGCTACTGATGATGTGCATCTTAAGGGCACGAGAGCTGCCGCACCCTTGCTCCCACTCTTGCCTTGGAAGAAAAAATGGTCGAGGTTTACAATGCAAAGCTCTGCGTACCAAAACGTTACAGTTGCACCATTGTAAAGCGTCATCACTATAAGCACATGTTAGACTACTTTCGTGTGAAAGCTGCTTGCAAATGGCACGTTGAGGTAACTAGGTTACACCTATACAAATACTATACGAACACGCAGCATTTGTATGGTAAGCGCTGTATTTCTAGAGCTATAGAGTGTGGTAGCGCAGCGATCTTCATCGAAAGTAAGAAATTGACGATATGCGGGCAACACTCGATTTTGTGTTGCATTTGACCCGGGGCGGAGGCTTTTTTTCATGTTTGCGCAGATTATGGCTGCTTTTGACATAACTCCGCATAATTGCCACGACTCGAGTGAGGATGTAGACAAACAGTTGCCATAACCACGTGAAGTAACGCAGTTATGTATTCCTCAATCCCGAGTTTTCGATGTGAATTGGAGAAAAGGGGAGGGCGCGACGTAACGGTTGCAGAAGGAGTGAGGTTGTTCTCACTGTTTCATACGCACAGCTTACTTCATGTTGCAGGTGATGGGCATCAAATTCGGAACTAGACCTCATCAGTGCATGTGTGATGCGCCATTCTGAACAAAATAGCGGAAGTAACTTCACACGTACGTAGGAGATATTACACAATGTCAAATGCGGCGCACGTGTTCACTGCTGAAGGACCGATCCACACGAGATGCAAAAAATGGTCACGTTCAAGTTTGGCAGAAAAGCTCCGAGATGTATCTGTGGGAGCACCATTCGCTGTACCACGCTATGGTGCAGGTAAATCGTTATTATACGTAGACGTATGCAAGGCGTAGCCGTATGCGACACTTGATGACACTTACCCGTTTCCTAGCTCGCTTCTGCTCGTGACCATGTCAGGTAGCGAGATGCTCCGTATCCAAGTCGACAGTCGTACCGTCCGGGGAGCTGTGTTTATGGGCATATGCTGATCAACGTTATCGGCATGCACACAAAGGACGTCAAACATAGAGTTCATTGAAGTGACATAGCAGTAGAATCTGTCAGGAATGATGAACTAGAACCTTTGTAATCTCTTTTGAGACAATCTGCGAACCCAGTCATGTAAACTAACCACATCTGTATGGTCCAACCCTCCTGCTCTACCTAATCTAACAGCTTTGCATCCGACAGCGACAGCAAGCAGCTATACCTACGAATATTCGTTTCGGAACCCCGTATTCTCGTCTGTGGTTAGACTGCATTGCAGTCACTTCGTTACAACTTGACGCGAGAGCAGCACATGATGGAAAAGTCAGCAGACAACTTCGCTACCAAATGTATCCTCATGATCTGCATGCGCTTCGACAAGACAAGCGCGTGTGCTGTCGTCGTGTCTCGACGGTACTGAACTCGGTCTCAAATCCGCCAGGAGCTTTTGTCTCGGAGTTTGCAAGCTGTGACATTATATCTAGAGATCGCACAGTAGATGCGAAGAATGAGGTGAAGCCGCAGGAGGTCAATGCACGCGTATGAGGCATCATAGACAAAGGTCCTACGTGGCTCGACCAGCTTCAACTAGATCAAACAAATATCCTCTTATGTAGAACCTGCTTTCGTTATCCTGTCATTGTGACGCGACTCTATTTAACGTCGTTCCCGTAACGAGTCACCCTCTCATCTTTCTTATCAAACCGCCCGAGAATCCGACGATGGACGACAGACATTCTCTGTCGTGGGGCAGTAGTAACGGCCGGTCGTGTTGAAGCCTGCACTGCTATGATCGAGGGACACGGATGTGTGTACCGCACACTGGCTGGGCGAGGAGGAGAGGAGACAGCTGACATCTAATTTCCATACTTTAAGCGAGAGTCCAACCGCCATAGCCGTACAGCCCAGAGGGGGCGGCCGGGTTTCTCGCCTTGTCCACTCACGAAAACTCCGCCTTCGGCCCCACAAGACAAAGTACGTCTTCCCCCTATCCCGTCCGTCCGTCCGTACCACTCACTTACCCCCTCGAGCTACTGCGTCGCTATGGTGCGTCCCCTCTCTCTGCCCTATTCATCTCCATGCTCCCAACCTCTCTCTACCTTTTGTATACTGATCCTTCCCCTCCCCTGTCTCTGTATACACTGCTACGGCGTCTGTCCCCAGTCTTCCGGTGTCGGCGTCGACGATGAAGTGATCACGCAGTTCAACGACTTTAAACTGAAGCGCGCGCCGCACGATTTCCGCTACTTTATCTACAAGATCGTGAACGACTCGGAGATCGTGATCGAGGCCACGGGGCCCAGCAGCGAGTCGTACCAGGACATGGCCGACAAGTTGTCGCAGATCACGAACGACTGTCGATACGCAGTCGTGGACTTGGACTTGACCACGAAGGACGGGCGTCCCACCAGCAAGATCGTCTTTCTCTCGTGGTACGTGGCTACGTGAGAGCAGCCCGAGTCGGCACTTGGACTCTTAATTCTGATCTCTATTTGTTGTGGGGGGGGATGTTGGTTCACCTATAGGTCGCCCGATACGGCGCGGATCAAGTCGAAGATGCTGTACGCGTCTTCGAAGGAGGCGATCAAGCGGGTGCTCGTGGGCGTAGGCATCCACTTGACGGCGACGGACGCGGCGGAGCTCTCGCTCGAGTCGATCGAAGACGGTGTGGCCAAGTTTCTGTAGACGCGTGGACCACGTGCGTTTTGGTAGATTTGATTCCCCTCTCTCTTTAACCCTCGACATGAGGGATGTGCTCGCGTCAATCCCCCGCAGTTGCGTCTCGACGCCGTCGTCCGTCGTGTTTCTGTAGCTCCTCATCTACAGAGATCCAGCAGCCAAACGACATTTCAAGAAACGTAGTTTCTATCGGCCAATGAAGTCGCGACACACGCTATTTTTGAACCGTCACAACGTGGTGTCGTCAGATTGTCGCAGTAACTGTTTTACGAATGTTTCGTCATAACGAGATGCTGTCGAGGCTATGCACCAACCACTTCATTCGTACGCGACATTGCAGCAGTCCGAAAGTATCCATCTACTGCCGCAATGGGGCTGCGACTGCCTGGAATGTTGCGCTACTTCACATTGGCGCTCCTGCCGTCACCCTCGACTAGCGACCTCATCGACCACATCGATCAAGTGGCTGTATCCTATGCTATGTACAGCACCGGCCTCGCCCTCGTCCTCACCTTCACTGTCTTGCTAGCCTCTGTGTATCTGCTCCCTCACTGGTTCTTACGCTGCCTCAAGTGGCACTCGCATCCTTCTGTGCTCTGGAGCGTCAGCACGTCGTCTCAAGTCTGTTCACTGACGATTGACGACTCACCCACACCTTCGACGCCTGCGATCCTCGACATCCTCGCTGAACACAAGGTCAAGGCCACGTTTTTCATCATCTCAGGCCTCATTCCTGGCAATGAAGAGGTCCTGCGACGCATCGTGCGAGAAGGTCATACGCTGGCCAACCACCTCACTGAAGACCGGGCCAGCATCCTGGACGAGCTTCACGTCTTCGAGCAGAAGCTGCTGAAGTGTGACCGAGCCATTAACCAGTTCCAACCTGCAGCGGACGAGACGGCCGAGCCATTAGAGACGCAGCAGAAGGACAGACCGGAGAATGTCCAGCTAGAGACAAATGTGAACGACGTGAAAACGGACGGCGGTAATCGACCAAGAAGCAGGTGGACGCGTCCAGCGTCTGGGTGGTTTACGACACCCATGCGCGAAATTCTCACGCGTCATAATTACCGCATCTGTTTGGGCAGTGTGTACCCACATGATGCGCAGATTCAGTCGGAGACTTTAAACTCGATCTTCTTGCGAGCACGCACTAGCTGCGGATCGGTGATCATTGTGCACGACAGGTCGTGGACAATAGGTGTCTTGGAGACCGCTCTTCCTGCGCTTACGCGCAGATTCACGTTCGTGACTTTGGACGAGCTCTTGTTGTATCACGAAACCAAGTTGACAAAGCGGGTAAATGAAGCTTAACAATGTCAAGTACATCGTCTCAGGAGATTGGTATGTCTGCAAACACTGTATTCACCAGGGCGCTTTGATTCGAACATGTCTCTAAGGCTATACAATGCCTCCAAAAGTATCGATGGATGCGAAAGGATTGTGCGTGGTGGCAGGCGGCAGTGTTGAACGATGTACTATTCTGTGCCATTTGTTTATGGATGATCACGCGTTTGGCTCGCATTTTTGACTCCGCCTGTATTATTCGTACGAAAACACGACCAGCGTAACGAGCTCTTTCTGAAGCAATTTGTGCAAATTTTAGGGCCCATTTAACTGCGAATCACGTGGATTAAGTTAACATGTGTATGATCGGTTTTTCACAGGGTGTAGGTTTTTTGACGCAGTGAAGCCAAAAGGTGCTGTATTTCACTCGAACAAGAAGTTTCAATCCTCCAGAAAGCAGCGTGATTGTCTAATCAATAATATGAGTACTATAAACTGCAGAATTGGTGTAATTAGAAGTGGTTTTTTTAGAATTTTACGAAATGTGACAAGAAATGGTTAAATTGGAAAGATACTAGCCGATAGAAAAACACTCGAACTTAACGTCATCATATTCTCACTCACGGCTCAAGTTAGCCATTTTTCAGAAAAGAGAACCCTCCACAAACGAGCTCAGAAGCGATCGGCTGAGGATCCACTCCATGTGCAAAACGAATCTTTCTAACACGCGGCAGTTGAAAAATCGGTTTACCCTCGTTTTCGATCACCTTCTCTACGACTTTTTGCTTTGTCAAGAACGTCTTGTCGATTGTGTCTGCTTGAACTCGATCAAACGCCCTGTTGATGTTGCAGATCGACTATTGCTGTCGCCAACATTTCACGTGACAACGATCACGCCAGGTGTAACGGGGCACCCTTTGGTCGGGGTGCCACGAAACTTCACTTACACTAGTACGTGCAGAGGAAGCTAATCTACTCAACAGCTAGGTTGAGTAAAGAGTAAAAAGATAACTGCATTTAGTATAGTCAAGCTATCAATATAACCTTAATCTTTATCTAACTATATCAGACTACGTCGTCGTATGACGACAACCTTCTCGCCACTCATTGCGCGCGTCTAGCAGCGATTGGTGGTAATCTATGGTTGAAATTTCTTTTATCAATTAATCTTTGAGCAGTGCATGAATATTTTCCTAAAAAGGGATAACAATCCCTCAATATTATCCATCTCGGATAATATTTGGTAGGGAATTGTCACGCTAGACAATATCCCTATTGACACCGTTTGGTGTCAATATCATGTAACGGGCTACCCCGTTACATCACCCCCCTTTTCACCATCAATCACCCGTTAATTGAATAGAATTAAATGGGACAGGGTGACCACCGTTGGACCACTCTGAGAAAGAGAGTCCTTGTTGGTCAAATTCCATTCATTTGGCAATTCAATGTATGGCCTCGAAACCCAAGCGAGTTGCTACTGCAGCAGCAAGAAAGGCGGCTGCACGCATGCGTGCAACCGGAGAGAGTACTTCTCACGCCTCAGCAGCAGGTGATTCATCGCCTGCTGTTGTGAACAGTCCACGTGGTGAGTCACCGCGTGCGACAGGTACATCCGCTGCGTATGCAGCGGATACTGCGAATCGTAATCTAGATGAGTCTGAAATAGAACTCATCTATTCCGGCGAGTCGGATGATGTATCCGACTCGAAGGCGACACCTCTCGCCTCCGGATCACCTGGGGCGGACACTGCAAGAGCGAGGTTGACTGGCTCTGATCAACGTGGCGGCATCATGCTCGAGATCTTCAGACCGAGTGATTGTTCCGACGAATACTCGCCTCACGATAGTCCATCCAACGATAGGACGCGTGGAGATGGTGGTGATATCTCTAAGCATCACCACGAGCAAAGTAACTCGAGGGATAGAGCTGCCACTGGTGTTAGTGCTCATGCTGACACCAATCAAGAGGCCAGGGACCGAAATGTCCCGCTCCACGCTCCTCAAGTGTAGTCTCCTTGGATGCCGTCATCCAAAGAGTTGGACCGGTTGGCCGGCATGAATACCGATCGAGATCGAATTCCGTTGCTCGACTTTAGGAAGATTTGCGCACCGAATTCCAGCACGGAAACTATCCGTGCTGAGGAAGAATTCTTCATCGATGAATTTTTCAAAAATCGATGTTACAATGGCAGCCGTGGTCGAGACGGTAAGGCCTTGGTACAAGGATGGAATGAACCCATCCATAACATCGAGTGCATTCGCCGTGAGGCCTGGATCGGTAAACTTGATGCAGCTCACATCAGGTTTGAGAAGCGTAACCCAGCCGAGGTGCAATGCATGTTGCACAGACTGTCAAGAGAGGCAGGATTACCCTGTCTCTCGTGGGTTGATTCGTGTCCAGGTTGCTTGAACAACTCGAACCATGCCCCTAGGGAGGCCTACCTCCCTAATGATCCCTACTGGAGGGCGCGCATATCTTCCGAGATGGCCGAAGGGATTGACACCTTGCAATCCCTGTACTCGCGTTTGGGGAGGTCGATTTCCGACGGCCCTTCTTCGAACGCAGCGGGTGGGTCTCGTCATGTTGCTTGACGAGAACCAAAACATCAACAATCAGCTGGGCACGAGGCTCTCAACTGTCCCAGGCCGGTGGATAGCTACGCCAGCGGACGAGGTAACTCGTCCGGACGCCATTCACGTCGCGGTGGTTCAAAATACGCTCCATTAGAAAGCGTTGACCACCGCCAGAATCCACCAAAGGATGTGGTGGTGGTGGGAACACCTGATCCGGATCAAGGGTCGGATCAGCTTGATGTTCAGGAGCTGAACCGTGTAACGGAACATTCACAAGATGACCTGGCTCATGCACGGACTCGGCGTTATGAGCTCCATGATCTTGTAAGGGATAAATACAATTTCTTATCACGATCGCTCGGACGATCGTGCCGCGTTTGCGTTTGCACAACTTGAGAACGAACGTTCGACTCGTTCTCTTAGTGGCGAGCTGGCTGCAGCTCGTCAAGAAATCGCTCAACTGCGTGAGCAGGTCGCTTCGCTAGTCGACTAGACTGGATCGTTGAAACGGGACCACTCGAAAGTGGTCTCGGCTCTTGACCGCGGAGGTGTTCTTCGCCTCTCGAAACGGGCTCGTACTGGTAGTACGAGCGAAGACGTCCAACTTAAAACGTAGGATGCGTACGCATCTTACGGGGCAGTTCAATCGTGTATGCGTTCCCATTCGGCGCAACACACAAAATGGACCGATATACTTGGGCAGCAGTTTACTGCTGCCCACGTTTGTCACTGCGTGTTTCGGTAGATTTACTTTAGACAGTTAAACTATGTCTTTTTCATCGAATGAAAGAACATTTGCTCTTCCATGTTTGTATGCGTTTCTCTTCTGCATGTCTAGTGCATCTGCAATAGAGTCTTGAATGAAGCGGGCAACCGCTTCGCGAGTCAGCAGAAATTCCTCTGCTGATTCATCCTTGTCAGCAACAGTTTGCTTCGTGTGCACTGCTGAAAGAACGTTGCCTTCACCAGTGAGGACGTCATCGTCCGACGTCATCGTTCTCACTGTATCGGTCATTGGCGATGCTGAGTATACCAGCATCGTCTTCATCATCATCATCGATGTCGATCGCATCGACATCGGGATCCATCACGTTAACGGGTGATGAGCGAGAACCAGATCGGGTTTTGATTGAGCGAGTCCACACGCCCCCCTAAACTATAGTCACACTCTATGAAGGCGGGTAAACGTGTATCGCGTAGGCCATTCACGAAGAACGGTGTATGCTCTGTAGACGCATGCACCGAGTTGTTGATGGCGAATTCCTCCATCGGCAAGAACTCAATCCAACTCGTAAACGAGTGGACGTACCCTTGAAGTATCTCTTCGAGGACGCGGTTGACGCGCTCCGTCTGGCCATCTGGATGGTCAGAAGTCGACATCTTCAAACTTGTTTCAAGTGAACGGAACACGGATTGCCAGAACTACGCTGTAAAGCGGGGGTCCCGATCAGACACGAGCTCGCGGGGTAACCCGTGAAGTCGTAAAATGGTATCGATAATGACACGAGCACAGCCCCGGGCTATGATTGACTCCGGTACAGCTTCAAGATGTACTATCTTGCTGAACCGATCAACAAACACAAGAGTACTAGCATTCTTGTGAGCGTCTTTGGGAAACCCAAAGACGAAGTCCATCGATACGGACTGCCAACACTCTACCGGAATCGGTAGAGGCTGTAAGTATACGCGGGATGAAGTACTAGGCTTCACCCGTTGACAAAATTCGCAAGCGCGAATGTATTTGCGCACGGTCTCATACTGGCGGGGCCAATAGAAGTCACGACTTACCGTGAGGTAATTCTTTTCTCTACCGCGATGCCCACTTGTTGGGACATCTTGACACTCATACATGATGCGCAGTCGCAAATCATTTTGATCGGAAACGACGACACGAGGTGTTTCGCCGCTGACTACTGTATAGTGCAGAAGTCCATCACGAACAGAATACCGTTCGGTTGAAGAGCGGCATTGAGACGACAAGCTTTTCAAAGCTTGACTGCATGGATTAGAAGCGTAATCCGTCAATCGCAGAAGAGACTCATCTTCTGCGTATGCTTCTCGCACGTCGTTGAGCAGATTCGATGACGGAACACTCACTGTTAGTGTCGCTACAGTGGGATCACCCCTACTGTTGGGTTGAGCAGTCGGCTCGAAATCGGTCCGACGCGAAAGAGCATCAGCGACGACATTAAGTCGTCCGGGTTTATAGTCGACGGAGAAGCTGTACTCCGCGAAGAAAGACAGCCATCTCGCCATTTGCTGCGAGAGGTGCGGACTGTTTACGGTCGTGCGTAATGACGCATGGTCGGTATAAACAATGAGATGCATATCTCTTAAGAGATATACCCGAAACTTAGCCAGTGCATATTTCATGGCAAGGAGCTCCTTATCATTCACCGGGTAATTACGCTCAGCTGCTTGCAGCTGACGCGATTGATAAAATACGACGCGCTCAACGCCGTATGAGTTGTACTGCATTAACGCGCAGCCGATAGCAAAATTGCTGACGTCACAGACCACATGGAATGGTCTGTCCTGATCTGCAATCGCCAACACAGGCGATCGTGTCAAGCTATTCTTGATTCCTTCAAAGGAGTGCTGACAATTAGCACTCCACGACCACCTCTCATTCTTCATCAACTGACGAGAGAGATGTACGGTCATCTCGGCGTAGTTGCGCGAGTACTGGTGCAAGTATGCCGCCAAGCCAAGGCCAGTCGCTGATCGTCTTGATCTTTTCCAGATCAGGGCGTAAGCCGTTATCACCCGCGATGCGGGCAAGAAGTGGTATTTCGTTTGCTGCAAAGATACACTTCTTGAGATTCGCGAACCACTGATGCTCTTGCATAAGTGTAAGGACCTTCCGGACGTGGTATCTATGAACCTCCACGCCCGTCTTTCCATCCATAGCCCGGCTATGGACGAAGACATCGTCGAAGTAACTCGGTGCAAAATCGCGCACCGATCGCAACAGATTCGTAACACATTGGTTGAACGTTGCAGGGGCGTTACGTAGTCCCTGTGGAATCACTAGCTACTCTCAGAGCATACCTATGGGGGTGCTTACTGCTGTGTACGGGATGTACCGTTCACGCATGAGGATCTGATAAAATCCATCCATCAGATCCATGGACGAAAACATGGTACTTTTTGCCATACCATCTATGATGACGTCCTTCCTCGTTATCGGCGTTTGAGCCGATACCGTTGCAGCGTTCAATTTGTTGAGCGCGTGCACTATCCGCCACCCTCCTGTGGCCTTCGCACACAGAAGTTCGGAGAGCTGTGTGGGAATATTGATTTCCTCACATTACTAGCCGCTAAGCGATCGGCAAAGAATTTGTCGACTGCTGTGACCTGTTCGCGAGGCAGTGGCCAACGCTTCATGACACAGTACTTCGAACCAGGTTTCAGCTCGATCTCATGTCGAGTGCCTTTATCTTTAGGCAACTCGCATGGCACGGATTCGTGGAAAACATCCCTGAATTCGACCGAATCCTTATACAAAGGATTTTTCTTTAAAGAATCCCATGATTGAGACGTGTATCGCTCAATCCAAATTTTCTCATCGAGGACACTCTCGTCCATCGATGTGCTACTGAGAACCCGTTCGTTCTCAGCAAACACTTTTGCCGATAGAATACCGGTGACGTACTCGTCCTCTGTGACGAGTACGCAGATCTTCTTGATCTTGTCACTACGCAGATCTCGCAAGAATATTTTAGATTCTAGCGTTGGCAACTTGACTACCTCCGAAGCTGACATCGGAGGTGTAGACAGATCAAGTGTATAAGCGCCTACACTTGATCCGTCATTCACCAAGACATTCACTGTCTCGGCAATTCCATCGGAAAACACATCCGCAGGTGGTTGGGGGTCCACACCCTCGACATAACTCTCTCGGGAGTTATCACTCTCAGGAACGCTGGTACTTTCTCCTAAAACGTGTACTTACTGTGGGTGTACTACCACAGTCACGTCCTCTTCGATCGACTCTCTTTCAGTTGAATGGGCTTGCTCTACGATCGACTCTCTGATAGTCGATATTGCTTCAACGTGTTTTTCATCCTGAACAACACTAATCTCTCTTCTCGGATGCACCCTTCTTGGTGTGCATCCGCGTTCCAGTCCACTCGATCTCTTCGAGTGGTGAACCTTCGGCGCAACCTGTGTCTCTACACAGGTGTCGGATGATGGTTCCACATTGTAGAGGCCTTTCTTCACTGTGATCTTGTGCAGTCATACTAAAGACCGTACCACAAGTGAGGCCATCGCACTCACTCGTAGTACATCCACACGCTTGTGGACATTCCAAGACGTTCATCAGATGGCTATCTGATGAACAAACGGCAGGAATCTTCACTGCTCGATGCTGCCAGCTGATCCATGGCTGGTACATTCCAAAGCCATGGCAGATCGAGAAAGACATCAAGTTTGTCATCCAAATCCAGTACGATAAAGTCATCATCGTACTGCTCTCCTTCTAGCGTGTAGTGGATTCCCACTACACGTTTGTTCACTGCTACGGATGCCCCTGCAGCAAGGCACACCGTCATTGTCGTTAAAGGGAACTCGCTCAACATAGTTGAGCCTACTTTAATCTAGCGACTGGCGTCGAATGAAACTGTTCGACGCCCCACAGTCAACTAGGGCGCGAAGTAAAATTCCACTTGTCGCTCCGATCTTCAAAGTGATGAGGGACAACTCATCACTAGGGGCAGTAACACACTGCGACTGTGTGTTGGGGGCAATCTTCGTCAAGAGTCCTGCAAATTCTCTTGACTTTGCCGGATCAGCAGTGTGCATCAGCAGTGTGCTCCGCCCCAACTGACCCTGGCCGTTGTTTGGCGGTCCGACTTGCTGCCGCGGTTTAGCGACAGCACGTCGGACCCGCACCTTGGACCTTTCCTCGGCCAAAGGCGGTCGTCACGTCCTGTCTTTCGACGTGATGCGGTGCTTGGGACACTACAATCATGAGCGTAGTGTCCAATCTTCTGACAGCAATGGCATCGTGCCGTTCGCTTGTGACTCAGAGAGCGAGAGTTCTCGCTCTCGATATAACAGAGGTCCATGGGCTCGGGACCTCCTGTTTCCTGTCGCCTCTTCGGACGATAGTTTGACGAGTTAGCCTTAGACTGTCTCAGGATGAATTTTTCTTGTTCCGCATACGCTATCACCTTTTCCAGCGTATGAAAGTCCTCTCGGAACATGTAGGTCTTCACTGACCCATCTACAAGACCGTAGATGAACGCGTTGATGAGCGTGTGCTCATCAACAGGGTTTTCCGTGACGCTACTCTTAATGTAGCGTAGGTGTTGTGCGTAAGCGTGCACGCCACACTTATCTTGTTTGAGCCTCAAGAGTGCAGAGCGTGCTCTGAACTCAGCTCTCGGCGGCTCAAACGTCTCTTTGAGCCGAGACCTCAAGAACTCTAACGACTCAAACACGTTCGGGTTGTGAAGCTTGAGCCCTAAGGCCCAAGTCTTTCCTCGTCCTGTCAAATTTGACAGGGCGAAGGTGACTTGCATCTCGTCACTATCGATGTGACGGGTTCTGATAGCGTCGTCTAACTCGACGAACCATCTCAAAAGGGAATCTTCATCGGTTCCCTTGTACCTTGAGATGTATATCTTCAAGGTTTCGGGTCGACGCAGTGCGTCGGTCCGCCTATCGACTGATGAGAGCCTTGCTGCTGTAGCAAGGCTATCTTCTGCCTTTTGACGGAAAGTTCGCCTTGAAGGAACTTGTTGATAGCAGCATGTTGCTGGTCTCTGTTTAGAGACTCCTACATGCCACTGATGGCAGGTTCGCCCATGAGCACACTCATGCGGCCTACTTCCTCCCGATCTTAGTCACTCAGATGGGAGTATTCCTCACGTGTGACGTGAACGCTGTCTTCTTCTACGTCCAGGTAAAATGGGGCACCCTTTATTTTGGGTGCCACGAATCTTCACGTACACTAGTACGTGCAGAGGAAGCTTATCTACTCAACAGCTAGGTTGAGTAAAGGGTAAAAGATAAATGTATTTAATGTAGTCAAGTTATCAATATGACCTTAATTTTTATCCAACTATATCAAACTACGTCGTCGTATGACGACAACCTTCTCACCACTCATTGCGCGCGTCTAGCAGCGATTGGTGGTAATCTATAGTTGACATGTCATATGTCAACCAATCTTTGAGCAGCGCATGAGTATTATCCAAAAAGGGATAACAATCCCTCAATATTATCCATCTCGGATAATTTTGGTAGGGAATTGTCATGCTAGACAGTATCCCGATTGACGCCGTTTGGTGTCAGCATCATGTAACGGGCTACCCCGTTACACAACGAGTCCACTGCCTAATCGATTAATGCTGCGAAGCACCTAAAATTGGACGCTGTAACTTAAGTAGAGAGGCTACGAGCCTCGCGAGGTAGATCTCACGTCACTGGGTCCGTAGTTCAATTCTTGGTAGCATTCGATGGATGTCAATTACCGCGGTCAAGACTGAAACATCGGAAGCCATAACGGATCAGCATGATCGTACTCATTTAAGAAAGTTGACGACTCCATACTAAACGAGGCTAGTATCGCCTTAGGCGAGTCGAGACACGGATAGAGAGATGAGGCGACCCTCACCTGATGCAGACTGGTTGCAGTCTCGAGCCGAGTAGGCGAATTCATCGTAGTAAAAATTTACAGTCGACGAAACTGCATCAGAGTAAGGAGGGTCTGTTGCATTGGAATGAGCACCTGAAAAGAAGTTTGGAACGCGAAAGAAATCTTCACCGAAGTGTGGAGAGATCTTGAGTGGATGAGAGAGTGCTCGGAAGTGATTGATTTACAGGTATTAGATCCGCAAATTCTAGACTGCATCCAATTTCATGATGCTTCTAGTCAATCGAATCTTTGTGCGTTCAATCACTCTACTCGTCTAATCAACAAGTGACGTCATCGCAATAAGTCATAGACTTACCATAATGACGCAATATCGGATTGGGCAGGGTAACCGGTAACCGGTAAAAAGTACCTAAACTGATAACCCGCAATAGGATCAGGTGAGAGAGCAGCTGCGTTAGAGCTTATGAACTCAGCCAACACGATTACGTGACTCTAATTGATACATCGTAACACAACAACGGGAAAGGTTCAAGATAGAAATACATGAAGCGAGGATGGGAAAGCCAAACACGCACCACGATAGAGGCTTCGGCAGGAGAGACCTGGAAGAAAATGGAGTCACCGAAGCATCAGGATCAATGGGACTAGTGGGAGCGTCCGATGACTGAGACTAGGTGTCCAGGAATATAGGCAATGAGCAAAGCAAAAGGAAGTGAGGAGAGAGAAAACGAAGTCGGCGAGGTGCTAGCGTAAAAGTACCATGTTGGTGTAAATGATAGAAGAAAACGGCTCGGCAGGATAATGAATCAATGATTTACAAGATATTACAGGTCAAGATTCTTGTCACTTAGGCTCTTATCACGACCGCGGTAGTTGTGGTGTAGGGATTTTTATCTATGTATCCCTCCTATTAGCTGATTCTGATAGTCAATAATCGTCGAGCTGATACTCGTCGAGTTACGCCTCGTTGAGTTCAAGCTCGTCGAGATGGGCTCGTCAAGATAAGACTTGTCGAGATTTGACTTGTCGAGTTTATACTTGTCGAGTTTATACTTGTCGCGTTTATACTTGTCGCGCTATTATTCCAGCAAAGCAGTTGTAAGGTCGACCTGTCAATTCACTAAGTAATTGTATGGAAGAAGTAGGGGGAATAATAAAGGCCAACCAATATGCTCCCTCTATCAGAAAAAAATGCAATTATATACAGAGCAGAATTTAACATGTTTAAAAACATGCACACTTCATGAGTTATTCCCTGCGCAGGCTGAATTATGCCTGCCGTCGAACCTTGAAAGTCGTAGCTTGTAGAGGTTTGTTCTGGAAGCGCCCGGAGATAGGTCATCCCGGGTTAGGTAACACTCGCTTCCAGCAAAATTAGTCTCATCACACGGCGATCCGGTAGCCGTGAAACATAACCTTTTACAGTCTCGTCGAGCGGCGAGCTGCTGATCCAATAACGACACTGCATTTGAGTCTTTTCAATTGACGAGCCAGTAGCGTAATAAACGGTACCGTTTGAGTCTCGGTGAGCGGCGATCCAGTGAACTAGTAGACGACACTGCATTCAGACTCGTCGAGCGACGAGACGGTGCTTCTGTAACCAAGGACATCGTTAATCTTCTAGTCAACTGTGCATTGCGCTCGGTGACCTGTAAAAGCGTTAAAATGCCTACACAATATTACTGGTGTGAGTCACAGGAATTAAAAACAGATGCTGCTGATCTCAGCCAGGCTTCTGGAAGAGAGAAAATGGTTGTGGGTACTCAAAGAGGGCGAAAGCCACAAATGAACCCGAAAGAGCAAACCGCGAAGGGTTACATCCCGATGTGCTAGCTCAAGCATGCCAACTTTATCGTTGATGTTTTCGTTGTTGCGTTAATACTGTAAGATTGCAGATTAAAACTACTACATCACATATACATGCGACTGTGTACATATTTTGCACGATGAACCCTTAAGCTCCGCTTTAAACACGTTCAAGCACTCCCTCGCCATAAAACTCACTAAAACAGTGCTGCCCACTCTGCAGAAGGTACACAAGATAAATAAAGGAGCTAAGAATGGAACTAACGTACCACTACGACCTACGATCTTTGGGATCAAGTGGAAAATTGAGATCGGGTTTAAAATTGAGCTGTAGCCACAACGTAAGTGTGCCCTAAACGTTTATTAACTCATGATTCCATGGTGATTTTTTTAGTGACGATATATGAATTAAGATTGAACCTGAGTGTCAGGGGCGGAGGGGTTGTCGCAGACGCGCAAATTTTAAGGTTCCACATGTTGTAAGAGCTTTAAGAGATTCTTTAACAGCAAGAAAATTGAATAGGCAGATCGATAGATCGATTGAAGAAATAATTTCGATCTCCTCTCATAACTTTCTAATAGACACCGCGGCTTGTACTGCAAATCATGACTCGCTAATGAAAACCCCTTCGAAAAATTATTGAACGAAGTGCACACATGACCATTACAGTAAGTTTTAAGACAAATGTTCTGAAAACGGCACGAGTGAAAGAAGCATTGTCCAGATCGGTACTGCATGATCTTGCCGTAAGATCGGTCGATAGGCCAATCGAGTTTGTGGGTGATAAATTGTAGTCGAAAGATCGGCAGCTAGACCTATTGGCGAAGAGTTGTCACCGGAATACGTTTAAGAAATTGCTATTAATCTCTTCAGTGTTTTTGATGTAAACATTTCATGATCGCATTAATTTAAGGTCTTATAATAGTCAAAATATTGCGCTTGTCACCGTGAACAGAATTACCGTGATTGTACAGATGCTGCATGAATCTGGATTTGTCGCGGAAGTGTTCGACGCAAAAAAATCTTTTGGGTCTAGACCACATCAGATAAACCTACACGTGCCGATTGCTGCATGAGAAGCTAATTTTCTGGTCGGCAATTGTGCTTCCGCGGATCACACGGACGTGGCGGTTGCGGGCTTCATTGAACGTTAATGTAACCTGATCAGGAGACAAAAAGAACACGGAGCGGACAGAATGGAGCAATAAACTCTTGTTTACTTGAGAGAGAATACAAATGCAATTAACTTTTCGGACCTTATTCTACCTGCATTCCGATTTATATGTGGTCGATAGCTGAATCAGTGCGACTTCCCCCGCTTGATCTATCCGTAACCTCCTGTAAATCTAGTAGATCTTCCGAACAATCTCCTCCTCCAATCAACTCTGAGGTAGTCACTGTTGTAACAACTTTTCCGTAAGAGCCTACTCTTGGAGTTCGGATTGCATCGGTAACCCTCTTTATGTCCCCTCAATCCGAACACTGATGGATGCCGATAACCTCGGTTAGGTTCTATTATCGCGGTCCATGAAGCTTCTTGGTCATGATGTCTGCCAACATCGCAGTTGTTTTGCAGTACTCAAGCTTTACTTGACCTCGCTTGAACTCATCATAGATGTGGTGGTACTTATTGTGGATATGCTTTGCTCGTCCTTGGTCAACCGAATTTTTGACATCTTGATGCTCGAATAGTTGTATTCAGCGATAAAGAGGTCCGGTCCAGGCTCGTTGGCTGCCGTCAAAATCTCGCATAGCAGAAGATGCATCCACTCGCCTTTTTAGTGTCGAGACTAAGCGCGATTTCATCCTCCTTACTCGTAGACAGCGACAAGCTTGGCAAATTTTTTCAACCCAACTCACTGGAGCATCCATCAGCCTGAACAAATAGCTCGAGGTTGACTAGCGGTCAGACAGGTCTCCGACACAGTCTGCATCCGAACATACTTGGAAGCCGATCGTCATACTTAACATATATCAGATTCTACAGTGGAGTGGCGATCGCTCATTTTATAAGGCGACCCCGACTCTCCACTGCTGCCCAGACGACCGACTATCGGAGGGGTACTCGGTTTCCGTGCCTTGTATTTTCTGATTACTTGTGTACCCGTCGGTAGGGCGGGCTGCACTCTTATCGGTGGACTCGCGTCGAGAGAAAACTTGACCGTGTTGAAAATAGGGTTTGTGATCAAGCGGAAGCCTTCACACTATCACGTTTATACTGGTAGATTACGTGATGTAACCCACCTAGATCTCAACGAGATTGCCTTGTCCACTATGTGGATTCTGGATACGCGAGTCTTCTGACAACTTGAGCCGTCTCGCGATCATGCGCTTATTCCTTTACTTTCTTGCTGCATCCAATCGCAGTTGGGGTTGTCTTGATAATCCTTGGTCCCAGCCAACTATATGGAAATATCAATTAGTTTCAGTATGCACGGCTTCTTGACGTCGAGAGGACAATATTCCAGCCCGGAAGAAATTTCGACACGTGTACTTAAAAGCGAAAAGAATTATGTGTAAAAAAAAATTACCAACCAAAAAGCTAAAACTCTTAATATGCCTGTCTATAGGCCGGTATATGATGCCACATATCCTCTACATAATGTTGATCGCTCCTTCGCAAATGTGAACACTTCGTGATAAATTATCGATCTTCTTGACCGATCGTCGATCTCATTAAGTGAACGTCGATCTTCTTGACCGGTCGTTGATCTCCTTGGTCGATCTTTAATCTCCTTAAACAATCGTCTATCTCCTTGTTCGATCATCTTCTAATGAATCGTCAATCTCATAATCGTCGATCCTCTTGATCTTCGGTTTATCTCTAGGACCATGATCCCTACTAATTTGCCTGTCGTATTCCCGACTTTAAACACTTTATGTGTTCCCTATCTGAGTACCCTGCCTCGATCTTGGTAGCTTAATATTTAACATCGCCGCTTTGATATTAATCGCATCACTACGATATTCACACTCGATATCGTAATATTCGATCTTGATATCGCGACATCCTGTCTTATTATTGCGCAGCTTAACAGCCAGTCCATCCATTTTATTGAACTGTTGCAATTTTATGATCACCCCACCCGACTATCGCCCCCGATAGCTTCGATCCCCTTTACCATAATACCATACGTCTTGGTGCCTTGTATTTAGCAAAGTATGCGCTTTACCGCTATCCGATGCTCTTTTTGAAGATGCTCCATGAATCTTGATACATAGCCCACAGCAAATGCGATGTCCGGTCGCTAATCAGTCGTCAGATGCATCAAAGCACCGACAGCCTCACGAAATGAAGCATCCACTTTTTTTGTGGCGTTACTTGATACCATTCGGGATATCACGTCTACTGGACTCGTCACAGCCTCTCACTCATCCATACCAAAGCGCTCAAGAATATAGTCGACGTAACGGAGCTGACACAAACACGCAATGCTATCTGAACCGTCCAAGAGCTCAATCTCAAGATCTAGCGAACACTTATTTCTATCGCAATTATAAAGCGTGTCTTAAGGTCGTTCTTAATGATTGTAATCAGCCCTGCCGAGCTTCTAGTCTTCGATATATCATCCTCGTAGACCAACACAAACGCGCAATGGCCTTCCGGCCGTATGGTGCAGAGGCATGGATCAAATTACGACGCTTAAAAACCGATCGAGCGCATTAATTTATCGAAGGTCTCGGATCATACACGCGAGGCCTGCTTAAGACCGTAGATTGTCTGTATAAACTCCTTTATCACCGCATTCATGAAGGCAGTCTCCTTATCAAGTTGGTCGAGAGGTCTTCCAAAAGTACTTGGTATTGAGTGACAGCAACCATTCGTATCGTCACATATCTGACTACAAAATAAAACATCTCCGTGTAGTAGATGCCATATTTCTGGCAAAAGTCTTTGGACAAAAGTAGCGCATTCTATCTTTCGACTAACCCATCTGCCTTGCGCTTAATTTTGATGACCCTTTTGGTCTCAATGGCACTCTGATAAGTAGGCAATTTGGCAGCCCGAAACACACCACCATGTTTCATGCAATGGAGCTCCGCATAGATAGCCTTGCGTCTGTGTACATGATCTGGTCCATTTACTACTTCTCCATACGTCGATGGCTCCAAAAATCCGCTGCAGCTACCAACAGAGTTTGCACTTGCATGCCAAAACGCGGGGGACGTCGATGAAATGTGTTAATTTTTAGACTTCATTTCTTCAGCTTTATAAAATCGGTGCGAAGGGTGGCCATTTGGTGCACTTAATTATTTTAATCCTGGTCTTAAATGTTTAGTACAAGAAGTAGTATCAACTTCATCGTCGTTGCTAGCATGGTCCTTGTGCTATCCTGTTTGCTGGAAGTGTGTCAAAAGCAAATCTTTATGATCTAAATCGAGTGATTCGAGGTCCAAGCCATCGAGTTCTACATCGGACACTTGCGTTAAGAGGCCAAAAGTCAATTAATTACGACTGATCATAACCTGTCCCGCTTCAATTTCGCACACTCGGTAAGCCTTTGAAACTTCTTCGTAGCCTATGAATACACCCACACAATCCCTTGGGTCCCACTCCAGTCGCTTCTCCTTTGGTGTCAGGATAAACGCCCGACATCCAAACACGCGCATGTGCTTGACACTTGGTTTCGACTTGTACACGATCTCGAACGGAGTCTTGTGGTCGATCTTGGGTGAAGGCAGGCGGTTCTTGATGTAGATCGCCTTCATTGCCGCTTCAGCCCAGAAACACTTCTCCAGCTTCGCATGATGCAATAAGCTGCGTCCGATCGTGACGATGGTCCGTATCGCGCGTTCTGCGGTCCCGATGGTCTGGTGTGCATACGGAACCGTGACCTGCCGCTTAATACCTTGATCTTGGTAGAAGGTTTTGATCGAGTTGGTCGCATACTCATGCGCTCCATCATGCTGAACGAACTCGACCGTCTTGCCGAACTGCGTCTGAATCTTGATAATGTGGTTCGTGATGCAGTCTTCACTCTCAGACTTGGAAGGCAGACAGAAGCTCTTCAAGCATCCGCTGGCTTCGTCGACCACAAGCAGCAAGTATCTACTACCGCCGATCGAGACTTGTTCCGTTGGCCCGCATATGTCGAAGTGTAGTAATTTAAACACACCGTAGTGACGCTTGTCACGATTGGTTGAAAATGGTTTTTGGTCCATCTTCCCTAGCTTGCAACCGCGACACACGCTTGGACCAGTCGAATTGAGAGGTGTCTTGGCTTCCTTGATCATGCCGGTGGCCACCATCTTGCGCAGAACATCGAGGGGTGCACGAACCATGCGCGCGTGCAAGTCGATGGCCCATTGTGTGTCTCTGCATTCGCCGATCGTTGGGGAGTCCGCAGCCAGTAAAGTCCATCGACGAGTACCGCTGTCGCCACGACTTGCTTGTAATTATTGCGCGTTACTTGCATCTTGGACCCATCGAACACGAATTGGAATCTGCCACCCTTGTTGATCTGTGGCACCGAAAGCAGATTCTTGCTCATACTTGGCACGAACTGTGCGTCCTTGTTCTCGATGTCGCGCTCGTCGCTACTGGGCAGAACCACCCGTTCCATGATGGTTCCCACACCCTTGATCGCAGCCTTGCTGCCATCAGTCACCGATAGTTCGCCTTCCTCTCGCTCATTCAGGCTTGTGAACTTGGCCTTGTCGTTGCAGATGTGATGTGTCACACCGCTGTCGACCGCCCACATCCCTGGCATATTCTTGCCCGTCGAAAGTCCAGCCTCCAGCGAAACCACAAACGCAACTAGATTGTAGTTGTCGTCGTAGTTGTCGTTATTTCATTACTGAACGTTGTTGGCTCCTCATCCACGAGCATTGCTGCCGCCGCGTCGATCTCCACCTTGATTTTTGTCCTTCTGCTTGGTCCAGCACTTTTCCATCGTGTGCCCCAATTTTCCGCAGTACGTACATTAACGGAATTCACGCTCGGTGCTGAAGGCTTGGTCGCTTCTTCAGTCTTCAGCGATGTCGTCTTGTCACCTTGTCTCTTGATATGCTCATTTGTGAGCACTCTCACGACGTCTCGCGATCGCAGGTCCGCTCTGCTCATCTCCAAGTTGAGAACAACATTCTCGTAGCTCTTGGGGAGGCTGTACTACAAGTATATCGCCACGTCTTCGTCCTCCATCTTAGCGCCGATGCTGCATTTTCAAACGCACCCACGCAACCCACGCTTCTTCACAATCATCGAAGATGTAACGGTAGTCGGCGTCCCTGTGCAGCAACATCAGCCCTAACGCGATGCTGTTGGCCTTGACGTAGTCGTCCATGGCGCAATAGTCCGCAAAGGTTGGCGACGTCCCCCGTATCACCACGTGTCACGTCAACTTGGTCAGAAGCACTCCACAGATGTAGCGGCTCCATGTCGCGTAGTTGTCTCCGTCAAACTTGTCGATGAAGATCTTGGTAGCGGTATCTTGTGCAGAGGACATCGTGCTTGGGCTCATAACCTGTTGCAATGTGCGAAGCTTGATAACCGAAACTGGAAAGGATGCTTGAAGAGTCCACTCGGAAGACCGGAGAAGACACTCAGGTAGTAGATGGAAGATAGGAAAGTGATTGATTATCGGAGCTTATCTGTCTACGCCCTGATTTGTATGTGGACACATACATCTCAGTCGGCGCGTCTAATCACCCTGCTCGTCTAATCATTCCTGCGTAATAACCTTTGTAAAAAATTCCCGTAAAGCTACACGTTATATTTCGAGTTGTTATGGTAAAGTAGTAAAGCCACTAATCGAGATTTTAAGACGTGGATCGGTGACCACCTTGTTAAGACGTCACTTACTGGCGGAAATGGTACTAAGTGATCCAGCAATATAATAGGAGATGGAAGGTGATCCCAACGGAGATTTAACACTGCAATCCAACTGTCTTCAGAATGATGGACGCGGGACGATCTGAGACGAGGAGTAGAAAGGGATGAATACCATGGAACGATCCGGCACTAGTCGAAGATATAGATGCTTTCCACGGTGTGATCTGAGACAAGGAAGTGGGACGAAGTCATACAATTCGCCTGAATGTTGTTAAAGGAGAGGATACGTATATTTGAGCAGTTGAATACTGGATCGCAGATTCATATGCGAAGATCTATTGATTCACGAACATGTGGAATATTATTTTGACCGATTTCGGCAACGGTCGAGTATATTGTGGCAGAATTACTCTGGAAAAAGATACCTCTGGGTCCAGGTGGTGCGATATGACTCTGTGACGAAGGTGTAATATCCGGCATATCGGTGATATAATTTACCCGTCTCGCAAAGGGAGTACTAATTTTGGATGATTATAGCCCAATCTGGAAGTGTGGATACTCATGGGAGTACTAATTTTGGTTAACTAAAGCCTAATCTGGAAGTGTGAATACTCCTGGGAGCCCAAGGAGTTATTCTAAGACATGTGGAGGATAACGTGGACCAGAAAAAACCTGGAGGGTGATACTGGAGCACGTACAATGAACAAAAGAACATGTACTGCCGAATATTACCGTGTCGATCCTCAACGATCTCGAGTTGGGCATCAGAGCTGTCATGTTCCCTTTCAATAATGGATATATCGCTGATGAGACTTTTGAATCATGATGAATATGTTTGTTGAAGGTCCATGAGTGATGTCTCAAAAGTTCAGACCGAAAGATCCAGTAGAAGCTGGTTGAATTGACGTCGCAAAATGGATTTAGACACATTTGGCATTCGGGTGCTATTTCGGGCTCTTCGGTTCCAAAATGGGGATTGGTACCGTATTAAAGATTTGGTCATCCTTTAGGGTTTAGGTACGATATCGGGAGTGTTGGCGCTATCTTTGGAGTACAGGTCACGAAATTTCGACACGTGTTCAAGGGGGAGGTCAAGCTTGAAGGTGATTTTGGTTTGGAGAGTGACCTACAGTTTGGAATAGGCCTAAAAGTAGATTGGCTATTAATTTAATTGGTTAATAAACAGACTTGAACTCTACTTCATCAGCTCACGACGCACGTTCTCCTCCCCTCTTCTCCGGGCAAGATTGATTTGGCTTCCCCGGCGGTGTAAGGCACGTATGGTGCAAGGACACTGAAGACCGATGTTGAATGTTATACAAGACCGAGAAGAGCGATCTCAGGATATCTGTCCCAGATCGATCAAGTACTCACACTCAACTCAACTGCTAGGGTAGCAGCAACAACGGAAAAGGTTTTGGTCACAAGATCTCGAGGCGGCTTAAGTGGCTAGAGGATCTGGACAAGGAGTTCAAGACAAGACCGATTAAGACCAAAGCGATCCCTGGACAGATCGGCACGTTTCATTTTGGCGAAACAGGACACCGATCTACCCAAATTGCGCACTTTCGGCAAGATCGACCGATCCCAAGGCAAGATCGACGCAAGAATATTATTAGCTGAGTGAAAATTTCCGTACAGCAAAGAACCCGATCCCGAAGACAGATCAAGATCAGTGTGATTCAAGGTCAAGATCGCGACGTAATAGTGATCGTCGCAACTCAAGATCTAGATTGTAGAATACAGTTCGTGGTGTGAAGATTTCCACACCGAAAGCGAACTCTCAACCCTAGCCCCTCAGAGGGATCGACGTCTCCCAAGGCCTTCACAAACACCTCAAGCCGACGAGTATACAAAGGGAGCACAAGGCTACACAACAAGGCACGGATCGGATTACCCTCTTTGTCAGTCAGGAAGTCTGGGCGAGAGCAAGATCGACCCTCACACGAGCGATTTTGTGAGATCGACTTCACCACAGTAACCTTCAATAGAACTACGCCAACCACCTGTTGCATTGCGCACGCAAAATTAGGAGCTGCAGTGAGGCGATTTACTTTCCTGTCCCGCCTTGGAACATTTATCAAATAGCTGGTCGTTTTTTAATTGATCTGTTACTTCGAAATCGTCTACTGCATACTCGTAGAAATACTTGGTGTCAGATTTTAAGTCCGTACCGTGCCGGATTTTCCTATCTGCTCATATATGGTCTAACATTTGTGTTGTAATGACACCACCGTACTTTCATACAACTTCATATAGAAAAATTATTATAAAGCTTCCAGGCTTAAGCAGTGAATCGCTTTGTCCTGTATAAGTCTTTAAGGCACATTCGTCTATTGTTGAAGAGGGCAAAAATTAACTAAGGTATCAATTAATAATGGCGCGGCTACATTTGGATCTTTGTTGAAAGGTACCGAGCACTTGATGAGTGAATCGAAGCTAGAAGAAACTAAAGAAGTCTGCACTGCAAAGTGTAGACGACTTACGAAGGAAGGATTGTTTGGAAGGATTGTTTGGAAGTGAAATTATTTATGGATTTGTTCAAAATACTTGCTTGAAGAAACTAAAGAATTCTGCACTGCAAAGTGTAGACGACTTACGAAGGAGAAGGAATGTTTGGAAGTGAAATTATTTATGGATTTGTTCAAAATACTTGCTTGAAGAAACTAAAGAATTCTGCACTGCAAAGTGTAGACGACTTACGAAGGAGAAGGAATGTTTGGAAGTGAAATTGTTTGTCGATTTGTTCAAACTACTTGCTAGAAGAAACTAAAGAAGTCTGCACTGCGAAGTGTAGACGACTTACGAAGGAGAAGGAATGTTTGGAAGTGAATTTATTTGTGGGTTGTTTAAGCTACCTGATTGATTCGTGTCCTGATTCATATATGTTGCACATCTAAATCATTAAACATAGAAAATGTAGGTCACTCAATCTTCCTATGCGTATAATCACTGGTAAGCGCTCACCGTAATTACGCGAGACCGACTTGGACAGGTTTACGGTTTCCACGGTATCTGAAAATCGTACCTTAACCGTCAACCCACGATACGCCCCCTCAATGCGAACACGCGTGCATGCCAAGCGCTGCCGTCAATTACCTGTGACGCGGTCCTGGCAGTCCCTTTGTCATGATGTCCGCCATCATCATCGCAGTCTCAGAGTACTCCAACGCGTCATCACCACGCTTGACTTCATCGCGAATGTGGTGGTACTTGATGTTGACGTGATTGGCCCGACCATGGTTCACAGGATTCTTCGTCCCTTGATGCACGATTGATTGTCTTCCATGATCTTGAGCTCGGGTCTGGGCTTGTCCTCTGCGGCATCCAGAATCTCGCATAATAGGCGATGCACCCACTTGCCTTCTTGAATCGCCAGACTTAGCGCGACGTACTCTGCTTCGCTTGTCGATAGCGATACGCTTGATTGCTTCTTGCTTTTCCAGCTTATCGGAGCACCCATCAGGATAGACGCACATTCTGAAGTCGACTTGCGGTCTTCATGATCACTGGGCTAGTCTGCATCCGAGTCGCCACATAAATCCACCTTGTTGTCGGGTTTAACGAAGATGCCGTGTGACTTGGTTTCTTGTAGATAACGAAGAATGCGCTTGACTGCCATCCAATGCTCGACTTGGGGTTCTCCATGGAACGCGAAACGTAGCCCACAACAAAAGCAATGTCCGGTCTTGTCGCGGTCATTAAGTGCATCAAAGCACCTACTGCTTCACGAGACGGAGCGTTGTTCTTGGTTGCTGCGTCGCTTGGTGTGAGTCGAGAACTGATATCCGTTGGACTGATGACGGCCTTGCAATCACTCATGCCAAAACCCTTGAGAACATTGCCCACGTGTCGTCGCTGGAACATTGTCACACTACCGTCGATGTTGTTCACCAGCTCGATGCCCAATACGAACGCGCACTTGCCGCTGTCAGTCAAATCGAAACGCCTCTTCAAGTCACTCTTGGTGCGCACAATCACCTCAGTTGAACTGCCCGTTACCAACACATCATCGAGGAGACCAAAAACAGCACGCACTTTCCGCTTGCGACCTAGAGATAGAGGCATGGTCGAAGTCGGACTGTTGAAATACAATCGAGCAAACAAAGTCATAGAAAGTCTCGTTCCATACCCGCAATGCTTGTTTCAGTCCGTAGATCGCCTTCGCCAATTCGATGCAGTCAAAGTCTTCATCAATGTCGACACCTGCTGGGATCGCGCAGAACACCTTTTTTTCATATTTCCGTACAAGAAGGCTTTCACCATGTCCAGTTAGTCCAGTAACCATTTGAAGTACTTGGTGATCGCGATTACCATGCGCAGTGTCATGTACTTGACCACGGGCGAGAACGTCTCCGCGTAGTCGATGCGGTACTTCTGCTTGAACCCTTTGGCCACGAGTATCGCCTTGCATTTCTCGATTGATTCATCGGCCTTGCGCTTGATCTTAAACACCCACTTGGTGCCAATGGTGTGTCGTCCAGCTGGCAACTTTGTCGTTCGAAATGCGCCGCGAAGTTTCATCGAGTTCAACTCGGTTTATATCGCTTTACGCCAATGCACTTGATCCGGTCCTATAAAAGCATCTTTATACGTTGTCGTCTCGAACATGTCTGCAGATCCTCCAACTGCGTTGGCACTCGCTCGCCCAAAGACTTGAGGTGTGGCGTCATCATCATCTTAATTGCTGCCTTTCCGTTATTCGTTAAAGTTGGTTCGATTGCTTGATCGTCGTTTTTCTTGGCGCGATACAAAGTCCTCCGGCGCACTTGCTTCTTCCAGTTCGGCTCCGTGACGATCAGAAAGAGCCCGTTGGAAAGCTCGTTCTTGATTGTTTGAACTATTCTTGCATTTTCCAGTTTGCTTGAACTGCATGGGGTGAGGCTCATCACTGATACTCATTAAGTCAAAGTCTAGTGCAGTGTCTACCACATTTTTGTGTGGCATCGTCGGTAAAGGCGCAAACTTGGACTCGTTGAAGGTGACATCACGCGTATCGTCACTCGGTCCTCTTCAGTGTCGTAAATACGCTGTGCCTTCGACACCTCCTTGTACCACACTAAAAGTCTTTCACGAGCCTTCGGATCCCACTTCGACCGCTTTTCTTTGGGGTCAGCATAAACATTTGGCATCCGAACACTCGCATGTGATTTACACTTAAACGAAATCCGTAGACGAATTCGAACGGATTTTTATCTTGGCACTTGGGTGAAGGTAGACGATTCTTGGTGTAGATCGCCGTCATTGTACCTACAGACCAAAAGCACTAAACCAGCTTGGCGTAATGAAGCATGCTGCGGCCGATCGTCACGATAGTTCGAATCGCTCGTTCCGCTGTGCCGTTGGTCTGGTGCGCTGTCGGAACGATGACCTGCTGCTCGATTTCTTGATCGTCGTAAAATGACTTGGGCGAAGTGGTCGATGATTCCCGTGCACAGCATGTCGAATGAACTTGAACTTGTATTCAAACTTTTTCTCCGCCGCAGCGAGATACTTTTTGATGCACTCTTAGCTGTCGAATTTATAGCGCAGGGCAAAACCTTCACATATTTACTGCCTTCATCGACGATCAGAAGTAAGTGTTTGCTTCCACCAAGCGAGCCGACTTCTATCGGTCCACAAGTGTCGATGTGCAGGAGCTCAAACGGTTTATAGTGGCGCTTCTTTGGGTTGCTTGGAAATGTTCGTTGCACCATCTTTCCTTCTTTACAACCGCGACACACGCCTGATCCACCAGGTGTTGATGACATCTCGACGTCCTTAATAATGCCCCTGGAGATCATCTAATGCAAGACGTCGAGTGGTGCGTGGTCTTTTTGCGCATAGAGATCTTCAAATTTCAGCCGCGAAGTAGCATTCACAGATCGTTGGGATGTGAGAAGCCAATAGAGTCCATTCATAATATCCGCCATCGCCACCACTTGCTCGGAGTCTCTGCGCGAAATGTTCATCTCACTCTAATCAAACACCACTTGAACCTCGCCGCTTTTGTTTATCTGGGGTATCGGAGTAGGTTCTTGTTCATGCTCGAGACATTTAGTGCATCCTGATTTCAACTTCGGGCTCTTCAGCGTCTGGTAGGACCACCTTTTCAACGATAGTCCCAAATCTATTGATCGCAGCCTTGTTTCCGTCTGGAACGAGCACTTCACCTTCATTGCGCTCGTCCAGAACTTCAAACTTGGACTTGTCATAGTACATGTGGTGCGTTGCCGCTGTAAATGTCCACATTCCCACCATGGTCTTGGCTGTCGAAATCTCGCATTCCAGCGAAACAGCAAACGCCACTCGATCATGGTCGGAGTTGTTGCCTTTGCCGTTGTAGCCGTGCCATTGGACTTGATTTGCTCCGCGTCCATGATCCCAATGGCACGTCCCTTGTTGCCGCTGCGTCGATCTCCTCGGTCGTCTTCCTCTGTTTGGTCCAGCACTTTTCCACCGTGTGCCCTGATCTTCCGCAGAACGTATATTGACGGAATGCACGCTCGGTGCTGAAGGCCTTGGTCGCTTCTTCAGTCTTCACGATGTCGTCTTGTTTTGTTGTCTCTTGATGTGCTCATTCGTAAGCACTTTCACGACGTCTTGCGTCCGCAGTTCCGCGCTGCTCATCTCCAAGTTCAGCACGACGTTCTCATAGCTCTTTGGAAAACTGCACAAAAAGCAGATCGCCACGTCTTTGTCCTCCATCTTAGCGTCGATGCTGCTGAGCCTGGCGCGGATAATGAAAACGTTGTTGCAATGATGCATGACATTGCCACCTTCCTCCATTTCCATGCTGAACAGCTGTCTCTTCAAGAAGGTCCGTCCCGCCTTCTGAGATCCGCCGTAGAGAGTCTTCAACCGTGCCCGCGCTTCTTTACACTCATCAACCTAGTGATGATAGTCCGCGCTCATGTGAGGCAGCGTCAAGCCGAACGCAATGTTGTTGGTCTTGACGTACTCATCACTGGCGCGAGGATCGGCGAAGGTGGGAATGGTATCCCGGCTGACCACGTGCCACGTCGACTTGGTCAGGAACACGCCACGCATGTAGCGGCTCCACGTCGCGTAGTTGTCTCCATCGAATCTATCAATGCAGACCTTGGTGGCGGAATCTTGAGCAGAGGACATCGCGCTTGGGAATATAACCTATCGGAAAATACCGAGCACTTGGTGCGAGAATCGAAGCTTGAAGAACTTGAATGAAGTCTACACTGCGAAGTTTAGACGACTTACGAAGGAGAAGGAATCTTTAGAATTGCATTTATCTGTGGGTTTGTTAAAGCTACCTGATTTATCCCTACACTGATTTATACCTTTTCCACATATAAATCACAAATCATAAAACATGTAGGTCATCCAATCGTCCTATGCGTCTAATCATTGGTAAAAACTCACCGTAGTTACGCAAGGTCGACTCGGACAGGTCTACAGTTTCCATGGTAACTGATAACAGTACCTTAACCGTCAACCCACGATACTCGGCACGGCCGTGGCTCACCGGATTCTTCGTCATATTGACGCACGACTGGTTGTCTTCACGGATGACAAGGTCCGGTCCTGACTCGTTTGCGTCCGCCAAAACCTTGCATAGCAGGCGATGGATCCTCTTGCCTTCCGGGGTGGCCAGACTCAGTGCGATGTATTCCGCTTCACTCGTCGACAGCGACACACTTGACTGTTTCTTGCTTCCTCAACTCACAGGAGCGCCCATCAGCATGAAAGTGTAACCCGAAGTCTACTTGCGATCAGCATGGTCGCCGGCCCAGTCTGCGTCCGAATAGCCACGAAAGTCAATCTTGTCGCTTAGCTGGAAGCGGAGTCCGTGCGACTTGTTCCCTTGCAAGTAACGAAAGATGCGCTTCACCGCCGTCCAGTGTTCTTGCTGCAGATTCTCAGTGAGGCATGAGACGTACCCCAGAGCATACGCAATTTCCGGGAGTGTCGCAGTCGTTAAGTGCATCAGAGCTCCCACTGCTTTACGAAACGGAACATCGATATTGGCCGCTTCGCTGCTTGCGACAATCCGAGTGCTCAAGTCGACCGGACTTGCTGTGGCCTTGCACTCATGCATGCCGAAACGCTTGAGGATGTCGTTGACATATCGTCGCTGGCACATCGTCACGCTTCTATCCAAGCTGTCCACCAGTTCGATGCCTAGTACAGAAGTACACTTGACACTGTCGGTCATCTCGAAGCGCGTCTTGAGATCGGCTTTCGTGTGCGCAATCAACTCGAGCGAGCTGCCGGTCACCAACACGTCATCCACGTAAACCAGCACGAGCACACAGTGACCGTCGACAACCTTGATGTAGAGACATGGGTCGAACGCCGACACTTCGAAACCGATAAAGCATACGAATTCGTCGAAAGCCTCGTTCCAAACCCGCGAAGCTTGCTTGGGACCGTAGTGATCCTTCACCAACTCGAGACAGTCGAAGTCGGCATCCATATCGACGCCTTCTGGTACCACGCAGTACACCTTCTCCTTCATCACACCGTAGAGAAAAGCTGTCACCACATCGAGTTGGTCCAGTGACCATTTGAAGTACTAGGTGATTGCGATCACCATGCGCAGTGTCATGTACTTGACCACGGGCGAGAACGTCTCTGTGTAGTCGATGCCGTACTTCTGCTTGAAGCCCTTGGCAACGAGACGCGCCTTGTATTTCTCGACCAATCCATCCGCTTTGCGCTTGATCTTGAACACCCACTTGGTGCCGATCGCGCCTTGGCATTTTGGCAATTTTGCTACGCGAAAAACTCCACGAAGATGCATCGACTTGAGTTCCTCCTTCACATCATTTCGCCAGTGAGCTTCATCAGGACCGTTGATTGCGTTTTGGAAAGTCGCAGGTCCTGCCAGGTCCGTTGCTTCCACTGCATTTGCACTTTCATGCTAAAAATGTTTTGAGGCGTCGAGTCGTCATCTTGATCGTAGACGTCCGCATCTCCCTCGTCATCAGGCGTTGTTTCGGAGCACTTGATCATCGTTTCTGGTGACGGTTGGAGACGCGTTCCGGCGCACTTGCTTGTTCCAACCCAGTTTGATGGCAAGATGACCGTGACGTGCCGGTGCTTGCTTCACTCTTGCGCTTGCCAGTCTGCTTGTAGGTGGTCTTACGTACGTCGTCATCTTTGATCGCCAGGAGATTGAGCTCTAACTCCGCATCTTCATCGTCGTCACTTGATCGGTCCATCGAAAAGTCAAAAGCCGATTCGTCGAAGGTGATGTCACGACTGATCACCACTTGGCCCGCCTCAATGTCGTACACTCGGTAATCCTTTGACGCTTCTTCGTAGCCCATGAACACACCTACAAGATCCTTCGGGTGCCACTTCAATCGCTTCTCCCTTGGTGTCAGGATGTACGCTTGACATTCAAACACACGCATGTGCTTGACACTTGGTTTCGACTTGTTCACAATCTAGAACGGAGTCTTGTGGTCAATCTTGGGGGACGGCAGGCGGTTCTTGATGTAGATCGCCGTCATTTCCGCTTTAGCCCAGAAACACTTCTCCAGCTTCGCATGATGCAATAAGCTGCGTCCGATCGTGACGATGGTCCTTATCGCGCGTTCTGCGGTCCCGATGGTCTGGTGTGCATACGGAACCGTGACCTGCCGCTTAATACCTTGATCTTCGTAGAAGGTTTTGATCGAGTTGGTCGCATACTCATGCGCTCCATCATGCTGAACGAGCTCGATCTTCTTGCCGACCTGGGTCTGAATCTTGATAATGTGGTTCGTGATGCAGTCTTCACTCTCAGACTTGGAAGGCAGACAGAAGCTCTTCAAGCACCCGCTGGCTTCGTCGACCACAAGCAGCAAGTATCTACTACCGCCGATCGAGACTTGTTCCGTTGGCCCGCATATGTCGAAGTGTAGCAATTCAAACACACCGTAGTGACCCTTGTCACGATTGGTTGGGAATGGTTTTTGGTCCATCTTCCCTAGCTTGCAACCGCGACACACACTTGTGTGGCAAAGTCACTACTCAAATTTTGTACGAGGATCGGTGGCCACACCTTTAAAGCGCTGCTTACTGGTGGAAAAGGAGGCAATGAGACTCGGCGACCCAATACGGAGGTGGAAGATGATATTAACGGGATCGGCGAACCGATCCAACTGTCGTTAAACTAATGGGTATGGATCGACCTGGGATGGAGCGATCTGGAACGATTTACATGGAACAATCTGGGACAAGGATCTGGGACCGGGTGATGGGATATGACTCTGCGACGAAGGTGTAACATCTTGCAGAATGTTATGGGGCGATCTGGAACCAGACGTCGGGATGAAGTCATACAGCTCATTGGAATGCCGGTCAAGAAGAAGTATACGTACATTGAAGCAGGCTAAGACCAGATCGCAGATCGACATGTTGTGGCAACGGTTTGTTGGAGAATTGACACATCTGGGACAAGGTGACTCCCCAAAGTGCATCTGGGACCAGGTGGTACGGGTCGGTGAATCGGCAAAGAAGGTGCAACACCATACGGATCGGTAATACTCTTTACCGATCCTAAATTGGGAGTACTGATTTTGGTTAATTATACACCGATCTGGAAGTTTTGCATACTCAGGGGAGTCAAGGAAACCGATGTCGAGACGTATGAATGAAGTTGTCGATTGGATAACACTGGAGGATGATATTGAAGCACGTATGAGGAGATGAAAAAGTGTTAATTGCCGATTTAGACCGGATCGACCTCCAACATCTCGATATTGGATGACAGATCGGTCATGTTCCACACTGATTATGGATGCATCGTTGATGAGAATTATGGATCATGACAAACATGCTTGTTGAAGGTCCATGAGTGATGTCAAGAAGTTTCATGCCGAAAGAGCCAGTGGAAGCTGTCCGAATTGACGTCGCAAAGTGAATTTGGACACATTCGGCATTTTGGGTCATATATTGGGTACTTGGGTGCCAAGAATGGGTATTGGATACCCCATTTGGGATTTGGTCCTCTTTTGGCGTTCAGGTACGGTATCGGGGATATTGGCGCTATCATTGGAGTACAGGGCACGAAATTTCGACACGTGGCAAGGGGGCGATCCAGATTCAAGGCGATATCGGTTTGAAGAGTGACCTATAGTTAAGAATAGGCTTAAGGGTAGGTTGGATAGTAATTTGGTTGGTTAATAAACAGACTTGAACTCTACTTCTTCTGCTCACGACGCACGTTATCCTCCCCTCTTCTCCAGGCAAGATTGATTTGGCTTCCCCGGCGGGTTAAGGCACGCGTGTTACAGGGACACAGAAGACCGATGTTGAATGTTATACAAGATCGAGAAGAGCGATCCCGGGATATCTGGCCCGGATCGATCAAGTACTCACACTCAACTCAACTGCTAGGGTAGCAGCACACAACGGAAAAGGAAAAGGATTTTGGACACAAGATCGCGAGACGGCTCAAGTGGTCAGAAGATCTGGACAAGGCGTTCAAGACAAGACCGATCAGGATCGAAGCGATCCCCTGGACAGATCGGCACGTTTCAGTTTGGCGAAACAGGACACCGATCTACCCAAATTGCGCACTTCCGGCAAGATCGGCCGATCCCAAGACCAGATCGAACCGATCCCAAGGCAAGATCGACGCAGGACTTTTATTTGCTGAGTGAAGATTTCCGCACAGCAAAGACCCCGATCTCGAAGACGAATCAAGATCGGTGCGATCCAAGATCGGGATCGCGGAACCCCCGTTCGTGGTGTGAAGATTTCCGCACCGGAAGCGAACCCTCAACCCAACCTCTCAGCGAGATCGACATCTCCCAAGGCCGTTACGAAGAGCTCAAGCCAGCTCAACCGACGGGTACACAAGGTGAGCACAAGGTCATACAACAAGGCACGGATCGGAGTACCCCCTCCGTGAGTCGGCAAGTCTGGGCAAGTGGAAGATCGACACTCATACAAGAAATTTTGTGAGATCGACTTCACAACAATGGTGCGCGTGCCCGGATCTTCTGAGGCCTCTGGATTTCACCGTGAGTCTACTGGCGAAGATGTCAAGATTAAGCAAGAACCTGGGATTGAAGTGTTAGCGACAAAGGGATCGACGCAGACACGCAGAAGCACAAGATCCTCAGATCATCAGAGTTTTGGGAGGGGCTCTGATGAAATGAAAATGAAAGAGGAAGATCGAGATCGATCTGGAAGAAAAACCTCAATTCCCTCCTAGGGTCCCTTCGGGGGCCACCGCAGATCGCTCTGCAAAGAGCGATCTGCTGGATGAAAATCCAATGGTGAAAACCAAATCGGCGAAAGCCAAACCCTATATCGTAGTCGATAGATCGCCCGACCTCAAGCCGAAGAGCACAATCGCAAGATCGACCACATCAGAACGATCCGCGACGAGATCGATGGGATCAGATGTCAAAGATCGCCAGATCGGCCGAACCGTGCAATCGAAGATTGGAGCCAAAGAGGAATACGATGAAACACCAGATAAGATCGCGATGCCAAAGACGGAATATAACCCAATAAAGATCGCGTCCATGGAGAAGGAGACGACGGGTGAAGCGCGGGGGCGTGCAAAATGGCAGTACTATTATGGCCAGTTGAAGACGCTGCTCAAGACGGACCCAGTATTCAAGATATTAAGGCCCAAGTTGATTGGTCCTCTGGATAAGCCGATCTCGGTCCCACTTCACGGGACCAACAAAGTCGACGAGATCAATTTGATTTTGCAGATGTTGGACGACATGGATATCTGCCCTGACGCTTTTGATGGAGATGAACTGCTGAGTTGCATCTTGGAACAGTTGAAGGACGCGGCGAATGAGTTTGTAGAGATCATGATAATGCTGGTGAGCAAAGCGAATACTCCTGAAGACAAGATCGGGACGCCCTCGGGCTCGCTCCGTAAACACCCCGCGGGGTCGCCCCGCTACGCCTCGGATGACTCCGAGAGCGAGTCAGATGGATCCATCAGCATTCGTCAGATGTCTCTAGGACCATCGGGTGGAAGGTTCTTAAAGGACAAGATCGGACAAGCCAAGATCGACGCCTATAAGGGACAAGCCAAGAGCAACATGCCGCAGAGATCGGCCAGTACCCGCACTGGGCTGGAGGGTCAAGAAGAGGGCGATCTAAGTTGGTACTTCAATTCAGACATGAAGAAGTACGAGTCGGATCAACGTACAGCTCAGCGAATGAATCGACAGCCAAACCGCTACCCATATCGACGTACTTTGCTCAAACCTTCACACGAAAGCCTTGACATGCCGGATGTGGAGATGGAGTCGGTGGGGTCGGACATTTACCAACATATCCATGAGGGGGCGGAATACGACCCGGATGATCTATGGATGCCCGGACCACGGCGCCCTCATGTAGCCGCGATCGGTACGACTACCGGAGGGGGAAGTATCACGCAGAGGATCAGAATCTCAGCGATTTCTGAGCTGAAAGAATTCTCAGGGAAGGACCGGGAAGAAGACAAAGCACGGACCTGGATCGGCAAAGTGAAATCAGCGTTTATCCGGCACCAAGCACCGGACGAGGAGAGATGTCTGGTCTTCGGTGATCTCATGGTGGGCCCAGCCCGCTACTGGTACCGACAGCTGAGTAGATCGACGAGATTCAACTGGAAAGAATTGATGAACAGTTTTCTTGTGGAGTATGCGGGACACGGGATGTCCGCGAGCAGGCAGTACTACCACGCAAAGAAACGATCGGAGGAAGATCCTTTACAGTACCTGTATCGGCTTAATGTGATGGGAATGCAGGCAAAGATACCGGTGATGACTGGATTGCCAGCTGCGCGCAAGGAACATGTCAATCATTTCATTGACACCTTGGACGACCCCGATCTGTCCAATCAATTGCTACTGCTGAATGTAGAAGACGCGGAGGCCATGCAAAAGACACTGCACGGATATCAACAAGGGAGATCGCGTCAAGGGAAAGTGATGATGGGATCGTCCAAATTCAGGCAGAAGGGAACTCCGGGTCCAGCGTTTTCTAAGCCTGCATGAGCGGTGAGGTTGGTCCGTACCGAGGACGTCAGCAGCGGGTCAGGATCGGACACCTGCGGATCGGATTTGGAAGATCGATTGAGATCGATCCATGTGGCCGCTACTGCGGATCGGCGTTCATCCCCCAATGACGTTGCAGCAAACGCGAGATCGGTCGACCCGAACACTCGTCAAGACTATCAAGATCGCAATATGCCATTGAAGCGGTGTACTCATTGCGGATCGACCAAGCATGGAGATCTCGGTTGCTGGAAGCGGCTCACTTGCCAGAAGTGTGGGCGTAAAGGACACCCCTCTGACAATTGTTTTTTCGTGTGTCGTGCTTGCGGTGAGATGCACGACCCGGGGAAGTGTCCCATGGAGGAGTTCTACAACATGATCCGTCAGTGGTACGTCCCGAATAAGCATGCGGGGATGCTACCAGAGAAGGCCGAGAAGATGTTAAACTAGGACGCTCGCCAGGTTTGAATCTGGTACGAGCCGAGCGTTCTGGGCTCTGCATTATTGCATACGTGGAAAAAAGAAGACAGATCGCGAGAGTAAGCAGGATATTGACGTGGAAACAAATATATCTCGTTCGAAGTTAAAACGTGTCGCTTCCGTGTCCCATCTGAAGCGGATCGATGAGTACTCACGATCTGAACCAGCTATGGAGATCGAGCTCGCTTATGGTGAATCTCGCGGATACTGGAAACATTATTCACCCGGGAAGTGGTTCAAACAAGCGAAAGCCGTTGGCAAGATCAACAACGTAAAAGCTACTCTGTTATTTGATTCTGGTGCTGAAGTGTCGATCATTGACACCACCTTTGCTCGTGAGGTCGGTTGCAATATTGACGAAAGTCAACGACAAGAATGTATCGGGATTGGAAAAACTCCGTACATGACGGTAGGACGTACCAAGATCAAGGTGACCCTCGCGGGATCGCTGGTATACTATTTCAATGTATGGGTAGGCGATCTGGCAGGGCAAAAAGCGATTCTGAGTATGGATTTTATGGTGCCTGCTGGAGTGCGGCTCGATCTAGCGAATGGCGCGCTACGTCTACTGAAGAAATCCGCATTCATCTCGCAGGACGTCGCCCCGCGTACGGATCGAAGATACAACATATAACGGCGAAGGACCAACACGTGGTGATCCCGGTCGGAGAGTCAAGGAAAGTGAAGATCGGGATCGGAGGGGCTAAGATGAAGTTGTGGGTCGCTAGAGGACTAGATTGGGTCCCCACTGTGATCTCGGGGTGGGGTAAGACAAAATACCTGCAGATGACCAACATTGGCGACCGTGAGATCATACTGCCCACCCACACTATATTAGGCATGTGGGTCGAAGGCAATATGGTACCGCGAACCCAAGGTTTGGTGACAGTCGGGTCGGGGAAGTACAAGGAATGGGAAACTCTGGCATATGAGGCTACGACGGATCGAGTGAACGAACTCCCGAAAGAAACGATCGGACCATTGGTAGATCGTCCTACGTATGCTGCTCCCAAACGCATCTTGAAACATCCGTCTGATGCGTTACAGAACCTGTCTCCGGCGATCTCCACGGTAACGCCGCAAGCTAACGATGACGATTCGCAAGAGGCAGATGCTGTAGTTGCGAGGGAAGTAACGGTCAGGGGAGCCGAACTATCGCGGATGGAGAACGGTCATGAGATCGGTGCCCAACATGCAACGAAGGGAGACCGCGACACCGGGCAAGAAGGGCTACGTGACAGATCGTCTCTACCGAAGGCTGAGCCGACTGACCGAATGTTGAAATTGGGCCAGCCGGAAGAGACGGAGGAGCCTAAAGAAGAAATAATGCTAAATACTGAAGACGTCGAGATTGCAGAAATACCAGTTTATCACCACGAGAGCGGAAATTTGTTTGCGGAAGATATCGAGCAGCATATGGCCGTGCTACCAGAGATGTCGGCGACTACGGAAGAAGTAACGATTGAGGTCATTCAGATCGGTGATCCCGATGTGCCTCTCACCACAGATCAACAACGGCTCAGATCGCTGATCTGAAAGAGCCGTCACCTCCTCATGGGTAAAGGTGATGCTCTACCACCAGCAGCACGAGGCGCGATCTGTGATATTGATGTCGGTGGGGCAGCACCAATAGCGCAAAGAGTGCGTCCGGTCGCACCCAAATATCGGGAGAAGCTGTCAGATCTCATCAAAGGACTATTAGCAGCCAAAATCGTTCATCCATCCACGTCACCTTGGGCGTCTCCGATAGTGGTGATCATCAAGAAGAACGGAGTGGATGTTCACCTTTGCATTGACTATCGAAGAGTTAACCAGCTGACGCGTCTGATTGTTTATCCCATGCCGTTGATCAGCGATCTGTTGGAAGATCTGGATAAAGCTCTATGGTACTGTTCGCTAGACATGGCTAGTAGATTTTGGGTCGTCGAAATGACCGAACGAGCAAAACTGATCTCAGCGCTTGTCACACCGTTTGGCTTGTTCGAGTGGTTGCGAATGCCTTTTGGGCTTAAGAACGCGCCCCAGATCTACCAACGTCTGGTGGACAATGCGTTGTATGGATATCTCAAGATCGGCCAGAGATCAGCTTCTGATGGCCCGATCGACGTGTTCAAAGATGGAGAACCTGAGACAGATCGACGACCGTCTATACTGGGACGCCGATCTTACATTGACGATATTCTCATACCAGCCACGTCATGGGGATCTTTGTACACAAAAGTAGAACGGTTGCTGGAGGCATGTGATAAGTGGAATCTGTCTATCAGCCTCACGAAGAGCTTTTGGGGGTGCCGTAAGGTCGATTATTTGGGACATCGAGTGTCGATGGATGGTCTGGAGGCTCAGCCCAAGAACCTAGAGTCGTTGGTTAACATCCCGTTTCCTAGCACGCTACGAGCTATGCAATCTTTTCTCGGGAGCTTGAACTACTACCGTCGCTTCATTGAGGATTTCGCGGTGTATGCCGCGGTGTTGTATGAGTTAAGAGAATCGGATTTCTTTGAGATCGGCCGATCTCAGCTTGCAGCAGGAGACGAATGCTCGAACGAGGGTCGATGGACGGAATCCAAGGTTGCTTTCACTATGCTAAAAGCTAAGATAGCTACAGCTCCCATGCTCAAGCATTTCGACCCAGATCGGTCCCCCGTAATCGTGGTCTACGCTAGCAAGTGGGCTGTCTCAGCGGCCCTGATACAGGAGTACGATGGCGTGTACCATCCGGTGACGTTTACTAGCCGCACTTTAAAGCCTAATGAGCTTAACTACGGAACGGTAGAAAAAGAAGTGCTGGCGCTACTTCGTGTGTTGGATGGATGCTATACTACACTTGCCTCGCGGGAGATCACTGTACCGACCCGACATTCTACGTTAGCCTGGTTGATGCAGTCTCGAGGGCTCAACGGGAGATCAGGACGGTGGGCTGCTTTGTTGTCAAATTGGACTATGGAGGTGAAGAAATGTGAAAGAGGAGAGGAAGAGATCCTGGGCATGTTAGCAGCAAGTATCACTCCGAGAGGAGAGGTGGAAGAGATGCTGATTGCGATCTCCCCACGAAAAGACTGTCGACTCAAAATATCGACGCCTCCTCCAACGGTGGAAACAGATGAGGAGTTGCTGGTGGCCAGTTTCGATGGATCGGCTAGGATAAAAAAGAAAGGAGGGTCGTTCAGTGCCGTGATATGGAAGTTACCCGAATGGACGATCGTGGCGGCCGAATCGAGATATGTTCACGATCTGACTGTGAATGAAGCTGAGTATAATGGCTTGCTACTGTGCTTTGCGTTACTCGCCGATCTGGATAGGGGGCGAGTAATACTGTGTGGAGATTCCAGTCTGGTGATTCGACAGATGCGCGGTGAGATCGACTGCAAGGCACCGGGTCTTCAGCTTTTGAGACACGAATCGTTGGAGAAGCTGCAGTCATGGCCTAGTCACGAGTTTCTGCATATGAAGCGAGAGTGGAATCAGAGCGCAGATCGACTAGCCAGCACAGCATTGCAGAGCGAAAAGGGAAGAACGGTTGTAGCTGAAGAGGATCGGCAAGATCTGATGACTCTGAACCGTCTCGATGAATTGTTGAAGCCCAAGCAAGATGGTCAGCTAGCTTGGGTAACTGCGATCGCGAGATCAGCCAGGAGGATACGTCATGAACCTGAAGTGATACAGGAGGAGATAGTACAGAGGATCAGGATTCAACGAATTGTCCAAGCTCAAGATGAAGAGCGTTGGATTGTCAATCTCAAGACATATCTAAGTGGCGATGTATCAAACTTGGATGCGGTAGCAGTGAAGATGTGCGCCAAACTGGCGCCGGATTACGAGATCGATGAGATCTGCTATTTTTTTGCCCTATGGCGAAAAGAGAGTCGGAAGATCGCGATGGTTTGATGCGGTTGGTGATCCCTGAGACGTTGCAGCAGGATTTTTTGCATCACTATCACACGAGTCTGGAAGGAGGCTATCAGGGTATTGGCCGAACCTATCAGCGGATCAGATCGCGATTTCATTGGAGAGGACTGTATCGGAGCGTTCAACGATATGTGGGCGAATGCACCGACTGTGAGACCGGGAAAGGAAACCCGATGATTCATGGGAAATCCCCGGGCAATCTACACGCAACCTATCCATTCCAGATCATCGCCATGGATCATATATTGTCGTTGCCCAAGTCCATCAAGGGGAACACCGAACTGCTCATTTGGGTCGACCTTTTCTCGGGATATGTGATTGCAAAGGCTAGCTCCTCTCGGACGGCACAAACAATAGCGGAGAATTACGAAGAATGTGTGTTTCGACGCTTCGGAGCTAGCGAGGCTATCAGGCACGATCGAGAACCGGGATTTATGTCCGACTTCTTTCGAGCCTTCAGTCGGATCGTAGGACAAAAACAGCGTGCTACTATGGCTTACAGGCCACAAGCAAATGGAACAGCCGAACGAATGGTGCAAACCCTGACACATTCGCTCAAGATGTACGTGGCTGAAGTTGACCAGCGAGACTGGGATGAGTATGCTGAGCGGCTCACATTTGCCATTAACACTGCACAAGATCGGATCCGGGGGGATACCCCGTTTTATCTGGTTCATGGGTGGGACCCGCGATCGACTTTGGAGGCTACGCTACCAGTGGGGAATACGGGGACACGAGATCGCGATCCAAAGAGGTGGAGATACAAAATCCAAAGACAATACCAGCGAGCCCGATCTGCAGTGAACGATCGTTTGCAAGCCGCAATCCAGGAGCGAGCGGATCGACACAACGAAGATCAGGAACCACACGAGATCGAAGTAGGAGCGCAAGTTTGGCTATACCTGGACCGAGTTAAAGAGGGATATGCGAAGAAGCTAGCGCACATGTGGCATGGGCCATTCCGAGTTGCGGACGTATGTGGAGATCATGCTGTAAAATTGGAGATTGCTGGAACCCCATATCGGTTATTTCCGATTGTACATACATCGAAGCTAAAAAGGTAAAGACGTTCCCTGAACGCCCGAAGGATCAGCTTACGATAGAGGAATCAGATCGCTTGGATTTCGATGAAGCTCTGCTGCGAGAAGACAGTTTGGATGGCGATCTTGAAGAATGGGAATACGAAGTAGAGGCAATATTGGACGTGCGATCTGGTAGAAAAACCCATTATGGGCGAGTACACCGGCAGTATCTGGTGAAGTGGAAGGGATATCCCGATCTAAGTTGGGTGGACGAGGCCGATCTAAGTTGCGGGGCGATCTTGCAATAGTTTGAGCGGAACCGAGTGAGTCGAAACCGTTTCGACGTAATGCAGTCTCATGAAGGCAAGTTGGACGAACCTTAACAGTTCGAACAAGTATGCGGGAGGTAGCATATGCGGATGTAGGGGTTGAAAGATGTGCTAGACGGTAGCACATGCTGGCGGATAAGGTTTTTGTATGTGAGTATGGAAATAGTCAAGTGAATTACTTTCCTGAATGCTGTGGAGCGATGAGGATCGAGATCGTGGAAGCTGCAAAGAATGGAAGTACCAAAAAAGAAGATGATTGAATGACTTACACGATTATGAATGGTGAGTCTCGGGATGGAGACGAGGGTCTGGTCGGCTGTCGATCTGGCGATCCTGTGGGGATTGTGGGCGATCCGGTTGGGCCTAGATGGCGCGGAGACCCAGGCCGATCGGGGACGCTGGGGTGTGTCCTCCGAGATCGGGCGATCCGGGCGACAGGTCGCGATCCGGAGACAGAAACATGGTGGGTCCTTCTGATGAGATCGGCGAGGTGGGTGGATGCGTCGGAGAGGCCATGAGACGGACTTGAGTGCTTGGAACGAAGTTGATGAGTGACTGTACTGAGGTCAATTGCTGTACAAAGACTTCAGTACAGGGGGCGGTTGTGGCAAAGTCACTACTCAAATTTTGTACGAGGATCGGTGGCCACACCTTTAAAGCGCTGCTTACTGGTGGAAAAGGAGGCCATGAGACTCGGCGATCCAATACGGAGGTGGAAGATGATATTAACGGGATCGGCGAACCGATCCAACTGTCGTTAGACTAATGGGTATGGATCGACCTGGGATGGAGCGATCTGGAACGATTTACATGGAACAATCTGGGACAAGGATCTGGGACCGGGTGATGGGATATGACTCTGCGACGAAGGTGTAACTGTGGTAAAGTCACTAATCAAATGATGGGACGTGGATCGGTTTCCACCCAGTTAAGATGTCACCCACTGGCGGAAGAGGTACGCCTAGGACCAGGCGATGCAACGTGATTTGAGACGGGGCGTAGAAAGGGGTGATTCCAACGGTGCGATCCGGGACGAGGGACTGGATTGAACCAAACGACCATTTTAAAGGCTGAATAAAGGAAAGGATGTGGATGTTAAAGCAGAATCATTTGAGAAAAGTACGCCTGGGACCAGGCGATGCGACGTAGTTTGAGACGGGGCGTAGCAAGGGGTGATTTCCACGGTGCGATCTGGGATGAGGGACTAGATTGAACCGAACGACCACTCTGAAGGCTGATCAGAGGCAAGGATGTGGATGTTGAAGCAGAATTATTTTCATAAAGCATCGGAGTGCACACAATGAACGGAAGAACAAATATGGCCGGATTGTACTGTGTCGATCCTCGACAATCTCGAATTGGGCATCAGATCGGTCATGATCCCCACTGATTATGGATGCATCGTTGATGAGAATTATGGATCATGACAAACATGCTTGTTGAAGGTCCATGAGTGATGTCTCAAAAGTTCAGATCGAAAGAGCCAGTGGAAGCTGTCCGAATTGACGTCGCAAAATGGATTTAGACGCCTTCGGCATTTGGGCACTATTTTGGGCTTTTGGGTACCAAAATGGGGATTGGTACCCCATTTGGGATTTGGTCCTCTTTTGGCGTTCAGGTACGGTATCGGGGATATTGGCGCTATCATTGGAGTACAGGGCACGAAATTTCGACACGTGGCAAGGGGGCGATCCAGATTCAAGGCGATATCGGTTTGAAGAGTGACCTATAGTTAAGAATAGGCTTAAGGGTAGGTTGGATAGTAATTTGGTTGGTTAATAAACAGACTTGAACTCTACTTCTTCTGCTCACGACGCACGTTATCCTCCCCTCTTCTCCAGGCAAGATTGATTTGGCTTCCCCGGCGGGTTAAGGCACGCGTGTTACAGGGACACAGAAGACCGATGTTGAATGTTATACAAGATCGAGAAGAGCGATCCCGGGATATCTGGCCCGGATCGATCAGGTACTCACACTCAACTCAACTGCTAGGGTAGCAGCACACAACGGAAAAGGAAAAGGATTTTGGACACAAGATCGCGAGACGGCTCAAGTGGTCAGAAGATCTGGAAAAGGCGTTCAAGACAAGACCGAGCAGGATCGAAGCGATCCCCTGGACAGATCGGCACGTTTCAGTTTGGCGAAACAGGACACCGATCTACCCAAATTGCGCACTGCCGGCAAGATCGGCCGGTCCCAAGACCAGATCGAACCGATCCCAAGGCAAGATCGACGCAGGACTTTTATTTGCTGAGTGAAGATTTCCGCACAGCAAAGACCCCGATCTCGAAGACGAATCAAGATCGGTTCGATCCAAGATCGGGATCGCAGAACCCCCGTTCGTGATGTGAAGATTTCCGCACTGGAAGCGAACCCTCAACCCAACCTCTAAGCGAGATAGACATCTCCCAAGGCCGGTACGAAGAGCTCACGCCAGCCCAACCGACGGGTACACAAGGTGAGCACAAGGTCATACAACAAGGCACGGATCGGAGTACGCCCTCCGTGAGTCGGCAAGTCTGGGCAAGTGAAAGATCGACACTCATGCAAGCAACTTTGTGAGATCGACTTCACCACACTTGGACCAGTCGAGTTTAGAGGTGCCTTGGCTTCCTTGATCATGCCGGTGGCCACCATCTTGCGCAGAATATCGAGGGGTACATGAACCATGCGCGCGTGCAAGTCGATGGCCCATTGCGTGTTGCTGCATTTGCCGATCGTTGAGGAGTCCGCAGCCAGTAAAGTCCATCGACGAGATCCGCTGTTGCCACGACTTGTGTGGAATTCTTGCGCGTTACTTGCATCTTATAACCATCGAACGCGAATTAAACCTGTCACCCTTGTTGATCTGCAATACCGAAAGCAGATTTATCGTTGGTGGACGGTTAAGGTACTGTCATTAGCTACCATGGGAACTGTAGACATGTCCAAGTCGATCTTGCGTAACTACGGTGAGTTTTTACCCATGATTAGACGCATAGGATGATAGGATGACCTACGTGTTTTATGATTAATGATTTATATGTGGAAAAGGTATAAATCAGTGTAGGGATAAATCAGGTAGCTTTAACAAACCCACAGATAAATGCAATTCTAAAGATTCCTTCTCCTTCGTAAGTCGTCTAAACTTCGCAGTGTAGACTTCATTCAAGTTCTTCAAGCTTCGATTCTCACACCAAGTGCCCGTTACATCCTACGAGGAGATTATATTCCCAAGTACGATGTCCTCTGCTCAAGATTCCGCCACCAAGATCTGCATCGATAGATTCGATGGAGACAACTACGCGACGTGGAGCCGCTACATGCGTGGCGTGTTCCTGACCAAGTCGACGTGGCACGTGGTCAGCCGGGAGACGACCCCCACCTTCGCCGATCCTCGCGCCAGTGATGAGTACGTCAAGACCAACAACATTGCGTTCGGCTTCATGTTACTTCACATGAGCGCGGACTATCATCACGTAATTGATGACTGTGAGGAGGCATGGGTGTTGGAAAGACGGCGGCTGTGAAGAAGACACCTCGTCAAGCTGCGTCAAGTGTTAGAGCAAGTCGAAGACCAAGCTTCGCATTCAGCGGTGGGTACCGGTATGTACCAGCAAGGGCGAAGTCAGGGAATGACGCTAGTGGATGACGTCAGCGGAATGGCGTCATTGCATGACGGCAGTGTGTGACGTCAGTGGATGATGTCACTGCCAAAAAAGGCTTAGATGTAGTATTCAAAGTTGCGAACTAAGTACCTATTATAAATGTATGTTCACTTTGCGTTTTGCACTCGGTACAAGAAGTCTAAATTTCTTCAATGGGTTGCGTGGACACGGTTGCAGACTCTCTACGGAGGATCGCAGAAGGCGGGATGGATCTTCTTGAAGCGACAGCTGTTCAGCATGGAGATGGCGGAAGTTGGCAATGTCATGCATCATTGCAACAACGTTTTCAACACCAGCGCCAAGCTCAGCAGTATCGGCGCCAAGATGGAGGATGAGGACATGGAGATCTGCTTGTTGTGCAGCCTCCCCAAGAGCTATGAGAACGTCGTGCTGAACTTGGAGATGAGCAGCGCGGAACTGCGGACGCAAGACGTCGTGAAAGTGCTTACGAATGAGAACATCAAGAGACAACGAAACAAGACGACATTGGTGAAGACTGAAGAAGCGACCAAGGCCTTCAGCACCGAGCGTGCATTCCGTCAATGTACGTTCTGCGGGAGATTGGGGCACACGGTGGAAAAGTGCTGGACCAAACAGAGGAAGACGACCGAGGAGATCGACGCAGCGGCAACAAGGGCCGTGCCATTGGGATCATGGACGCGGAGCAAATCAATTCCAAAGGCACGGCTACAACGGCAAAGGCAACAACTCCGACCATGATCGAGTGGCGTTTGCTGTTTCGCTGGAATGCGAGCTTTCGACAGCCAAGACCATGGTGGGAATGTGGACATTTACAGCGGCAACGCGCCACATGTGCTATGACAAGTCCAAGTTTGAAGTTCTGGACGAGCGCAATGAAGGTGAAGTGCTCGTTCCAGACGGAAACAAGGCTACGATCAATAGAGTTGGGACTATCGTTGAAAAGGTGGTCCTACCATACGGTGAAGAGCGCGAAGTTGAAATCGAGGACGCACTGTATGTCTCGAGCATGAACAAGAACGTGTTGAAGGTATGACACGGGAGTGACGCGAAGACCGGAAGAGACCGGAGGGAGCGAAGAGGCTTGAGGAGCGGAGCAGAGAAGACTTGCTCAGCAGAAGGAGAATTCGAAAGTGATGGATTATCGGGGCTTACTACTTACTACATGATTTATATGTGGTGCACATATAAATCATGTGAAGCGTCTCATCATCCTACGCGTCTAATCAACTATGGTAATTACCGTAAGAACTACGTCGTAAATACTAAGCTAAACAGACGGTTCGGATTGGACCGGTCACGGTTACCAACACTGGTAGGAAACCGATGACCGTCAACACGCCCCCTCAATGCGAACACGCACGAATCCCGAGAGTCGCCGTCATCTCCTTGCGGCGTGGCCCGTGAAGTCCCTTCGTCATGATGTCCTCTAACATCACCGCAGTTTCACAGTACTTGAGCTTCACTGCACCTCGCTTTACCTCATCACGGATGTGATGATACTTTATATCAATGTGCTTGGCACGGCCGTGGTTGACCGGGTTCTTTGTCATCTTGATACACGACTGATTGTCTTCATGGATCGTGAGCTCCGGTCCTTATTCATTGGCAGCCATCACGATCTCACAAAGCAGACGATGAATCCACTTGCCCTCTTGAATCGCCAAGCTGAGTGCGATGTATTCAGCTTCAGTCGTGGACAGCGAAACACTTGGCTGTTTCTTGCTGCCCCAACTCACTGGCGCACCCAACAGCATGAATACGTAGCCAGACGTCGACTTGCGATCAGCGAGGTCACCGGCCCTGTCTGCATCCGAGTAGCCACGAAAGTCGATCTTCGCATTTGGCTTGTAGCAGATTCCGTGCATCTTGGTGCCTTGCAGGTAGCGGAAGATGCGCTTGACCGCAACCCAGTGTTATTTTTGGGGTTCTCCATGAATCGCGACACGTATCCCACGGCGAACGCAACATCCGGGCGCGTTGCAGTGGTCAGGTGCATCAACGCACCAACAGCTTCGCGAAAAGGAGCATCGACCTTGGTGGCTGCATCACTTGAAATAAGTCGAGAGCTCATGTCGACTGGACTTGCGACGGCCTTGCAATCATCCATGCCAAAGCGCTTGAGTCTGTCATCTACATACCGACGCTGACATAGTGTCACACTTCCATCTGCGCCGTCCAAAAGCTCGATTCCAAGCACAAATGCACACTTGCCGCTGTCAGTCATCTCGAATCGTGTCTTCAGGTCGGTCTTGGTGCGTGCAATTAGCTCGCATGAGCTACCGGTGATCAACACATCATCCACATACACCAGCAGCAGCACGCATTGCCCTTCCACGATCCTTACGTAGAGACACGGGTCGAGGCTTGACGCTTGGAATCCAATAGCACACACGAACTCGTCAAAAGTTTCGTTCCATGCACGCGACGCTTGCTTGAGTCCGTAGATTGACTTCACCAACCCCAGACAATCGAAGGAGCCCTCCAACTCCACGCCTTCAGGGATGACGCAAAAAACTTGTTCCTTCATGACACCATACAGGAATGCCGTCACCACGTTGAGTTGGTCGATGGTCCATCCGAAATACTTGGCGACTGCAATCACCATGCGCACCGTCACGTACTTGACGACGGGCGAGAATGTTTCCGTGTAGTCCATCCTATATTGTTGCTTGAAACCCTTTGCCACAAGACGCGCCTTGTACTTGTCAATTGATCCGTCCGCTTTGCGCTTGATCTTGAAGACCCACTTCGTGCCAATGGCGCAATGTCCTTTAGGTAGCTTGGCTGCGCGGAATACTTCACGAAGTCGCATCGACTCTCGCTCCGCACGGATAGCTTCGCGACAATGCACTTGATCAGGACCGCTCACCGCAGCTTCAAAAGTTGATGGCTCGGATAAGTCCACTGCTGTTTCGATGGCGTTCGCACTCGCACGCCAAAACACAGGCGGAGTCGATGCATCAGCACTCTTTGTTTCTTCATCTTCTTCTTGGTGGTTCGTGTGATTGTCTGGCGCACTTGATTCTTCTAATCCAGGCCATTGACGCACTGTGCGCGTGGGTGGAGCTGGTACTCCTTCATCATGGGGACGACTATTGCGCTTGCCTGTTTGCTTGTACTGCGCTTGACCTGGCACTTCATCATCCAGATTGAGGGAGTCGAAGTCAATGTCATCGGCGTCTTTAGCGGTGGTTAACGGCGAAAGTCCAAAGGCGGACTCATCAAAGTTGACATCGCTACTGATGACCACCTTCCTCTCCCTGATTTCATAAACGCGGTACGCTTTGAAGGCTTCTTCGTAGCCCAAGAATATCCCAGTGCGAGCCTTGGGGTCCCACTTGAGCCGCTTCTCCTTCGGTGTCAGTATGTAAATCTGACAACCGAACACCCGCATGTGCTTGACACTTGGCTTGGAGTTGTGGACAATCTCGAACGGAGTATTGTGCATAACTTTAGGCGACGGCAGGCGGTTCTTGACGTAGATTGCCGTCATTGCTGCTTCAGCCCAGAATCACTTTTCCAACTTAGCATGGTGGAGCATGTTGCGACCAATTGTAACGATAGTCCGAATGGCGCGCTCTGCCGTGCCGTTGGTCTGGTGTGCATATGGCACCGTCGTCTGCTGCTCAATGCCTTCATCTTCTTAGAATTCTTGAAGCGAGTTGGTTGTGAACTCGCGGGCTCCGTCGTGTCGGACGAGCTTGACCTTCTTGCCAAACTGCGCTTGCATTATCTTGATGTATCGTGTGATGTAGTTTTCACTCTTTGACTTCACACGTAGACAGAAGCCCTTCATGCATCCACTGGCTTCGTCAACGATCAACAGTAGAGTACTTGCTGCCACCCAGAGAATTCATCTCCATGGGTCCGCAGATGTCGACGTGAAGTAGCTCGAAGGTGTCACATCTGCGCTTGTCCTGGTTGCATGGAAATAATTTTTAGAACATTTTCCCTTGTTGACATCCTCGGCATGCGCTTGATCCACTTGACGTGAGAGGTACCTTCACATTTTTGATGTGCACCATGTTCGTGGCCACCATTTTGCGAAGCACATCAGCTGGAGCGTGTCCCATCCGCGCATGTAGGTCGACACCGTTGCATCCGTTTGTTGTCGCATTGGCCGATCGATGAGCTGTGTGAAGCCAGTAAAGGCCATTCACAAGATCTGCTGTTGCCACCACTTGTTGCGATCCTTTGCGAGCAACAAACATCTTGGTCCCGTCGAACACGACTTGAAACTTGCCGTGCTTGTTGATCTGCGGTACCGATAGAAGATTCTTGCTCATGCTTGGTACGTAAAGCACGTTGTTGATCTCGATCTCGCGCTCTTCACCGTCGGGCAGAACCACCTTTTCAAAGATGGTTTCAACACCCTTGATGGCCACTTTGTTGCCATCCGCCACCAAGATTTCACCGTCGTTGCGCTTGTTCGGTCTTGCAAACTTGGTCTTGTCGTGGCATATGTGGTGTGTTGCACCACTATCGACGGCCCACATTCCGGACACGTCCTGTTTCGCTGAGAGTCCTCACTCTAGCGAAACTGCAAACGCTACTTGATCGTAGTCGCTGTCTTCATCACGATACTGTCCCCACTGGACATTGTTTGCCTCGCGTCCACGACCATTGCCGCCGCGTCGGGCTCCTCGACTTTCATTCTTCTGCTTGGACCAACAGCGATCGACGGTGTGATCCACCTTCCCACAGTAGGTGCACTTGTATGGCTCGCGCTCAGTGTTGAAGTCCTTGGCTGCATCTTCAGTCTTGACCATTGTCGCGGTTGTTGTCACCTTCTCCCCTTGACGCTTGGTGTGCTCATTCGTGAGCACCTTCACCACATCTTGGGTACGAAGCTCTGCGCTGCTCATCTCCAAGTTTAGAACAACGTTCTCAAAACGCTTAGGGAGGCTGAGCAGCAGGCAAATTGCGACGTCCTCGTCCTCCATCTTCGCACCGATGCTGCTAAGCTTGGCAGCGATGTTCAGGACCTCGTTGCAGTGATGCATGACGTTCGAGCCTTCGTCCATCTTCATGCTGAAGAGTTGACGCTTGAGGTAGATCCTTCCTGCTTTCTGGGATCCACCGTACAGGACCTTCAGGCTCTGCCACGCAACCCACGCTTCCTCGCAGTTGTCGACCACATGGTGGTAGTCCGCACCCATGTGCAGCAACATCGTTCCAAACGTGATGCTGATGGCCTTGACGTAGTCGTCCTGCGCTCGAGGATCCACGAACGTCGGGGAGCTCTCCCGGTTGACAGCGTGCCACACTGACTTTGTCAGGAGCACGCCACGCATGTATCGACTCCAGGTCGAATAGTTGTCCCCATCGAACTTATCGATGAGGGCGTTAGAGGATGCGTGGCCGGCAGAAGACATTGCGCTTGGGCTCATAACCTGTTGACGGTATGACACGGGAGTGACGCGAAGGCCGGAAGAGACCGGAGGGAGCGAAGAGGCTTGAGGAGCGGAGCAGAGAAGACTTGCTCGGCAGAAGGAGAATTCGAAAGTGATGGATTATCGGAGCCTACTACTTACTACATGATTTATATGTGGTGCACATATAAATCATGTGAAGCGTCTCATCATCCTACGCTTCTAATCAGCTATGGTAATTACCGTAAGAACTACGTCGTAAATACTAAGCTGAACAGGCGGTTCGGATTGGACCGGTCAAGGTTACCAACACTGGTAGAAAACCGATGACCGTAAACAGTTACCCAACGGGTGAAGCGCCATTGGCACAGAGTGATTCTTCAAGATCAAGCGCAAGGCGGATGGGTCGATCGATAAATACAAAGCACGACTTGCGGCCAAGGGTTTTCGCCAAAATTATGACATCGACTACGCGGAGACTTTCTCGTCCGTGGTCAAGCACGTGATGCTGTGCATAGTAATCGCGATCACCAAGTACTTCAAATGGTCACTGGACTAACTGGACATGTTGAAAGTCTTCTTGTACGGAAAGATGAAAAAAAGGTGTTCTGCGCGATCCCAGCAGGTGTCGACATTGATGAAGACTTTGATTGCATCGAATTGGCGAAGGCGATCTACGGACTGAAACAAGCATTGCGGGCATGGAACGAGACTTTCTATGACTTTGTTTGCTCGATTGTATTTCAACAGTCCGACTTCGACCCATGCCTCTATCTCAAGGTCGCAAGCGGAAAGTGCGTGCTGTTTTTGGTCTCGTCGATGATGTGTTGGCAGCGGGCAGTTCAACTGAGGTGATTGTGCGCACCAAGAGTGACTTGAAGAGGCGTTTCGATATGACTGACAGCGGCAAGTGCGCGTTCGTATTGGGCATCGAGATGGTGAACAACATCGACGGTAGTGTGACAATGTGTCAGCGACGATACGTGGACGATGTTCTCAAGCGTTTTGGCATGAATGATTGCAAGGCCGTCATCAGTCCAACGGATATCAGTTCACGACTCACACCAAGCGACGCAGCAACCAAGAACAACGCTCCGTCTCGTGGAGCAGTAGGTGCTTTGATGCACTTAATGACCGCGACAAGACTGGACATTGCTTTTGTTGTGGGCTAAGTTTCGCGCTTCATGGAGAAACCCCAAGTCAAGCATTGGGTGGCAGTCAAGCGCATTCTTCGTTATCTACAAGAAACCAAGTCACACGGCATCTTCGTTAAACCCGACAACAAGGTGGATTTATGTGGCGACTCGGATGCAGACTAGCCCAGTGATCATGAAGACCGCAAGTCGACTTCAGAATGTGCGTCTATCCTGATGGGTGCTCCGATAAGCTGGAAAAGCAAGAAGCAATCAAGTGTATCGCTATCGACAAGCGAAGCAGAGTACGTCGCGCTAAGTCTGGCAATTAAATAAGGCAAGTGGGTGCATCGCCTATTATGCGAGATTCTGAATGCCGCAGAGGACAAGCCCAGACCCGAGCTCAAGATCATGGAAGACAATCAATCGTGCATTAAGATGACGAAGAATCCTGTGAACCATGGTCGGGCCAAGCACGTCAACACCAAGTACCACCACAGTCGCGATGAAGTCAAGCGTGGTGATGACAAGTCGGAGTACTGTGATACTGCGATGATGATGGCGGACATCATGACAAAGGGACTGCCAGGACCGCGTCACAGGGAATTGACGGCAGCGCTTGGCATACACGCGTGTTCGCATTGAGGGGGCGTATCGTGGGTTGACGGTTAAGGTACTATTATCAGATACCGTGGAAACCGTAAACCTGTCCAAGTCGATCTCGCGTAATTACGGTAAGCGCTTACCAATGATTAGACGCATAGGAAGATTGGATGACCTACATGTTCTATGATTTATGATTTAAATGTGCAAAATACATGAATCAGGACACGGATCAATCAGGTAGTATTGAGGGTTACCGATGCAATCCGAACTTAAGCGTAGTTTTTACAGGATAGTTTTTACGTCGGTAAGTACCTCAGAGATGATTGGACGCGTAGGATGATTAGAAGTGCGTAAATTAGGCTGATTAGATGCACCATGTGATTGGATGCAGTCTAGGGTAGGCAGAGTTAAGACCTACGAATCAATCACTTTCCAATCTTCCATCTACCCCCCAAGTGTCTTCTCCGGTCTTCCGAGTGGACTCCCAGCATCCCTCCCAGTTTCGGTCGTCAAGCTTCACACCTTTCAATAGGTTATGAGCCCAAGCACGATGTCTTCTGCTCATGATGCCACCACCAAGATCTCCATTGACAAGTTCGACGGCGACAACTACGCGACATGGAGCCGCTATATGCGTGGCGTGTTCCTGACCAAGTCGACGTGGCACGTGGTGAACCGGGAGACGTCGCCGACCTACGCGGACGATCGCGCCATGGACGACTACGTCAAGGCCAACAACGTCGCTTTCGGACTGATGTTGCTGCACATGGACGCAGACTACCATCACATCGTCGATGACTGTGAAGAGGCGTGGGTCGCGTGGGCGCGTTTGGAGACGCTGTACGGCGGATCGCAGAAGGCTGGAAGCATCTACTTGAAGCGCCAGCTGTTCAGCATGGAGATGGCGGATGGCGGAAATGTGATGCATCATTGCAACGAAGTCCTCAACATCAGCACGAAGCTCAGCAGCATCGGCGCCAAGATGGAGGACGAGGACGTGGCGATCTGCTTGTTGCGCAGCCTCCTTAAGAGCTATGAGAACGTCGTCCTTATTTTGGAGATGAGCAGCGCGGAACTGCAATCGCGAGACGTCGTGAGAGTGCTCACGAATGAGCACATCAAGAGGCAAGGTGACAAGACGACATCGGTGAAGACTGAAGACGCGGCAAAGGCGTTCAGTGCTGAGCGTGAACCTCGCCAGTGTACATAATGCGGAAAATTGGGACACACGGCGGAGCGGTGCTGGATCAAGCAGAAGGACGAAAATCAAGGTGGAGCTCGACGCGGTGGCATCAACGCTCGTGGACGCGGAGCCAACAACGTTCAGTGGCGAATCAACAGCAACTACGACGACAACTACGATCGAGTTGCGTTCGCGGTTTCGCTGGAGGCTGGACTTTCGACGGGCAAGAATATGCCAGGGATGTGGGCAGTCGACAGCGGTGCGACGCATAACATCTGCAGCGAACAAGGCCAAGTTTGCAAGCCTGAATGAGCGAGAGGAAGGCGAACTATCAGTGGCTGATGGCAGCAAGGCTGCGATCAAGGGTGTGGGAACCATCATGGAACGGGTGGTTCTGTCCACTGGTGACGAACGCGACATTGAGATCAAGGACGCATTGTTCGTACCAAGTATGAGCAAGAATCTGCTTTCGGTGCCACAGATCAACAAGGGTGGCAGGTTCCAAGTCGTGTTCGATGGATCCAAGATGCAAGTGAAGCGCAAGAATTCCACACAAGTCGTGGCAACAGCGGATCTCGTCGATGGACTTTACTGGCTGCGGACTCCTCAACGATCGGCAAATGCAGCAACACGCAATGGTACTATCGACTTGCATGCGCGTATGGGTCATGCACCCCTCGAAGTTCTGCGCAAGATGGCGGCCACTGGCATGATCAAGGACGCCAAAGGCACCTCTCAACTCGACTGGTCCAAGTGGTGTGTCACGGTTGCCAGCAAGGAAAAATGGTCCAAAACCCATTCCCAAGCAATCGTGACAAACGCCAATATGGTGTGTTCGAGTTGCTGCACTTCGACATCTGCGGGCCAATGGAACAAGTCTCGATCGGCGGCAGCAGATACTTACTGCTTGTGGTTGACGAAGCCAGCGGTTGCATGAAGGGCTTCTGTCTGCGGTCCAAGTCTGAGAGTGAATACTGTATCATGAACCACATTATCAAGATTCAAACTCAGTTCGGCACGAAGATCAAGTTTGTTCGGCACGATGGAGCGTATGAGTTTGCGACCAACTCCATCAAGACCTTCTACGAAGATCATGGTATCGAACAACAGGTCACGGTGCCGTATGCACACCAGACCAACGGCACCGCAGAACGCGCGATAAGGACCATCGTCACGATCGGACGCATCTTGTTGCATCATGCAAAGCTGGAGAAGTGTTTCTGGGCTGAAGCGGCAATGAAGGCGATCTACATCAAGAACCGCCTGCCTTCACCCAAGATCGACCACAAGACTCCGTTCGAGATCGTGTACAAGTCGAAACCAAGTGTCAAGCACATGCGCGTGTTTGGATGTCGGGCGTTTATCCTGACACCAAGGGAGAAGCGATTGAAGTGGGACCCGAAGGCTCGTGAAGGGATATTCATGGGCTACGAAGAAGCGTCAAAAGCTTATCGAGTGTACGACATTGAGGCGGGCCAAGTGGTGATCAGTCGTGACATCACCTTCGACGAATCGACTTTTGACTTTTCGATGGACCGACCAAGTGACGATGATGAAGATGCGCAGTTGGACCTCGACCTCCTGGCGATCAACGAGGACGACGTGCGTCAAACCGTCTACAAGAAGACTGGCAAGCGCAAGAGTGAAGCAAGACCCGGCATGTCACGTTCAGATCGCCCTCGAACTGGGTTGGAACAAGCAAGTGCGCCGGAACACGTCTCCAGCCGTCACCAGAAACGACGATCAAGTGCTCCAGAAACGATGTCTGATGACGAAGAAGATGCAAGCGTCTACGATCAAGATGACGACTCGACGCCTCCAACATTTTGGCGTGCAAGTGCAAACGCAATGGAAGCAACGGACCTAGCAGAACCTGTGACTTTTCAAGACGCGATCAATGGTCCTGATCAAGCTCACTGGCGAAATGCTGTGAAGGCGGAACTCAAGTCGATGCATATTCTCGGAGTTTTCCGTGCGGCAAAACTGCCAAGAGGCCAAGGCGCGATCGGCACCAAGTGGGTGTTTAAGATTAAGCGCAAAGCGGATGGATCGGTCGAGAAATACAAGGCGCGTCTCGTTGCCAAGGGCTTCAAGCAGAAGTACGGCATCGACTACACAGAGACGTTTTCGCCCGTGGTCAAGTACGTGACACTGCGCATGGTGATCGCGATCACCAAGTATTTCGACTGGCCACTGGACCAGCTCGATGTGGTGACAGCCTTTCTCTACGGAGTGATGAAGGAGAAGGTGTACTGCGTGATACCAGAAGGCGTCGAGATGGATGGCGACTTCGACTGTCTCGAGTTAGTGAAGGCGATCTACGGTCTCAAGCAAGCTTCACGTGTGTGGAACGAGACTTTCGACGAGTTCGTATGCTTTATCGGTTTCGAAGTGTCGGCGTTCAACCCATGTCTCTACATCAAGGTGTCGACGGTCACTGTGTGCTCGTGCTGGTCTACGTGGATGACGTGTTGGTCACCGGCAGCTCGCTCGAGTTGATTGCGCAGACGAAGGCCGACCTCAAGACACGTTTCGAGGTGACCGACAGTGGCAAGTGTACTTTTGTACTGGGCATCGAACTGGTGGACGAATCGGATGGCAGCGTGACGATGTGCCAGCGACGATATGTCAACGACATCCTCAAGCGTTTCGGCATGCATGAGTGCAAGGCCACAGCAAGTCCGGTCGACTTGAGCACTCGGATTGTCGCAAGCAGCGAAGCGGCCAATATCGATGTTCCGTTTCGTAAAGCAGTGGGAACTTTGATGCACTTGACGACTGCGACGCGCCCGGACATTGCGTATGCTGTGGAGTACGTCTCGCGCTTCATGGAGAATCCGCAGCAAGAACATTGGACGGCGGTGAAGCGCATCTTTCGTTACTTGCAAGGGACCAAGTCGCACGGACTCCGCTTCCAGCCAAGCGACAAGATCGACTTTCGTGGCTACACGGACGCGGACTGGGCCGGCGACCACGCTGATCGCAAGTCGACTTCGGGTTACATGCTGATGGGTGCTCCTGTGAGTTGGGGAAGCAAAAAGCAGTCAAGCGTGTCACTGTCGACAAGTGAAGCGGAATACATCGCCCTGAGTCTGGTCATCCAGGAAGGCAAGTGGGTGCATCGCCTGCTATGCGAGATTTTGGCGGCCGCAAACGAACCAGGACCAGACCTCGTCATCCGTGAAGACAACCGGTCGTGTATCAAGATGACGAAGAATCCTACAAAATGGTCGAGCCAAGCATATCGACATCAAGTACCATCACATCCGTGATGAGGTCAAGCGCGGTGAAGTGCAGCTCGAGTATTGCGAGGCTTCCGTGATGATGGCGGACATCATGATCAAGGGACTTTCGGGACCTCGCCACAAGGACTTGACGACGGCTCTCGGCATTCGTGCGAGTTCGGATTAAGGGGGCGTGTTGACGGTCATCGGTTTCTACCAGTATTGGTAACCGTGACCGGTCCAATCCGAACCGCCTGTTCAGCTTAGTATTTACGACGTAGTTCTTACGGTAATTACCATAGTTGATAAGACGCGTAGGATGATGAGACGCTTCATATGATTTATATGTGCACCACATATAAATCATGTAGTAAGCAGTAAGCCCCGATAATCAATCACTTTCCAATCTTCCATCTACCCCCAAGTGTCTTCTCCGGTCTTCCGAGTGGACTCCCAGCATCACTCCTAGTTTCGGTCGTCAAGCTTTTCACCTATCAACAAACATCGACGGTAGTGTGACAATGTGTCAGCGACGATACGTGGACGATGTTCTCAAGCGTTTTGGCATGAATGATTGCAAGGCCGTCATCAGTCCAACGGATATCAGTTCTTGACTCACACCAAGCGACGCAGCAACCAAGAACAACGCTCCGTCTCGTGAAGCAGTAGGTGCTTTGATGCACTTAATGACCGCGACAAGACCGGACATTGCTTTTGTTGTGGGCTACGTTTCGCGCTTCATGGGGAACCCCCAAGTCGATAGCATTCAAGCGCATTCTTCGTTATCTACAAGAAACCAAGTCACACGGCATCTTCGTTAAACCCGACAACAAGGTGGATTTATGTGGCGACTCGGATGCAGACTAGCCCAGTGATCATGAAGACCGCAAGTCGACTTCAGAATGTGCGTCTATCCTGATGGGTGCTCCGATAAGCTGGAAAAGCAAGAAGCAATCAAGCGTATCGCTATCGACAAGCGAAGCAGAGTACGTCGCGCTAAGTCTGGCAATTAAAGAAGGCAAGTGGGTGCATCGCCTATTATGCGAGATTCTGAATGCCGCAGAGGACAAGCCCAGACCCGAGCTCAAGATCATGGAAGACAATCAATCGTGCATCAAGATGACGAATAATCCTGTCAGCCATGGCCGTGCCAAGCACGTCAACATCAAGTACCACCACAGTCGCGATGAAGTCAAGCGTGGTGATGACAAGTCGGAGTACTGTGATACTGCGATGATGATGGCGGACATCATGACAAAGGGACTGCCAGGACCGCGTCACAGGGAATTGACGGCAGCGCTTGGCATCCGCACGTGTTTGCATTGAGGGGGCGTATCGTGGGTTGACGGTTAAGGTACTATTATCAGATACCGTGGAAACCGTAAACCTGTCCAAGTCGGTCTCGCGTAATTACGGTGAGCGCTTACCAATGATTAGACGCATAGGAAGATTGGATGACCTACATGTTCTATGATTTATGATTTAAATGTGCAAAATACATGAATCAGGACACGGATCAATCAGGTAGCTTAAACAACCCAGAAATAAATTCACTTCCAAAGATTTCCTTCTCCGTCGTAAGTCGTCTACACTTTGCAGTGCAGATTTCTTTCGTTTCTTCAAGCTTCGGTTCTCTCATCAAGTGCTCTTCAGACTTTAACAGGTTATAAGCCTAAGCGCGATGTCCTCTGCTCAAGATTCCGCCACCAAGATCTGCATCGACAAATTCGATGGTAAAAAATATGCGACGTGGAGCCGCTACATGCGCGGCGTGTTCCTGACCAAGTCGACGTGGTCCGTAGTCATCCGGGAGACCACCCCCGCCTTCGCTGATCCTCGCGCCAGTGACGAGTATGTTAAGACGGCTTGATGCTGCCTCACATGAGCGCGGATTACCATGATGTGGTTGATGAGTGTAAAGAAGCGTGGGTTGCGTGGGCACGGTTGAAGACTCTCTACGGCGGATCTCAGAAGGCGGGATGCATCTACTTGAAGCGCCAGCTGTTCAGCATGGAGATGGAGGAAGGCGGCAACTTCATGCATCATTGCAACAACGTTCTCAACATCAGCGCTAATTTCAGCAGCATCGGCGCTAAGATGGAGGACAAATACGTGGCGATCCGTTTGTTGCGCAGTCTCCCCAAGAGCTATGAGAACGTTGTTCTCAACTTGGAGATGAGCAGCGCAGAACTGCGGTCGCAAGACGTCGTGAGAGTGCTTACGAATGAGCACATCAAGAGACAACAAAACAAGACGACATTGGTGAAGACTGAAGAAGCGACCAAGGCCTTCAGCACGAGCGTGAATTCCGTCAATGTACGTTCTGCGGAAGATTGGGGCACATGGTGATAAAGTGCTGGACCAAACAGAGGGAAGATGACCGAGGAGATCGACGCAGCGGCAACAAGGGCCGTGCCATTGGGCTCGTGGACGCGGAGCAAATCAAGTCCAATGGCACGGCTACAACGGCAACGGCAACAACTAATACCATGATCGAGTGGCGTTTGCTGTTTCGCTGGAATGCGAGCTTTCGACAGCCAAGACCATGGTGGAAATGTGGGCGATTTACAGCAGCAACGCACCACATCTTCAATGAAAAGTCCAAGTTTGAAGTTCTGGACGAGCGCAATGAAGGTGATGTGCTGGTTGCAGACGGAAACAAGGCTGCGATCAATAGAGTTGGGACTATCGTCGAAAAGGTGGTCCTACCAAACGGTGAAGAGCGCGAAGTTGAAATCGAGGATGCACTTAATGTCTCAAGCATGAACAAGAACCTACTGTCGATACCCCAGATTAACAAAAGCGGCAAGTTCCAAGTGGTGTTTGATAAAAGTGAGATAAATAGTTTGCACAAAGACTCCAAGCAAGTGGTGGCGATGGCGGATATTATGAATGGACCCTACTGGCTTCGCACATCACAACGATCTGTGATTGCTACTTCGCGGCTGAAATTTGAAGATATCTATGCGCGAATGGGCCATGCTTCAGTCGACGTACTTCGCAAGATGGTGACAAGCAACATGATTAAAGACGCTTACATCCCTTTCAAACCGAATGGACCAAGTGTGTGTCGAGGATGTCAGGAAGGGAAGATGGTTCAAAACCATTCTCGAGAAACCGTGACAAGCGCACCTTCAATACCTTCGAGATGCTCCACTTCGACACCTGAGGACCCATGGAAGACAAATCTTTAAGAAGCAGTGTTGTTAGGTGTGAAGCTTGATGACCGAAACTGGGAGTGATGCTGGGAGTCCACTCGGAAGACCGGAGAAGACACTTGGGGGGTAGATGGAAGATTGGAAAGTGATTGATTATCGGGGCTTACTACTTACTACATGATTTATATGTGGTGCACATATAAATCATATGAAGCGTCTCATCATCCTACGCGTCTAATCAACTATGGTAATTACCGTAAGAACTACGTCGTAAATACTAAGCTGAACAGGCGGTTCGGATTGGACCGGTCACGGTTACCAATACTGGTAGAAAACCGATGACCGTCAACACGCCCCCTCAATCCGAACTTGCACGAATGCCGAGAGCCGTCGTCAAGTCCTTGTGGCGAGGTCTTGAAAGTCCCTTGATCATGATGTCCGCCATCATCACGGAAGTCTCGCAATACTCGAGCTGCACTTCACTGCGCTTGACCTCATCACGGATGTGATGGTACTTGATGTCGATGTGCTTGGCGCGGCCGTGGTTGACCGGGTTCTTCGTCATCTTGATGCACGACTGGTTGTCTTCACGGATGACGAGGTCCGGTCCTGGTTCGTTTGCGGCCGCCAAAATCTCGCATAGCAGGCGATGCACCCACTTGCCTTCCTGGATGGCCAGACTCAGTGCGATGTATTCCGCTTCACTCATCGACAGCGACACACTTGACTGCTTCTTGCTTCCCCAACTCACAGGAGCACCCATCAGCATGTAACCCGAAGTCGACTTGCGATCAGCGTGGTCGCCGGCCCAGTCCGCGTCCGTGTAGCCACGAAAGTCGATCTTGTCGCTCGGCTGGAAGTGGGGTCCGTGCGACTTGGTCCCTTGCAAGTAACGAAAGATGCGCTTCACCGCCGGCCAATGTTCTTGCTGCGGATTCTCCATGAAGCGCGAGACGTACCCCACAGCATACGCAATGTCCGGGCGCGTCGCAGTCGTCTAGTGCATCAAAGTTCCCACAGCTTCACGAAACGGAACGTCGATCTTGGCCGCTTCGCTGCTTGCGACAAGCCGAGTGCTTAAGTCGACCGGACTTGCTGTGGCCTTGCACTCATCCATGCCGAAGCGCTTGAGGATGTCGTTGACATACCGTCGCTGGCACATCGTCACGCTGCCATCCGATTCGTCCACCAGTTCGATGCCCAGTACAAAGTACACTTGCCACTGTCGGTCATCTCGAAACGTGTCTTGAGGTCGGCCTTTGTCTGCGCAATCAACTCGAGCGAGCTGCCGGTGACCAACACGTCATCCACGTAGACCAGCACGAGCACACAGTGACCGTCAACAACCTTGATGTACAGACATGGGTCGAACGCCGACGCTTCGAAACCGATAAAGCATACGAACTCGTCGAAAGTCTCGTTCCACACACGTGAAGCTTGCTTGAGACCGTAGATCGCCTTCACTAACTCGAGACAGTCGAAGTCGCCATCCATCTCGACGCCTTCTGGTATCACGCAGTACACCTTCTCCTTCATCACTCCGTAGAGAAAGGCTGTCACCACATCGAGCTGGTCCAGTGGCCAGTCGAAATACTTGGTGATCGCGATCACCATACGCAGTGTCACGTACTTGACCACGGGCGAAAACGTCTCTTTGTAGTCGATGCCGTACTTCTGCTTGAAGCCCTTGGCAACGAGACGCGCCTTGTATTTCTCGACCGATCCATCCGCTTTGCGCTTAATCTTAAACACCCACTTGGTGCCGATCGCGCCTTGGCCTCTTGGCAGTTTTGCCGCACGGAAAACTCCGAGAATATGCATCGACTTGAGTTCCGCCTTCACAGCATTTCGCCAGTGAGCTTGATCAGGACCATTGATCGCGTCTTGAAAAGTCACAGGTTCTGCTAGGTCCGTTGCTTCCATTGCGTTTGCACTTGCACGCCAAAATGTTGGAGGCGTCGAGTCGTCATCTTGATCGTAGACGCTTGCATCTTCTTCGTCATCAGACATCGTTTCTGGAGCACTTGATCGTCGTTTCTGGTGACGGTTGGAGACGTGTTCCGGCGCACTTGCTTGTTCCAACCCAGTTCGAGGGCGATCTGAACGTGACATGCCGGGTCTTGCTTCACTCTTGCGCTTGCCAGTCTTCTTGTAGACGGTTTGACGCACTCGTCCTCGTTGATCGCCAGGAGGTCGAGGTCCAACTGCGCATCTTCATCATCGTCACTTGGTCGGTCCATCGAAAAGTCAAAAGTCGATTCGTCGAAGGTGATGTCACGACTGATCACCACTTGGCCCGCCTCAATGTCGTACACTCGATAAGCTTTTGAGGCTTCTTCGTAGCCCATGAATATCCCTTCACGAGCCTTCGGGTCCCACTTCAATCGCTTCTCCCTTGGTTTCAGGATAAACGCCCGACATCCAAACACGCGCATGTGCTTGACACTTGGTTTCGACTTGTACACGATCTCGAACGGAGTCTTGTGGTCGATCTTGGGTGAAGGCAGGCGGTTCTTGATGTAGATCGCCTTCATTGCCGCTTCAGCCCAGAAACACTTCTCCAGCTTTGCATGATGCAACAAGATGCGTCCGATCGTGACGATGGTCCGTATCGCGCGTTCTGCGGTGCCGTTGGTCTGGTGTGCATACGGCACCGTGACCTGTTGTTCGATACCATGATCTTCGTAGAAGGTCTTGATGGAGTTGGTCGCAAATTCATGCGCTCCATCGTGCCGAACAAACTTGATCTTCGTGCCGAACTGAGTTTGAATCTTGATAATGTGGTTCATGATACAGTATTCACTCTCAGACTTGGACCGCAGACAGAAGCCCTTCATGCAACCGCTGGCTTCGTCAACCACAAGCAGTAAGTATCTGCTGCCGCCGATCGAGACTTGTTCCATTGGCCCGCAGATGTCGAAGTGCAGCAACTCGAACACACCATATTGGCGTTTGTCACGGTTGGTTGGGAATGGTTTTTGGACCATCTTTCCTTGCTGGCAACCGTGACAAACGCCAATATGGTGTGTTCGAGTTGCTGCATTTCGACATCTGCGGGCCAATGGCCGCCATCTTGCGCAGAACTTCGAGGGGTGCATGACCCATGCGCGCATGCAAGTCGATAGTCCCATTGCGTGTTGCTGCATTTGCCGATCGTTGAGGAGTCCGCAGCCAGTAAAGTCCATCGACGAGATCCGCTGTTGCCACGACTTGTGTGGAATTCTTGCGCTTCACTTGCATCTTGGATCCATCGAACACGACTTGGAACCTGCCACCCTTGTTGATCTGTGGCACCGAAAGCAGATTCTTGCTCATACTTGGTACGAACAATGCGTCCTTGATCTCAATGTCGCGTTCGTCACCAGTGGACAGAACCACCCGTTCCATGATGGTTCCCACACCCTTGATCGCAGCCTTGCTGCCATCAGCCACTGATAGTTCGCCTTCCTCTCGCTCATTCAGGCTTGCAAACTTGGCCTTGTCGCTGCAGATGTTATGCGTCGCACCGCTGTCGACTGCCCACATCCCTGGCATATTCTTGCCCGTCGAAAGTCCAGCCTCCAGCGAAACCGCGAATGCAACTCGATCGTAGTTGTCGTCGTAGTTGCTGTTGATTCGCCACTGAACGTTGTTGGCTCCGCGTCCACGAGCATTGATGCCGCCGCGTCGAGCTCCACCTTGATTTTCGTCCTTCTGCTTGGTCCAGCACCGCTCCGCCGTGTGCCCCAATTTTCCGCAGCATGTACACTGGCGAGGTTCACGCTCGGCACTGAACGCCTTCGCCGCGTCTTCAGTCTTCACCGATGTCGTCTTGTCACCTTGCCTCTTGATGTGCTCATTCGTGAGCACTCTCACGACGTCTCGCGATCGCAGTTCCGTGCTGCTCATCTCCAAAATAAGGACGACGTTCTCATAGCTCTTAAGGAGGCTGCGCAACAAGCAGATCGCCACGTCCTCGTCCTCCATCTTGGCGCCGGTGCTGCTGAGCTTCGCGCTGAGGTTGAGGACTTCGTTGCAATGATGCATCACATTGCCGCCTTCCGCCATCTCCATGCTGAACAGCTGGCGCTTCAAGTAGATGCTTCCAGCCTTCTGCGATCCGCCGTACAGCGTCTCCAAACGCGCCCACGCGACCCACGCCTCTTCACAGTCATCGACGATGTGATGGTAGTCCGCGTCCATGTGCAGCAACATCAGTCCGAAAGCGACGTTGTTGGCCTTGACGTAGTCGTCCATGGCGCGATCGTCCGCGTAGGTCGGCGACGTCTCCCGGTTCACCACGTGCCACGTCGACTTGGTCAGGAACACGCCACGCATGTACCGGCTCCATGTCGCGTAGTTGTCGCCGTCGAACTTGTCAATGGAGATCTTGGTGGTGGCATCATGAGCAGAAGACATCGTGCTTGGGCTCATAACCTATTGAAAGGTGTGAAGCTTGACGTCCGAAACTGGGAGTGATGCTGGGAGTCCACTCGGAAGACCGGAGAAGACACGTAGGGGGTAGATGGAAGATTGGAAAGTGATTGATTATCGGGGCTTACTGCTTACTACATGATTTATATGTGGTGCACATATAAATCATGTGAAGCGTCTCATCATCCTACGCGTCTAATCAACTATGGTAATTACCGTAAGAACTACGTCGTAAATACTAAGCTGAACAGGCGGTTCGGATTGGACCGGTCACGGTTACCAATACTGGTAGGAAACCAATGACCGTCAACAGGCAGCAAGTATCTGCTGCTTATCGCGGATGAAACCAGCGGATGCATAGAGGATTTTTGTCTGCATGCCAAGTCGGGGAGTGAGGAGTGAATCAAGAGGTACATCACGATTGTCCAAAAGCAGATCGACATAAAGGTCAAGTTTGTGTGACACGATAGATCCCGCGAGTTTGCGACAAGCTCGCTTCAAGATTTCTACGAAGTCGAAGGCATCGAACAGCAAACCACGGTGTCATCCGCTGATCAAGCCAACGGAACTGCTGAACGCGCAATTCGGACTATCGTCACCATCGGTCGTAGCATGCTCCATCATGCCAAGTTGGACAAGTGCTTCTGGGCTGAAGCGGCAATGACGGCAGTCTATGTGAAGAACCGTTTGCCGTCACCCAAGATTCCACACAAGACACCGTTCGAGATTGTCTACAATTCCAAGTCAAGTGTCAAGCACATGCGCGGTTTTGGGTGCCACACTTACATCTTAACTCTGAAGGAGAAACAACTCAAGCGGAATCCCAAGGCACGTACTGGGTTAATTTTGGCTACGAAGAAATGTCTAAGGCTTATCGAGTTTATGACATTGAAGTGGGGCAGGAGACGATAAGTCGTGATGTCAACTTTGAAGAGTCAGCCTTTGGACTTTCTATGCTGATTTCCGATGACGGTGTTGATGGACAGGACGTCGAATCCTTTGATCTTGATGATAAAGATCCGCTTCCTAGATACTTCAAAATGAATAGGAATGCGCAAGGCCTAACTCAGTCACGAAGATGAAGATGCAAATATGCCCCGAGCAGTGCGCCAACGACCCAGATTGGAAGGGGCAAGTGCTTCAGACGACCTCTCTTCACGTCGAGCCAATAAAGATGAAGGAAGTCAGTCGAGCAACGTGACACACCAACTTCTTTCGTATTTCAACAGGTAAGTGCAAACGCTGTCGAAGCAGCAGTGCATCTTTGAGCCCGTCGATATTTAGAGAAGCAGTGACTGGCCCGGACCAAGCGCACTAGCGCAAGGCAATTAATGCAGAGCTCGAGTCAATGCGACTTCGCGTGTGTTTCGTGCTGCCAAGTTACCCAACGGGTGAAGCGCCATTGGCACAAAGTGAGTCTTCAAGATCAAGCGCAAGGCGGATGGGTCGATCGATAAATACAAAGCACGACTTGCGGCCAAGGGTTTTCGCCAAAATTATGACATCGACTACACGGAGACGTTCTCGCCCGTGGTCAAGTACGTGATGCTGTGCATAGTAATCGCGAGCACCAAGTACTTCAAATGGTCACTGGACTAACTGGACATGGTGAAAGCCTTCTTGTACGGAAAGATGAAAAAAAGGTGTTCTGCGCGATCCCAGCAGGTGTCGACAGTGATGAAGACTTTGACTGCATCGAATTGGCGAAGGCGATCTACGGACTGAAACAAGCATTGCGGGTATGGAGCGAGACTTTCTATGACTTTGTTTGCTCGATTGTATTTCAACAGTCCGACTTCGACCCATGCCTCTATCTCAAGGTCGCAAGCGGAAAGTGCGTGGTGTTTTTGGTCTCGTCGATGATGTGCTGGCAACGGGCAGTTCGACTGAGGTAATTGTGCGCACCGAGAGTGACTTGAAAAGGCGTTTCGATATGACTGACAGCGGCAAGTGCGCGTTCGTATTGGGCATCGAGCTGGTGAACAACATCGACGGTAGTGTGACAATGTGTCAGCGACGATACGTGGACGATGTTCTCAAGCGTTTTGGCATGAGTGATTGCAAGGCCGTCATCAGTCCAACGGATATCAGTTCTCGACTCACACCAAGCGACGCAGCATCCAAGAACAACGCTCCGTCTCGTGAAGCAGTAGGTGCTTTGATGCACTTAATGACCGCGAAAAGACCGGACATTGCTTTTGTTGTGGGCTACGTTTCGCGTTCCATGGAGAACCCCAAGTCGAGCATTGGATGGCAGTCAAGCAAATTCTTCGTTATCTACAAGAAACCAAGTCACACGGCATCTTCGTTAAACCCGACAACAAGGTGGATTTATGTGGCGACTCGGATGCAGACTAGCCCAGTGATCATGAAGACCGCAAGTCGACTTCAGAATGTGCGTCTATCCTGATGGGTGCTCCGATAAGCTGGAAAAGCAAGAAGCAATCAAGCGTATCGCTATCGACAAGCGAAGCAGAGTACGTCGCGCTAAGTCTGGCAATTAAATAAGGCAAGTGGGTGCATCGCCTATTATGCGAGATTCTGAATGCCGCAGAGGACAAGCCCAGACCCGAGCTCAAGATCATGGAAGACAATCAATCGTGCATCAAGATGACGAAGAATCCTGTGAACCATGGTCGGGCCAATCACGTCAACACCAAGTACCACCACAGTCGCGATGAAGTCAAGCGTGGTGATGACAAGTCGGAGTACTGTGAGACTGCGATGATGATGGCGGACATCATGACAAAGGGACTGCCAGGACCGCGTCACAGGGAATTGACGGCAGCGCTTGGCATGCACGCGTGTTCGCATTGAGGGGGCGTATCGTGGGTTGACGGTTAAGGTACTATTATCAGATACCGTGGAAACCGTAAACCTGTCCAAGTCGGTCTCGCGTAATTACGGTGAGCGCTTACCAATGATTAGACGCATAGGAAGATTGGATGACCTACATGTTCTATGATTTATGATTTAAATGTGCAAAATACATGAATCAGGACATGGATCAATCAGGTAGCTTAAACAACCCAGAAATAAATTCACTTCCAAAGATTTCCTTCTCCGTCGTAAGTCGTCTACACTTTGCAGTGCAGACTTCTTTCGTTTCTTCAAGCTTCGGTTCTCTCATCAAGTTCTCTTCAGACTTTAACAGGTTATAAGCCTAAGCGCGATGTCCTCTGCTCAAGATTCCGCCACCAAGATCTGCATCGACAAATTCGATGGTAAAAAATATGCGACGTGGAGCCGCTACATGCGCGGCGTGTTCCTGACCAAGTCGACGTGGTACGTAGTCATCCGGGAGACCACCCCCGCCTTCGCTGATCCTTGCGCCAGTGACGAGTATGTCAAGACGAACTACATTGCGATCGGCTTGATGCTGCCTCACATGAGCGCGGATTACCATCACGTGGTTGATGAGTGTGAAGAAGCGTGGGTTGCGTGGGCACGGCTGAAGACTCTCTACGGCGGATCTCAGAAGGTGGGATGCATCTACTTGAAGCGCCAGCTGTTCAGCATGGAGATGGAGGAAGGCGGCAATGTCATGCATCATTGCAACAACGTTCTCAACATCAGCGCTAAGTTCAGCAGCATCGGCGCTAAGATGGAGGACAAAGACGTTGATGAACTTTAGACTTCTTGGTCCGAGTGCAAAACGCAAAGTGAATATATATTTATAATAGGTACTTAGTTCGCAACTTTGAATACTACCTCTAAGCCTATTATTCGCAGTGACGTCATCCAGTGACGTCACCCACTGACGTCACCCACTGACGTCATGCAATGACGTCATCCAGTGACGTCATTTCCTGACTTCGCCCTTACTGGTACATACCGGTACCCACCGGTATAGCGAAGCTTGGTCTTCCACTTGCTTCAACACTTGACGCAGCTTGACGAGGTGTCTTCTTCACAGCCGCTGTCTTTTCAACACTCCCTCTCGACTCGTTAGCTGCGGCACCTTGGATCCCAAGTCGATCGCGAATGTTTTCAAATTGTACAGCGGCGATCGGCTTGGTCATCATGTCTGCCAGCATATCTTGAGTCGGGCAATACTCCAAAACGACTTCACCTGATTCCACCTTCTCACGCACAAAATGGTAGCGTATGTCGATGTGTTTTGTTCTCTTATGGAACTCCGGGTTCTTGGCGAGAGCGATTGATCCTTGGTTGTCTTCATACATCTTGATCGCTTCGTCGCTTGTCATCTCACCAAGTTCCCCCAAAAGCACTTTGAGCCATACTGCTTCTTTGGTTGCTTCGGAAAGCGCCATGTATTCTGCTTTTGTTGAAGATAGCGCGACCGTCCGTTGTTTCTGTCTTTTCCAGCTGATGCATCCTCCGCTCATCATGAACACATAGCCGCTTGTACTTCGTCTTGACTCAATGTCGCCGGCCCAGTCTGCGTCGGTGTACCCGCAGATACGGCTTCCTTCTTCACGTGTAAACTCAAGACCATGATTGGGCGTTGCTTGCAGGTATCTCAGCACACGCTTCAAAGCTTGCCAGTGAGTCGGGCATGGGTCGGACGAGAACTGGGATAATGATCCCACTGCAGCAGCTAGATCCGGACGTGTGGCGACCATGAGATACATGATGCCTCCGACAGCACTTCGATATGGCACGTTGCACATGGTGTCTTCGTGCTTGCATTCTTGTTCACACATGTTCTTGGTTAGCTTCAGGCCGGGATCTTGAGGCGTCTTCACTGGCTTGCTGTTATCCATTCCGAACTTGGTTAACACGGACTTGAGAAACTTGGTTTGTTGTACGGTCACCATTCCCGTCTTACGGTCGTTCTTGATCTCCATGCCGAGAAAGTAATCGAGCTCACCGAGATCCGTCATTTCGAAGCGTTTGCTCAGCGCCATCTTGGTTGACTTGAGGAGTTCGTTGTTGCTGCTGGCCAGGATGAGATCATCGACGTAGAGCACCACGAGAATCATGTCTTGGTCGTCTCGCTTGATGTAGATGCAGTGGTCCGATTCGCACTTCTTGAATCCCATCTTGATCATGAACCCATCGATTGTTTGGTTCCACATGCGAGGCGATTGCTTCAAGCCGTAGAGTGATCTCTTTAGCTTGCACACATAGTCCGGCTGTGTTGCATCCAGGTATCCGTCCGGCTGGTCCATGTAGATGTCTTCGTTGAGGGAGCCGTTAAGAAACGCTGTCTTGACGTCCATCTGATGTAGCATTAGGCCGTACTTAGCCGCCATACTGAGCACCACACGAATCGATGTGAACTTGGCCACCGGTGCGAAAGTTTCTTCATAGTCAACTCCGAATTTCTGTGAGAATCCTTTGGCCACAAGTCTTGCCTTGAAACGTTCAACTTCGCCATCTTGATTCTCCTTTACACGAAAAACCCATCGGCACCCGATGGCCTTGCGACCTTTCGGAAGAGGCACGATTTCCCACGTGTCGTTTCTCTGAAGCGAATCGAACTCCGAGTCACACGCTTCTTTCCACTTGCCGGAGTCGCTTGATTCCATCGCCGACTTGAATGTAGTCGGCGTTTCCCCACTGAATCAACGATGTAGGCTGCTTCAAAATCCATTGCAGCCGCTGACACATGCTCAAGCGACGGACCTCTGTATGTTCTTCGCTTGGGACTTGGAATGACGGTAGCTTTCTCAAGTGATTGAGTGCGCGTGTGTCTCTTGATGTTGCTCTTCGAAGACCTGGTGTCTTCGTTGTCATCGTCGCTCGAGTCCATGTCGTCGTCAGTTTTACCTTCTTCTTTTTCTTCGTCCTCATCATGATCATCAAACTCAACGACACTTGACTCATCGTTGTAGTTGCGCGGACCTTCATCAAACTTGTCTTCCATGAATGTGGCATCGCGACTGATCTTGATCGCTCCTGTTGACACTTCCTCAAATCGATATGACTTCTGGTGTTCGACGTATCCCAGGAAACGACAGAGTGATGACTTGGAGTCGAACTTCGCGCGTTTGTCTTGAGGCACTTGAACATACGCGTGGCATCCAAACACTTTAAGGTTGGCCAGAATCGGTTTCTTCATCGTCCACACTTGATATGGAGACTTGTCTTGGTGAATGGCACGTGTTGGACAGCGGTTTCGAAGAAACATCGCCGTCATCACTGCTTCACCCCAGTAGCTCTTTCCCAGTCCAGCGTGTTCCATCATGCAACGCGCACACTCGACCAGCGTGCGATTCATTCTCTCAGCTACTCCGTTTAGCTGAGGAGTATATGGGGGGGGTGAACCTTTGTTGTATTCCCCGTTCCGCGCAGAATCGTGCCAGCTTGTCGGACTTGTATTCACCCCCATTGTCGCTTTGAAGGTACTTCACGCGCTTTCCGGTTTGCGTTTCGGCCATCGCAGCGTATTCCATGAACTTCGCCGCAACTTCAGATTTGCTCTTGAGCAGATAGACGACACAGTATCTTGACTTGTCATCAATGAATGTCACGAAGTACCGTTTTCCACTGAAAGTTGCCATCGACATCGGTCCGCATACGTCGCTGTGAATCACTTCGAGGAGTTTGGAGGTGCGAGCTGTAGTGTTTGATTGGAAGCGCACTCGAGTCTGTTTTCCCAGAGCACAACCTTCACACACGTCCCACTTCTTCACCGAAGATATGTCGATGCCAATTCCAATGTTCTTCGTCACGATGCAATTGAGTCCATCGTGACCTATGTGGCCAAGCCGAAGGTGCCAGAGGTACGACTTGGTGCCCCCTTGACATCCCGACGACTTGGCTGCATTTGCTTGTTCCGGCGCCACTGGAGTCATTTGCAGCTTGAACAGTCCTTTACCTTCACGGGCACCAATTTTCCACTTGGTCCCTTTCGCTTCTCCATAGCACCCATCCTTCGTGAACGTCACTGGGCCGACATCCTTGGTGAAGCGGCCGACCGAGAACAGGTTTCTGGATAACTTTGGGATGTGCCACACGTTTGTGAGCACACCTTTCTTCATCCCTTGGGGTGTCTTCATCGACATGACAATGTCCCCACTGCCGATTGCTTGGACGATTCCATCATCCGCGAGATGGACATCCACAGCGTCAAACCCCTTGTAGTTCCGCATGAACTTCTTGGAGCACGTCATGTGCTGCGTCGCCCCGGAGTCGACCAGCCAGATGTCGCTCGATTTCGCAGATGTCGTTTCACCGATCGAAAAGAGGTAGTCGCCCGAGTCTTCTTCTTGAGCGACGTTTGCACATTGTGATCGATAGCAGTCGCCGCTGTCTTGAGCACGCTGTGGCCGGTGTCTCTCCGTGTTTTCTTGGATGCGCGAGGGGCACTCCGCCATCCAGTGACCAATCTTTCCGCAATTGTGGCACGGCCAGGACTTCTTCACTGGTCGCCCTTTGCGCTGATTGTCCCTTGTGATGAACGCTTGACCTTGCGAAGCTTCATCACCTTTACTTCCTTGCTCCTTCCGCTTCATTTCTTCATGAAGCAGTCGAGACGTCACGAGCTCCCAGCTAAGAGTGTCTGAGCGCGACTCCAAAGCTGTGATCAAGAATTGATACGAGTCACTCAGGCTGCCGAGAAGTGTGATCACCAGATCGTCCTCGCAGACTGGAGCCCCCACCGCTTCTAGCTGTTCCGCCAGCGTCTTGAGCTTGTTGATGTGTTCGAGCACATCGTCGCCTTCTTCCATCATTGTCGTGAAGAAGCGACGGCGCAAGAACAGCTTGTTGGCAAGACTCTTCTTCTCGAAGTGGTCTTCCAACCTTGACCATGCGTCGCATGCACCACTTGCCGACCGGACCAACGGTAGCTGGGAATCTTCCATGGCTAGACAGATCACTGCCATCGCCTTTCTTGACTTCCTCTTGTACGTCGCTTGGTCCAACTGAGTCTCGCACTGTTCCGCCTTGATCTCACCGCTGACGACCTCCCATAAGTTCCGCTCCTCAAGCACCATCCGCATCTTGAACTTCCAGGCGTGGAAGTTAGTTCCATCGAACTTGGAGATGCGGAGGGAGGGAGGCGTCCATGGCAGCTAAGCTTGAATTGTTGGCGGTTTCAGAGTCTGACGAACTTGGGCTCATAACCTGATGAACTTTAGACTTCTTGGTCCGAGTGCAAAACGCAAAGTGAATATATATTTATAATAGGTACTTAGTTCGCAACTTTGAATACTACCTCTAAGCCTATTATTCGCAGTGACGTCATCCAGTGACGTCACCCACTGACGTCACCCACTGACGTCATGCAATGACGTCATCCAGTGACGTCATTTCCTGACTTCGCCCTTACTGGTACATACCGGTACCCACCGGTATAGCGAAGCTTGGTCTTCCACTTGCTTCAACACTTGACGCAGCTTGACGAGGTGTCTTCTTCACAGCCGCTGTCTTTTCAACAGACGTGGCGATCCGTTTGTTGCGCAGTCTCCCCAAGAGCTATGAGAACGTTGCGTTGTAACTTGAGCGCGAGGCGAAGAGAAAACGAAGCGGAGAGACCGGAGAGAACGAAGCAGAGAACACTTGCTCACTTGAGGGAGGATTCGAAAGTGATTGATTTATAGGTCTTAACTTCTGCCTACCCTAGACTGCATCCAATCACATGGTGCATCTAATCAACCTGATTTACACGCGTCCAATCATCCTACGCGTCTAATCATCTCTGAGGTAATTACCGATGTAAAAACTATCTCGTAAGAACTACGCGCTAGGTTCGGATTGTACCGGTAACCCTCAATACGTTGTTCTCAACTTGGAGATGAGCAGCGCAGAACTGCGGTCGCAAGACGTCGTGAGAGTGCTTACGAATGAGCACATCAAGAGACAACAAAACAAGACGACATTGGTGAAGACTGAAGAAGCGACCAAGGCCTTCAGCACGAGCGTGAATTCCGTCAATGTACGTTCTGCGGAAGATTGGGGCACATGGTGATAAAGTGCTGGACCAAACAGAGGGAAGATGACCGAGGAGATCGACGCAGCGGCAACAAGGGCCGTGCCATTGGGCTCGTGGACGCGGAGCAAATCAAGTCCAATGGCACGGCTACAACGGCAACGGCAACAACTAAGACCATGATCGAGTGGCGTTTGCTGTTTTGCTGGAATGCGAGCTTTCGACAGCCAAGACCATGGTGGGAATGTGGGCGATTTACAGCAGCAACGTACCACATCTTCAATGAAAAGTCCAAGTTTGAAGTTCTGGACGAGCGCAATGAAGGTGATGTGCTGGTTGCAGACGGAAACAAGGCTGCGATCAATAGAGTTGGGACTATCGTCGAAAAGGTGGTCCTACCAAACGGTGAAGAGCGCGAAGTTGAAATCGAGGATGCACTTAATGTCTCAAGCATGAACAAGAACCTACTGTCGATACCCCAGATTAACAAAAGCGGCAAGTTCCAAGTGGTGTTTGATAAAAGTGAGATAAAGAGTTTGCACAAAGACTCCAAGCAAGTGGTGGCGATGGCGGATATTATGAATGGACCCTACTGGCTTCGCACATCACAACGATCTGTGATTGCTACTTCGCGGCTGAAATTTGAAGATATCTATGCGCGAATGGGCCATGCTTCAGTCGACGTACTTCGCAAGATGGTGACAAGCAACATGATTAAAGACGCTTACATCCCTTTCAAACCGAATGGACCAAGTGTGTGTCGAGGATGTCAGGAAGGGAAGATGGTTCAAAACCATTCTCGAGAAACCGTGACAAGCGCACCTTCAATACCTTCGAGATGCTCCACTTCGACACCTGAGGACCCATGGAAGACAAATCTTTAAGAAGCAGTGTTGTTAGGTGTGAAGCTTGACGACCGAAACTGGGAGTGATGCTGGGAGTCCACTCGGAAGACCGGAGAAGACACTTGGGGGGTAGATGGAAGATTGGAAAGTGATTGATTATCGGGGCTTACTACTTACTACATGATTTATATGTGGTGCATATATAAATCATGTGAAGCGTCTCATCATCCTACGCGTCTAATCTGATGAACTTTAGACTTCTTGGTCCGAGTGCAAAACGTAAAGTGAATATATATTTATAATAGGTACTTAGTTCGCAACTTTGAATACTACCTCTAAGCCTATTATTCGCAGTGACGTCATCCAGTGACGTCACCCACTGACGTCACCCACTGACGTCATGCAATGACGTCATCCAGTGACGTCATTTCCTGACTTCGCCCTTACTGGTACATACCGGTACCCACCGGTATAGCGAGGCTTGGTCTTCCACTTGCTTCAACACTTGACGCAGCTTGACGAGGTGTCTTCTTCACAGCCGCTGTCTTTTCAACACTCCCTCTCGACTCGTTAGCTGCGGCACCTTGGATCCCAAGTCGATCGCGAATGTTTTCAAATTGTACAGCGGCGATCGGCTTGGTCATCATGTCTGCCAGCATATCTTGAGTCGGGCAATACTCCAAAACGACTTCACCTGATTCCACCTTCTCACGCACAAAATGGTAGCGTATGTCGATGTGTTTTGTTCTCTTATGGAACTCCGGGTTCTTGGCGAGAGCGATTGATCCTTGGTTGTCTTCATACATCTTGATCGCTTCGTCGCTTGTCATCTCACCAAGTTCCCCCAAAAGCACTTTGAGCCATACTGCTTCTTTGGTTGCTTCGGAAAGCGCCATGTATTCTGCTTCTGTTGAAGATAGCGCGACCGTCCGTTGTTTCTGGCTTTTCCAGCTGATGCATCCTCCGCTCATCATGAACACATATCCGCTTGTACTTCGTCTTGACTCAATGTCGCCGGCCCAGTCTGCGTCGGTGTACCCGCAGATACGGCTTCCTTCTTCACGTGTAAACTCAAGACCATGATTGGGCGTTGCTTGCAGGTATCTCAGCACACGCTTCAAAGCTTGCCAGTGAGTCGGGCATGGGTCGGACGAGAACTGGGATAATGATCCCACTGCAGCAGCTAGATCCGGACGTGTGGCGACCATGAGATACATGATGCCTCCGACAGCACTTCGATATGGCACGTTGCACATGGTGTCTTCGTGCTTGCATTCTTGTTCACACATGTTCTTGGTTAGCTTCAGGCCGGGATCTTGAGGCGTCTTCACTGGCTTGCTGTTATCCATTCCGAACTTGGTTAACACGGACTTGAGAAACTTGGTTTGTTGTACAGTCACCATTCCCGTCTTACGGTCGTTCTTGATCTCCATGCCGAGAAAGTAATCGAGCTCACCGAGATCCGTCATTTCGAAGCGTTTGCTCAGCGCCATCTTGGTTGACTTGAGGAGTTCGTTGTTGCTGCTGGCCAGGATGAGATCATCGACGTAGAGCACCACGAGAATCATGTCTTGGTCGTCTCGCTTGATGTAGATGCAGTGGTCCGATTCGCACTTCTTGAATCCCATCTTGATCATGAACCCATCGATTGTTTGGTTCCACATGCGAGGCGATTGCTTCAAGCCGTAGAGTGATCTCTTTAGCTTGCACACATAGTCCGGCTGTGTTGCATCCAGGTATCCGTCCGGCTGGTCCATGTAGATGTCTTCGTTGAGGGAGCCGTTAAGAAACGCTGTCTTGACGTCCATCTGATGCAGCATTAGGCCGTACTTGGCCGCCATACTGAGCACCACACGAATCGATGTGAACTTGGCCACCGGTGCGAAAGTTTCTTCATAGTCAACTCCGAATTTCTGTGAGAATCCTTTGGCCACAAGTCTTGCCTTGAAACGTTCAACTTCGCCATCTTGATTCTCCTTTACACGAAAAACCCATCGGCACCCGATGGCCTTGCGACCTTTCGGAAGAGGCACGATTTCCCACGTGTCGTTTCTCTGAAGCGAATCGAACTCCGAGTCACACGCTTCTTTCCACTTGCCGGAGTCGCTTGATTCCATCGCCGACTTGAATGTAGTCGGCGTTTCCCCCACTGAATCAACGATGTAGGCTGCTTCAAAATCCATTGCAGCCGCTGACACATGCTCAAGCGACGGACCTCTGTATGTTCTTCGCTTGGGACTTGGAATGACGGTAGCTTTCTCAAGTGATTGAGTGCGCGTATGTCTCTTGATGTTGCTCTTCGAAGACCTGGTGTCTTCGTTGTCATCGTCGCTCGAGTCCATGTCGTCGTCAGTTTTACCTTCTTCTTTTTCTTCGTCCTCATCATGATCATCAAACTCAACGACACTTGACTCATCGTTGTAGTTGCGCGGACCTTCATCAAACTTGTCTTCCATGAATGTGGCATCGCGACTGATCTTGATCGCTCCTGTTGACACTTCCTCAAATCGATATGACTTCTGGTGTTCGGCGTATCCCAGGAAACGACAGAGTGATGACTTGGAGTCGAACTTCGCGCGTTTGTCTTGAGGCACTTGAACATACGCGTGGCATCCAAACACTTTAAGGTTGGCCAGAATCGGTTTCTTCATCGTCCACACTTGATATGGAGACTTGTCTTGGTGAATGGCACGTGTTGGACAGCGGTTTCGAAGAAACATCGCCGTCATCACTGCTTCACCCCAGTAGCTCTTTCCCAGTCCAGCGTGTTCCATCATGCAACGCGCACACTCGACCAGCGTGCGATTCATTCTCTCAGCTACTCCGTTTAGCTGAGGAGTATATGGGGGTGTGAACCTTTGTTGTATTCCCCGTTCCGCGCAGAATCGTGCCAGCTTGTCGGACTTGTATTCACCCCCATTGTCGCTTTGAAGGTACTTCACGCGCTTTCCGGTTTGCGTTTCGGCCATCGCAGCGTATTCCATGAACTTCGCCGCTGTCTTGAGCACGCTGTGGCCGGTGTCTCTCCGTGTTTTCTTGGATGCGCGAGGGGCACTCCGCCATCCAGTGACCAATCTTTCCGCAATTGTGGCACGGCCAGGACTTCTTCACTGGTCGCCCTTTGCGCTGATTGTCCCTTGTGATGAACGCTTGACCTTGCGAAGCTTCATCACCTTTACTTCCTTGCTCCTTCCGCTTCATTTCTTCATGAAGCAGTCGAGACGTCACGAGCTCCCAGCTAAGAGTGTCTGAGCGCGACTCCAAAGCTGTGATCAAGAATTGATACGAGTCACTCAGGCTGCCGAGGAGTGTGATCACCAGATCGTCCTCGCAGACTGGAGCCCCCACCGCTTCTAGCTGTTCCGCCAGCGTCTTGAGCTTGTTGATGTGTTCGAGTACATCGTCGCCTTCTTCCATCATTGTCGTGAAGAAGCGACGGCGCAAGAACAGCTTGTTGGCAAGACTCTTCTTCTCGAAGTGGTCTTCCAACCTTGACCATGCGTCGCATGCACCACTTGCCGACCGGACCAACGGTAGCTGGGAATCTTCCATGGCTAGACAGATCACTGCCATCGCCTTTCTTGACTTCCTCTTGTACGTCGCTTGGTCCAACTGAGTCTCGCACTGTTCCGCCTTGATCTCACCGCTGACGACCTCCCATAGGTCCCGTTCCTCCAGCACCATCTGCATCTTGAACTTCCAGGCGTGGAAGTTAGTTCCATCGAACTTGGAGATGCGGAGGGAGGAGGCGTCCATGGCAGCTAAGCTTGAATTGTTGGCGGTTTCAGAGTCTGACGAACTTGGGCTCATAACCTGATGAACTTTAGACTTCTTGGTCCGAGTGCAAAACGCAAAGTGAATATATATTTATAATAGGTACTTAGTTCGCAACTTTGAATACTACCTCTAAGCCTATTATTCGCAGTGACGTCATCCAGTGACGTCACCCACTGACGTCACCCACTGACGTCATGCAATGACGTCATCCAGTGACGTCATTTCCTGACTTCGCCCTTACTGGTACATACCGGTACCCACCGGTATAGCGAGGCTTGGTCTTCCACTTGCTTCAACACTTGACGCAGCTTGACGAGGTGTCTTCTTCACAGCCGCTGTCTTTTCAACATAATCAACTATGGTAATTACCGTAAGAACTACGTCGTAAATACTAAGCTGAACAGGCGGTTCGGATTGGACCGGTCACGGTTACCAATACTGGTAGGAAACCAATGACCGTCAACAGGCAGCAAGTATCTGCTGCTTATCGCGGATGAAACCAGCGGATGCATAGAGGATTTTTGTCTGCATGCCAAGTCGGGGAGTGAGGAGTGAATCAAGAGGTACATCACGATTGTCCAAAAGCAGATCAACATAAAGGTCAAGTTTTTGTGACACGATAGATCCCGCGAGTTTGCGACAAGCTCGCTTCAAGATTTCTACGAAGTCGAAGGCATCGAACAGCAAACCACGGTGTCATCCGCTGATCAAGCCAACGGAACTGCTGAACGCGCAATTCGGACTATCGTCACCATCGGTCGTAGCATGCTCCATCATGCCAAGTTGGACAAGTGCTTCTGGGCTGAAGCGGCAATGACGGCCGTCTATGTGAAGAACCGTTTGCCGTCACCCAAGATTCCACACAAGACACCGTTCGAGATTGTCTACAATTCCAAGTCAAGTGTCAAGCACATGCGCGGTTTTGGGTGCCACACTTACATCTTAACTCTGAAGGAGAAACAACTCAAGCGGAATCCCAAGGCACGTACTGGGTTAATTTTGGCTACGAAGAAATGTCTAAGGCTTATCGAGTTTATGACATTGAAGTGGGGCAGGAGACGATAAGTCGTGATGTCAACTTTGAAGAGTCAGCCTTTGGACTTTCTATGCTGATTTCCGATGACGGTGTTGATGGACAGGACGTCGAATCCTTTGATCTTGATGATAAAGATCCGCTTCCTAGATACTTCAAAATGAATAGGAATGCGCAAGGCCTAACTCAGTCACGAAGATGAAGATGCAAATATGCCCCGAGCAGTGCGCCAACGACCCAGATTGGAAGGGGCAAGTGCTTCAGACGACCTCTCTCTTCACGTCGAGCCAATAAAGATGAAGGAAGTCAGTCGAGCAACGTGACACACCAACTTCTTTCGTATTTCAACAGGTAAGTGCAAACGCTGTCGAAGCAGCAGTGCATCTTTGAGCCCGTCGATATTTAGAGAAGCAGTGACTGGCCCGGACCAAGCGCACTAGCGCAAGGCAATTAATGCAGAGCTCGAGTCAATGCGACTTCGCGTGTGTTTCGTGCTGCCAAGTTACCCAACGGGTGAAGCGCCATTGGCACAAAGTGAGTCTTCAAGATCAAGCGCAAGGCGGATGGGTCGATCGATAAATACAAAGCACGACTTGCGGCCAAGGGTTTTCGCCAAAGTTATGACATCGACTACACGGAGACGTTCTCGCCCGTGGTCAAGTACGTGATGCTGTGCATAGTAATCGCGAGCACCAAGTACTTCAAATGGTCACTGGACTAACTGGACATGGTGAAAGCCTTCTTGTACGGAAAGATGAAAAAAAGGTGTTCTGCGCGATCCCAGCAGGTGTCGACAGTGATGAAGACTTTGACTGCATCGAATTGGCGAAGGCGATCTACGGACTGAAACAAGCATTGCGGGTATGGAGCGAGACTTTGTATGACTTTGTTTGCTCGATTGTATTTCAACAGTCCGACTTCGACCCATGCCTCTATCTCAAGGTCGCAAGCGGAAAGTGCGTGCTGTTTTTGGTCTCGTCGATGATGTGCTGGCAACGGGCAGTTCGACTGAGGTAATTGTGCGCACCGAGAGTGACTTCAAAAGGCGTTTCGATATGACTGACAGCGGCAAGTGCGCGTTCGTATTGGGCATCGAGCTGGTGAACAACATCGACGGTAGTGTGACAATGTGTCAGCGACGATACGTGGACGATGTTCTCAAGCGTTTTGGCATGAGTGATTGCAAGGCCGTCATCAGTCCAACGGATATCAGTTCTCGACTCACACCAAGCGACGCAGCATCCAAGAACAACGCTCCGTCTCGTGAAGCAGTAGGTGCTTTGATGCACTTAATGACCGCGAAAAGACCGGACATTGCTTTTGTTGTGGGCTACGTTTCGCGTTCCATGGAGAACCCCAAGTCGAGCATTGGATGGCAGTCAAGCGAATTCTTCGTTATCTACAAGAAACCAAGTCACACGGCATCTTCGTTAAACCCGACAACAAGGTGGATTTATGTGGCGACTCGGATGCAGACTAGCCCAGTGATCATGAAGACCGCAAGTCGACTTCAGAATGTGCGTCTATCCTGATGGGTGCTCCGATAAGCTGGAAAAGCAAGAAGCAGTCAAGTGTGTCGCTGTCAACAAGTGAAGCTGAGTACATTGCGCTAAGTCTGGCAATTAAAGAAGGCAAGTGGGTGCATCGCCTGTTATGCGAGATTCTGAATGCCGCAGAGGACAAGCCCAGACCCGAGCTCAAGATCATGGAAGACAATCAATCGTGCATCAAGATGACGAAGAATCCTGTGAACCATGGTCGGGCCAATCACGTCAACACCAAGTACCACCACAGTCGCGATGAAGTCAAGCGTGGTGATGACAAGTCGGAGTACTGTGAGACTGCGATGATGATGGCGGACATCATGACAAAGGGACTGCCAGGACCGCGTCACAGGGAATTGACGGCAGCGCTTGGCATACACGCGTGTTCGCATTGAGGGGGCGTATCGTGGGTTGACGGTTAAGGTACTATTATCAGATACCGTGGAAACCGTAAACCTGTCCAAGTCGGTCTCGCGTAATTACGGTGAGCGCTTACCAATGATTAGACGCATAGGAAGATTGGATGACCTACATGTTCTATGATTTATGATTTAAATGTGCAAAATACATGAATCAGGACACGGATCAATCAGGTAGCTTAAACAACCCAGAAATAAATTCACTTCCAAAGATTTCCTTCTCCGTCGTAAGTCGTCTACACTTTGCAGTGCAGACTTCTTTCGTTTCTTCAAGCTTCGGTTCTCTCATCAAGTTCTCTTCAGACTTTAACAGGTTATAAGCCTAAGCGCGATGTCCTCTGCTCAAGATTCCGCCACCAAGATCTGCATCGACAAATTCGATGGTAAAAAATATGCGACGTGGAGCCGCTACATGCGCGGCGTGTTCCTGACCAAGTCGACGTGGTACGTAGTCATCCGGGAGACCACCCCCGCCTTCGCTGATCCTCGCGCTAGTGACGAGTATGTCAAGACGAACTACATTGCGATCGGCTTGATGCTGCCTCAGATGAGCGCGGATTACCATGATGTGGTTGATGAGTGTAAAGAAGCGTGGGTTGCGTGGGCACGGTTGAAGACTCTCTACGGCGGATCTCAGAAGGTGGGATGCATCTACTTGAAGCGCCAGCTGTTCAGCATGGAGATGGAGGAAGGCGGCAATGTCATGCATCATTGCAACAACGTTCTCAACATCAGCGCTAAGTTCAGCAGCGTCGGCGCTAAGATGGAGGACAAAGACGTGGCGATCCGTTTGTTGCGCAGTCTCCCCAAGAGCTATGAGAACGTTGTTCTCAACTTGGAGATGAGCAGCGCAGAACTGCGGTCGCAAGACGTCGTGAGAGTGCTTACGAATGAGCACATCAAGAGACAACAAAACAAGACGACATTGGTGAAGACTGAAGAAGCGACCAAGGCCTTCAGCACGAGCGTGAATTCCGTCAATGTACGTTCTGCGGAAGATTGGGGCACATGGTGATAAAGTGCTGGACCAAACAGAGGGAAGACGACCGAGGAGATCGACGCAGCGGCAACAAGGGCCGTGCCATTGGGCTCGTGGACGCGGAGCAAATCAAGTCCAATGGCACGGCTACAACGGCAACGGCAAACACTACGACCATGATCGAGTGGCGTTTGCTGTTTCGCTGGAATGCGAGCTTTCGACAGCCAAGACCATGGTGGGAATTGTTGACGGTCATCGGTTTCTACCAGTATTGGTAACCGTGACCGGTCCAATCCGAACCGCCTGTTCAGCTTAGTATTTACGACGTAGTTCTTACGGTAATTACCATAGTTGATTAGACGCGTAGGATGATGAGACGCTTCACATGATTTATATGTGCACCACATATAAATCATGTAGTAAGTAGTAAGCCCCGATAATCAATCACTTTCCAATCTTCCATCTACCCCAAGTGTCTTCTCCGGTCTTCCGAGTGGACTCTCAGCATCCCTCCCAGTTTCGGTCGTCAAGCTCTTCATCATTCAACAGGTTATGAGCCCAAGCACGATGTCCTCTGCCCATGATGCCACCACCAAGATCTCCATCGACAAGTTCGACGGCGACAACTACGCGACGTGGAGCCGCTACATGCGTGGCGTGTTCCTGACCAAGTCGGCGTGGCACGTGGTGAACCGGGAGACCACCCCCACCTTCGCCGATCCTCGCGCCAGTGACGACTACGTCAAGACGAACAACATTGCGTTCGGCTTGATGCTGCTGCACATGAGCGCAGATTATCATCACGTGGTTGATGACTGTGAAGAGGCGTGGGTCGCGTGGGCGCGTTTGAAGACGCTGTACGGCGGGTCGCAGAAGGCTGGACGCATCTACTTGAAGCGCCAGCTCTTCAGTATGGAGATGGCGAAGGCGGCAATATGCTGCATCATTGCAATGAGGTCCTCAACATCAGCGCGAAGCTGGCTAGCATCGGCGCCAAGATGAAGGACGAGGACGTTGCGATCTGCTTACTGCGCAGTCTGCCCAAGAGTTTTGAGAACGTAGTTCTCAACTTGGAGATGAGCAGCGCAGAGCTTCGATCGCGGGACGTCGTGAAAGTGCTCACGAACGAGCATATCAAGCGGCAAGGTGACAAGACGACATCGGTGAAGACTGAAGACGCGGCCAAGGCGTTCAGTACCGAGCGTGAACCTCGCCAGTGTACATACTGCGGAAAATTGGGGGCACACGGCGGAGCGGTGCTGGACCAAGCAGAAGGACGAGAATCAAGGTGGAGCTCGACGCGGCGGCAACAATGCTCGTGGACGCGGAGCCAACAACGTTCAGTGGCGAACCAACAGCAACTACGACGACAACTGCGATCGAGTTGCGTTCGCGGTTTCGCTGGAGGCCGGACTTTCGACGGGCAAGAATATGCCAGGGATGTGGGCAGTCGACAGCGGTGCGACGCATCACATCTGCAACGACAAGGCCAAGTTTGCAAGCCTGAATGAGCGAGAGGAAGGCGAACTATCAGTGGCTGATGGCAGCAAGGCTGCGATCAAGGGTGTGGGAACCATCATGGAACGGGTGGTTCTGCCCAATGGTGACGAACGCGACATCGAGATCAAGGACGCGCTGTTCGTACCAAGCATGAGCAAGAATCTGCTTTCGGTGCCACAGATCAACAAGGGTGGCAGGTTCCAAGTCGTGTTCGATGGATCCAAGATGCAAGTGAAGCGCAAGAATTCCACACAAGTCGTGGCAACAGCGGATCTCGTCGATGGACTTTACTGGCTGCGGACTCCTCAACGATCGGCAAATGCAGCAACACGCAATGGGACCATCGACTTGCATGCGCGCATGGGTCATGCACCTCTCGAAGTTCTGCGCAAGATGGTGGCCACTGGCATGATCAAGGACGCCAAGGCACCTCTCAACTCGACTGGTCCAAGTGTGTGTCGCGGTTGCCAGCAAAGAAAGATGGTCCAAAAACCATTCCCAACCAACCGTGACAAACGCCAATATGGTATGTTCGAGTTGCTGCACTTCGACATCTGCGGGCCAATGGAACAAGTCTCGATCGGCGGCAGCAAATACTTACTGCTTGTGGTTGACGAAGCTAGCGGTTGCATGAAGGGCTTCTGTCTGCGGTCCAAGTCTGAGAGTGAAGACTGTATCAAGAACCACATCATCAAGATTCAAACACAGTTCGGCACGAAGATCAAGTTTGTTCGGCACGATGGAGCGCATGAATTTGCGACCAACTCGATCAAGACCTTCTACGAAGATCATGGTATCGAACAACAGATCACGGTGCCGTATGCACACCAGACCAACGGCACCGCAGAACGCGCGATAAGGACCATCGTCACGATCGGACGCAGCTTGTTGCATCATGCAAAGCTGGAGAAGTGTTTCTGGGCTGAAGCGGCAATGACGGCGATCTACATCAAGAACCGCCTGCCTTCACCCAAGATCGACCACAAGACTCCGTTCGAGATCGTGTACAAGTCGAAACCAAGTGTCAAGCACATGCGCGTGTTTGGATGTCGGGCGTTTATCCTGACACCAAGGGAGAAGCGATTGAAGTGGGACCCGAAGGCTCGTGAAGGGATGTTCATGGGCTACGAAGAAGTGTCAAAAGCTTATCGAGTGTACGACATTGAGGCGGACCAAGTGGTGATCAGTCGTGACATCACCTTCGACGAATCGACTTTTGACTTTTCGATGGACCGACCAAGTGACGATGATGAAGATGCGGAGTTGGATCTCGACCTCCTGGCGATCAACGAGGACGACGTGCGTCAAACTGTCTACAAGCAGACTGGCAAGCGCAAGAGTGAAGCAAGACCCGGCATGTCACGTTCAGCTCGCCCTCGAACTGGATTGGAACAAGCAAGTGCGCCGGCACACGTCTCCAACCGTCACCAGAAACGACGATCAAGTGCTCCAGAAACGATGTCTGATGACGAAGAAGATGCAAGCGTCTACGATCAAGATGACGACTCGACGCCTCCAACATTTTGGCGTGCAAGTGCAAACGCAGTGGAAGCAACGGACCTAGCAGAACCTGTGACTTTTCAAGACGCGATCAATGGTCCTGATCAAGCTCACTGGCGAAATGCTGTGAAGGCGGAACTCAAGTCGATGCATCTTCGTGGAGTTTTCCGTGCGGCAAAACTACCAAGAGGCCAAGGCGCGATCGGCACCAAGTGGGTGTTCAAGATCAAGCGCAAAGCGGATGGATCGGTCGAGAAATACAAGGCGCGTCTCGTTGCCAAGGGCTTCAAGCAGAAGTACGGCATCGACTACACAGAGACGTTCTCGCCCGTGGTCAAGTACGTGACACTGCGTATGGTGATCGCGATCACCAAGTATTTCGACTGGCCACTGGACCAACTCGATGTGGTGACAGCCTTTCTCTACGGAGTGATGAAGGAGAAGGTGTACTGCGTGGTACCAGAAGGCGTCGAGATGGATGGCGACTTCGACTGTCTCGAGTTGGTGAAGGCGATCTACGGTCTCAAGCAAGCTTCACGTGTGTGGAACGAGACTTTCGATGAGTTCGTATGCTCTATCGGTTTCGAAGCGTCGGCGTTCGACCCATGTCTCTACATCAAGGTTGTGGATGGTCACTGCGTGCTGCTGCTGGTATACGTGGATGACGTGTTGGTCACCGGCAGCTCGCTCGAGTTGATTGCGCAAACGAAGGCCGACCTCAAGATGCGTTTCGAGATGACCGACAGCGGCAAGTGTACCTTTGTACTGGGCATCGAACTGGTGGACGAATCGGATGGCAGCGTGACGATGTGCCAGCGACGGTATGTCAACGACATCCTCAAGCGCTTCGGCATGGATGAGTGCAAGGCCACATCAAGTCCGGTCGACTTGAGCACTCGGCTTGTCGCAAGCACCGAAGCGGCCAAGATCGACGTTCCGTTTCGTGAAGCTGTGGGAGCTTTGATGCACTTGACGACTGCGACGCGCCCGGACATTGCGTATGCTGTGGGGTACGTCTCGCGCTTCATGGAGAATCCGCAGCAAGAACATTGGACGGCGGTGAAGCGCATCTTTCGTTACTTGCAAGGGACCAAGTCGCACGGACTCCGATTCCAGCCAAGCGATAAAATCGACTTTCGTGGCTACTCGGACGCGGACTGGGCCGGCGACCACGCTGATCGCAAGTCGACTTCGGGTTACACTTTCATGCTGATGGGTGCTCCTGTGAGTTGGGGAAGCAAGAAGCAGTCAAGTGTGTCGCTGTCGACGAGTGAAGCGGAATACATCGCACTGAGTCTGGCCATCCAGGAAGGCAAGTGGGTGCATCGCCTGCTATGCGAGATTTTGGCGGCCGCAAACGAACCAGGACCGGACCTCGTCATCCGTGAAGACAACCAGTCCTGCATCAAGATGACAAAGAATCCGGTGAATCATGGCCGCGCCAAGCACATCGACATCAAGTACCATCACATCCGTGATGAGGTCAAGCGCGGTGAAGTGCAGCTCGAGTATTGCGAGACTTCCGTGATGATGGCGGACATCATGACCAAGGGACTTTCGGGACCTCGTCACAAGGACTTGACGACGGCTCTCGGCATTCGTGCGAGTCCGGATTGAGGGGGCGTGTTGACGGTCATCGGTTTCTACCAGTATTGGTAACCGTGACCGGTCCAATCCGAACCGCCTGTTCAGCTTAGTATTTACGACGTAGTTCTTACGGTAATTACCATAGTTGATTAGACGCGTAGGATGATGAGACGCTTCACATGATTTATATGTGCACCACATATAAATCATGTAGTAAGTAGTAAGCCCCGATAATCAATCACTTTCCAATCTTCCATCTACCCCAAGTGTCTTCTCCGGTCTTCCGAGTGGACTCTCAGCATCCCTCCCAGTTTCGGTCGTCAAGCTCTTCATCATTCAACAGGAATGTGGGCGATTTACAGCAGCAACGCACCACATCTTCTATGAAAAGTCCAAGTTTGAAGTTCTGGACGAGCGCAATGAAGGTGATGTGCTGGTTGCAGACGGAAACAAGGCTGCGATCAATAGAGTTGGGACTATCGTCGAAAAGGTGGTCCTACCAAACGGTGAAGAGCGCGAAGTTGAAATCGAGGATGCACTTAATGTCTCAAGCATGAACAAGAACCTACTGTCGATACCCCAGATTAACAAAAGCGGCAAGTTCCAAGTGGTGTTTGATAAAAGTGAGATAAAGAGTTTGCACAAAGACTCCAAGCAAGTGGTGGCGATGGCGGATATTATGAATGGACCCTACTGGCTTCGCACATCACAACGATCTGTGATTGCTACTTCGCGGCTGAAATTTGAAGATATCCATGCGCGAATGGGCCATGCTTCAGTCGACGTACTTCGCAAGATGGTGACAAGCAACATGATTAAAGACGCTTACATCCCTTTCAAACCGAATGGACCAAGTGTGTGTCGAGGATGTCAGGAAGGGAAGATGGTTCAAAACCATTCTCGAGAAACCGTGACAAGCGCACCTTCAATACCTTCGAGATGCTCCACTTCGACACCTGAGGACCCATGGAAGACAAATCTTTAAGAAGCAGTGCTGTTAGGTGTGAAGCTTGACGACCGAAACTGGGAGTGATGCTGGGAGTCCACTCGGAAGACCGGAGAAGACACTTGGGGGGTAGATGGAAGATTGGAAAGTGATTGATTATCGGGGCTTACTACTTACTACATGATTTATATGTGGTGCATATATAAATCATATGAAGCGTCTCATCATCCTACGCGTCTAATCAATTATGGTAATTACCGTAAGAACTACGTCGTAAATACTAAGCTGAACAGGCGGTTCGGATTGGACCGGTCACGGTTACCAATACTGGTAGGAAACCAATGACCGTCAACAGGCAGCAAGTATCTGCTGCTTATCGCGGATGAAACCAGCGGATGCATAGAGGATTTTTGTCTGCATGCCAAGTCGGGGAGTGAGGAGTGAATCAAGAGGTACATCACGATTGTCCAAAAGCAGATCAACATAAAGGTCAAGTTTTTGTGACACGATAGATCCCGCGAGTTTGCGACAAGCTCGCTTCAAGATTTCTACGAAGTCGAAGGCATCGAACAGCAAACCACGGTGTCATCCGCTGATCAAGCCAACGGAACTGCTGAACGCGCAATTCGGACTATCGTCACCATCGGTCGTAGCATGCTCCATCATGCCAAGTTGGACAAGTGCTTCTGGGCTGAAGCGGCAATGACGGCAGTCTATGTGAAGAACCGTTTGCCGTCACCCAAGATTCCACACAAGACACCGTTCGAGATTGTCTACAATTCCAAGTCAAGTGTCAAGCACATGCGCGGTTTTGGGTGCCACACTTACATCTTAACTCTGAAGGAGAAACAACTCAAGCGGAATCCCAAGGCACGTACTGGGTTAATTTTGGCTACGAAGAAATGTCTAAGGCTTATCGAGTTTATGACATTGAAGTGGGGCAGGAGACGATAAGTCGTGATGTCAACTTTGAAGAGTCAGCCTTTGGACTTTCTATGCTGATTTCCGATGACGGTGTTGATGGACAGGACGTCGAATCCTTTGATCTTGATGATAAAGATCCGCTTCCTAGATACTTCAAAATGAATAGGAATGCGCAAGGCCTAACTCAGTCACGAAGATGAAGATGCAAATATGCCCCGAGCAGTGCGCCAACGACCCAGATTGGAAGGGGCAAGTGCTTCAGACGACCTCTCTTCACGTCGAGCCAATAAAGATGAAGGAAGTCAGTCGAGCAACGTGACACACCAACTTCTTTCGTATTTCAACAGGTAAGTGCAAACGCTGTCGAAGCAGCAGTGCATCTTTGAGCCCGTCGATATTTAGAGAAGCAGTGACTGGCCCGGACCAAGCGCACTAGCGCAAGGCAATTAATGCAGAGCTCGAGTCAATGCGACTTCGCGTGTGTTTCGTGCGGCCAAGTTACCCAACGGGTGAAGCGCCATTGGCACAAAGTGAGTCTTCAAGATCAAGCGCAAGGCGGATGGGTCGATCGATAAATACAAAGCACGACTTGCGGCCAAGGGTTTTCGCCAAAGTTATGACATCGACTACACGGAGACGTTCTCGCCCGTGGTCAAGTACGTGATGCTGTGCATAGTAATCGCGAGCACCAAGTACTTCAAATGGTCACTGGACTAACTGGACATGGTGAAAGCCTTCTTGTACGGAAAGATGAAAAAAAAGGTGTTCTGCGCGATCCCAGCAGGTGTCGACAGTGATGAAGACTTTGACTGCATCGAATTGGCGAAGGCGATCTACGGACTGAAACAAGCATTGCGGGTATGGAGCGAGACTTTGTATGACTTTGTTTGCTCGATTGTATTTCAACAGTCCGACTTCGACCCATGCCTCTATCTCAAGGTCGCAAGCGGAAAGTGCGTGCTGTTTTTGGTCTCGTCGATGATGTGCTGGCAACGGGCAGTTCGACTGAGGTAATTGTGCGCACCGAGAGTGACTTGAAAAGGCGTTTCGATATGACTGACAGTGGCAAGTGCGCGTTCGTATTGGGCATCGAGCTGGTGAACAACATCGACGGTAGTGTGACAATGTGTCAGCGACGATACGTGGACGATGTTCTCAAGCGTTTTGGCATGAGTGATTGCAAGGCCGTCATCAGTCCAACGGATATCAGTTCTCGACTCACACCAAGCGACGCAGCATCCAAGAACAACGCTCCGTCTCGTGAAGCAGTAGGTGCTTTGATGCACTTAATGACCGCGAAAAGACCGGACATTGCTTTTGTTGTGGGCTACGTTTCGCGTTCCATGGAGAACCCCAAGTCGAGCATTGGATGGCAGTCAAGCGAATTCTTCGTTATCTACAAGAAACCAAGTCACACGGCATCTTCGTTAAACCCGACAACAAGGTGGATTTATGTGGCGACTCGGATGCAGACTAGCCCAGTGATCATGAAGACCGCAAGTCGACTTCAGAATGTGCGTCTATCCTGATGGGTGCTCCGATAAGCTGGAAAAGCAAGAAGCAATCAAGCGTATCGCTATCGACAAGCGAAGCAGAGTACGTCGCGCTAAGTCTGGCAATTAAAGAAGGCAAGTGGGTGCATCGCCTGTTATGCGAGATTCTGAATGCCGCAGAGGACAAGCCCAGACCCGAGCTCAAGATCATGGAAGACAATCAATCGTGCATCAAGATGACGAAGAATCCTGTGAACCATGGTCGGGCCAATCACGTCAACACCAAGTACCACCACAGTCGCGATGAAGTCAAGCGTGGTGATGACAAGTCGGAGTACTGTGAGACTGCGATGATGATGGCGGACATCATGACAAAGGGACTGCCAGGACCGCGTCACAGGGAATTGACGGCAGCGCTTGGCATACACGCGTGTTCGCATTGAGGGGGCGTATCGTGGGTTGACGGTTAAGGTACTATTATCAGATACCGTGGAAACCGTAAACCTGTCCAAGTCGGTCTCGCGTAATTACGGTGAGCGCTTACCAATGATTAGACGCATAGGAAGATTGGATGACCTACATGTTCTATGATTTATGATTTAAATGTGCAAAATACATGAATCAGGACATGGATCAATCAGGTAGCTTAAACAACCCAGAAATAAATTCACTTCCAAAGATTTCCTTCTCCGTCGTAAGTCGTCTACACTTTGCAGTGCAGACTTCTTTCGTTTCTTCAAGCTTCGGTTCTCTCATCAAGTTCTCTTCAGACTTTAACAGGTTATAAGCCTAAGCGCGATGTCCTCTGCTCAAGATTCCGCCACCAAGATCTGCATCGACAAATTCGATGGTAAAAAATATGCGACGTGGAGCCGCTACATGCGCGGCGTGTTCCTGACCAAGTCGACGTGGTACGTAGTCATCCGGGGAGACCACCCCCGCCTTCGCTGATCCTCGCGCTAGTGACGAGTATGTCAAGACGAACTACATTGCGATCGGCTTGATGCTGCCTCAGATGAGCGCGGATTACCATGATGTGGTTGATGAGTGTAAAGAAGCGTGGGTTGCGTGGGCACGGTTGAAGACTCTCTACGGCGGATCTCAGAAGGTGGGATGCATCTACTTGAAGCGCCAGCTGTTCAGCATGGAGATGGAGGAAGGCGGCAATGTCATGCATCATTGCAACAACGTTCTCAACATCAGCGCTAAGTTCAGCAGCGTCGGCGCTAAGATGGAGGACAAAGACGTGGCGATCCGTTTGTTGCGCAGTCTCCCCAAGAGCTATGAGAACGTTGTTCTCAACTTGGAGATGAGCAGCGCAGAACTGCGGTCGCAAGACGTCGTGAGAGTGCTTACGAATGAGCACATCAAGAGACAACAAAACAAGACGACATTGGTGAAGACTGAAGAAGCGACCAAGGCCTTCAGCACGAGCGTGAATTCCGTCAATGTACGTTCTGCGGAAGATTGGGGCACATGGTGATAAAGTGCTGGACCAAACAGAGGGAAGACGACCGAGGAGATCGACGCAGCGGCAACAAGGGCCGTGCCATTGGGCTCGTGGACGCGGAGCAAATCAAGTCCAATGGCACAGCTACAACGGCAACGGCAAACACTACGACCATGATCGAGTGGCGTTTGCTGTTTCGCTGGAATGCGAGCTTTCGACAGCCAAGACCATGGTGGGAATGTGGGCGATTTACAGCAGCAACGCACCACATCTTCTATGAAAAGTCCAAGTTTGAAGTTCTGGACGAGCGCAATGAAGGTGATGTGCTGGTTGCAGACGGAAACAAGGCTGCGATCAATAGAGTTGGGACTATCGTCGAAAAGGTGGTCCTACCAAACGGTGAAGAGCGCGAAGTTGAAATCGAGGATGCACTTAATGTCTCAAGCATGAACAAGAACCTACTGTCGATACCCCAGATTAACAAAAGCGGCAAGTTCCAAGTGGTGTTTGATAAAAGTGAGATAAAGAGTTTGCACAAAGACTCCAAGCAAGTGGTGGCGATGGCGGATATTATGAATGGACCCTACTGGCTTCGCACATCACAACGATCTGTGATTGCTACTTCGCGGCTGAAATTTGAAGATATCCATGCGCGAATGGGCCATGCTTCAGTCGACGTACTTCGCAAGATGGTGACAAGCAACATGATTAAAGACGCTTACATCCCTTTCAAACCGAATGGACCAAGTGTGTGTCGAGGATGTCAGGAAGGGAAGATGGTTCAAAACCATTCTCGAGAAACCGTGACAAGCGCACCTTCAATACCTTCGAGATGCTCCACTTCGACACCTGAGGACCCATGGAAGACAAATCTTTAAGAAGCAGTGCTGTTAGGTGTGAAGCTTGACGACCGAAACTGGGAGTGATGCTGGGAGTCCACTCGGAAGACCGGAGAAGACACTTGGGGGGTAGATGGAAGATTGGAAAGTGATTGATTATCGGGGCTTACTACTTACTACATGATTTATATGTGGTGCATATATAAATCATGTGAAGCGTCTCATCATCCTACGCGTCTAATCAATTATGGTAATTACCGTAAGAACTACGTCGTAAATACTAAGCTGAACAGGCGGTTCGGATTGGACCGGTCACGGTTACCAATACTGGTAGGAAACCAATGACCGTCAACAGGCAGCAAGTATCTGCTGCTTATCGCGGATGAAACCAGCGGATGCATAGAGGATTTTTGTCTGCATGCCAAGTCGGGGAGTGAGGAGTGAATCAAGAGGTACATCACGATTGTCCAAAAGCAGATCAACATAAAGGTCAAGTTTTTGTGACACGATAGATCCCGCGAGTTTGCGACAAGCTCGCTTCAAGATTTCTACGAAGTCGAAGGCATCGAACAGCAAACCACGGTGTCATCCGCTGATCAAGCCAACGGAACTGCTGAACGCGCAATTCGGACTATCGTCACCATCGGTCGTAGCATGCTCCATCATGCCAAGTTGGACAAGTGCTTCTGGGCTGAAGCGGCAATGACGGCAGTCTATGTGAAGAACCGTTTGCCGTCACCCAAGATTCCACACAAGACACCGTTCGAGATTGTCTACAATTCCAAGTCAAGTGTCAAGCACATGCGCGGTTTTGGGTGCCACACTTACATCTTAACTCTGAAGGAGAAACAACTCAAGCGGAATCCCAAGGCACGTACTGGGTTAATTTTGGCTACGAAGAAATGTCTAAGGCTTATCGAGTTTATGACATTGAAGTGGGGCAGGAGACGATAAGTCGTGATGTCAACTTTGAAGAGTCAGCCTTTGGACTTTCTATGCTGATTTCCGATGACGGTGTTGATGGACAGGACGTCGAATCCTTTGATCTTGATGATAAAGATCCGCTTCCTAGATACTTCAAAATGAATAGGAATGCGCAAGGCCTAACTCAGTCACGAAGATGAAGATGCAAATATGCCCCGAGCAGTGCGCCAACGACCCAGATTGGAAGGGGCAAGTGCTTCAGACGACCTCTCTTCACGTCGAGCCAATAAAGATGAAGGAAGTCAGTCGAGCAACGTGACACACCAACTTCTTTCGTATTTCAACAGGTAAGTGCAAACGCTGTCGAAGCAGCAGTGCATCTTTGAGCCCGTCGATATTTAGAGAAGCAGTGACTGGCCCGGACCAAGCGCACTAGCGCAAGGCAATTAATGCAGAGCTCGAGTCAATGCGACTTCGCGTGTGTTTCGTGCGGCCAAGTTACCCAACGGGTGAAGCGCCATTGGCACAAAGTGAGTCTTCAAGATCAAGCGCAAGGCGGATGGGTCGATCGATAAATACAAAGCACGACTTGCGGCCAAGGGTTTTCGCCAAAGTTATGACATCGACTACACGGAGACGTTCTCGCCCGTGGTCAAGTACGTGATGCTGTGCATAGTAATCGCGAGCACCAAGTACTTCAAATGGTCACTGGACTAACTGGACATGGTGAAAGCCTTCTTGTACGGAAAGATGAAAAAAAAGGTGTTCTGCGCGATCCCAGCAGGTGTCGACAGTGATGAAGACTTTGACTGCATCGAATTGGCGAAGGCGATCTACGGACTGAAACAAGCATTGCGGGTATGGAGCGAGACTTTCTATGACTTTGTTTGCTCGATTGTATTTCAAGAGTCCGACTTCGACCCATGCCTCTATCTCAAGGTCGCAAGCGGAAAGTGCGTGCTGTTTTTGGTCTCGTCGATGATGTGCTGGCAACGGGCAGTTCGACTGAGGTAATTGTGCGCACCGAGAGTGACTTGAAAAGGCGTTTCGATATGACTGACAGTGGCAAGTGCGCGTTCGTATTGGGCATCGAGCTGGTGAACAACATCGACGGTAGTGTGACAATGTGTCAGCGACGATACGTGGACGATGTTCTCAAGCGTTTTGGCATGAGTGATTGCAAGGCCGTCATCAGTCCAACGGATATCAGTTCTCGACTCACACCAAGCGACGCAGCATCCAAGAACAACGCTCCGTCTCGTGAAGCAGTAGGTGCTTTGATGCACTTAATGACCGCGAAAAGACCGGACATTGCTTTTGTTGTGGGCTACGTTTCGCGTTCCATGGAGAACCCCAAGTCGAGCATTGGATGGCAGTCAAGCGAATTCTTCGTTATCTACAAGAAACCAAGTCACACGGCATCTTCGTTAAACCCGACAACAAGGTGGATTTATGTGGCGACTCGGATGCAGACTAGCCCAGTGATCATGAAGACCGCAAGTCGACTTCAGAATGTGCGTCTATCCTGATGGGTGCTCCGATAAGCTGGAAAAGCAAGAAGCAATCAAGCGTATCGCTATCGACAAGCGAAGCAGAGTACGTCGCGCTAAGTCTGGCAATTAAAGAAGGCAAGTGGGTGCATCGCCTGTTATGCGAGATTCTGAATGCCGCAGAGGACAAGCCCAGACCCGAGCTCAAGATCATGGAAGACAATCAATCGTGCATCAAGATGACGAAGAATCCTGTGAACCATGGTCGGGCCAATCACGTCAACACCAAGTACCACCACAGTCGCGATGAAGTCAAGCGTGGTGATGACAAGTCGGAGTACTGTGAGACTGCGATGATGATGGCGGACATCATGACAAAGGGACTGCCAGGACCGCGTCACAGGGAATTGACGGCAGCGCTTGGCATGCACGCGTGTTCGCATTGAGGGGGCGCATCGTGGGTTGACGGTTAAGGTACTATTATCAGATACCGTGGAAACCGTAAACCTGTCCAAGTCGGTCTCGCGTAATTACGGTGAGCGCTTACCAATGATTAGACGCATAGGAAGATTGGATGACCTACATGTTCTATGATTTATGATTTAAATGTGCAAAATACACGAATCAGGACATGGATCAATCAGGTAGCTTAAACAACCCAGAAATAAATTCACTTCCAAAGATTTCCTTCTCCGTCGTAAGTCGTCTACACTTTGCAGTGCAGACTTCTTTCGTTTCTTCAAGCTTCGGTTCTTTCATCAAGTGCTCTTCAGACTTTAACAGGTTATAAGCCTAAGCGCGATGTCCTCTGCTCAAGATTCCGCCACCAAGATCTGCATCGACAAATTCGATGGTAAAAAATATGCGACGTGGAGCCGCTACATGCGCGGCGTGTTCCTGACCAAGTCGACGTGGTACGTAGTCATCCGGGAGACCACCCCCGCCTTCGCTGATCCTCGCGCTAGTGACGAGTATGTCAAGACGAACTACATTGCGATCGGCTTGATGCTGCCTCAGATGAGCGCGGATTACCATGATGTGGTTGATGAGTGTAAAGAAGCGTGGGTTTCGTGGGCACGGTTGAAGACTCTCTACGGCGGATCTCAGAAGGTGGGATGCATCTACTTGAAGCGCCAGCTGTTCAGCATGGAGATGGAGGAAGGCGGCAATGTCATGCATCATTGCAACAACGTTCTCAACATCAGCGCTAAGTTCAGCAGCATCGGCGCTAAGATGGAGGACCAAGACGTGGCAATCTGTTCGTTGCGCAGTCTCCCCAAGAGCTATGAGAACGTTGTTCTCAACTTGGAGATGAGCAGCGCAGAACTGCGGTCGCAAGACGTCGTGAGAGTGCTTACGAATGAGCACATCAAGAGACAACAAAACAAGACGACATTGGTGAAGACTGAAGAAGCGACCAAGGCCTTCAGCACGAGCGTGAATTCCGTCAATGTACGTTCTGCGGAAGATTGGGGCACATGGTGATAAAGTGCTGGACCAAACAGAGGGAAGATGACCGAGAAGATCGACGCAGCGGCAACAAGGGCCGTGCCATTGGGCTCGTGGACGCGGAGCAAATCAAGTCCAATGGCACGGCTACAACGGCAACGGCAACAACTAAGACCATGATCGAGTGGCGTTTGCTGTTTTGCTGGAATGCGAGCTTTCGACAGCCAAGACCATGGTGGGAATGTGGGCGATTTACAGCAGCAACGTACCACATCTTCAATGAAAAGTCCAAGTTTGAAGTTCTGGACGAGCGCAATGAAGGTGATGTGCTGGTTGCAGACGGAAACAAGGCTGCGATCAATAGAGTTGGGACTATCGTCGAAAAGGTGGTCCTACCAAACGGTGAAGAGCGCGAAGTTGAAATCGAGGATGCACTTAATGTCTCAAGCATGAACAAGAACCTACTGTCGATACCCCAGATTAACAAAAGCGGCAAGTTCCAAGTGGTGTTTGATAAAAGTGAGATAAAGAGTTTGCACAAAGACTCCAAGCAAGTGGTGGCGATGGCGGATATTATGAATGGACCCTACTGGCTTCGCACATCACAACGATCTGTGATTGCTACTTCGCGGCTGAAATTTGAAGACATCTATGCGCGAATGGGCCATGCTTCAGTCGACGTACTTCGCAAGATGGTGACAAGCAACATGATTAAAGACGCTTACATCCCTTTCAAACCGAATGGACCAAGTGTGTGTCGAGGATGTCAGGAAGGGAAGATGGTTCAAAACCATTCTCGAGAAACCGTGACAAGCGCACCTTCAATACCTTCGAGATGCTCCACTTCGACACCTGAGGACCCATGGAAGACAAATCTTTAAGAAGCAGTGTTGTTAGGTGTGAAGCTTGATGACCGAAACTGGGAGTGATGCTGGGAGTCCACTCGGAAGACCGGAGAAGACACTTGGGGGGGGGTAGATGGAAGATTGGAAAGTGATTGATTATCGGGGCTTACTACTTACTACATGATTTATATGTGGTGCACATATAAATCATATGAAGCGTCTCATCATCCTACGCGTCTAATCAATTATGGTAATTACCGTAAGAACTACGTCGTAAATACTAAGCTGAACAGGCGGTTCGGATTGGACCGGTCACGGTTACCAATACTGGTAGAAAACCGATGACCGTCAACACGCCCCCTCAATCCGAACTCGCACGAATGCCGAGAGCCGTCGTCAAGTCCTTGTGGCGAGGTCTTGAAAGTCCCTTGATCATGATGTCCGCCATCATCACGGAAGTCTCGCAATACTCGAGCTGCACTTCACTGCGCTTGACCTCATCACGGATGTGATGGTACTTGATGTCGATGTGCTTGGCGCGGCCATGATGCACCGTATTCTTTGTCATCTTGATGCACGACTGGTTGTCTTCACGGATGACGAGGTCCGGTCCTGGTTCGTTTGAGGCCGCCAAAATCTCGCATAGCAGGCGATGCACCCACTTGCCTTCCTGGATGGCCAGACTCAGTGCGATGTATTCCGCTTCACTCATCGACAGCGACACACTTGACTGCTTCTTGCTTCCCCAACTCACAGGAGCACCCATCAGCATGAAAGTGTAACCCGAAGTCGACTTGCGATCAGCGTGGTCGCCGGCCCAGTCCGCGTCCGTGTAGCCACGAAAGTCGATCTTGTCGCTTGGCTGGAAGTGGGGTCCGTGCGACTTGGTCCCTTGCAAGTTACGAAAGATGCGCTTCACCGCCGTCCAATGTTCTTGCTGCGGATTCTCCATGAAGCGCGAGACGTACCCCACAGCATACGCAATGTCCGGGCGCGTCGCAGTCGTCAAGTGCATCAAAGCTCCCACAACTTCACGAAACGGAACGTCGATCTTGGCCGCTTCGCTGCTTGCGACAAGCCGAGTGCTCAAGTCGACCGGATTTGCTGTGGCCTTGCACTCCTCCATGCCGAAGCGCTTGAGTATGTCTTTGACATACCGTCGCTGGCACATCGTCACGCTGCCATCCGATTCGTCCACCAGTTCGATGCCCAGTACAAAAGTACACTTGCCACTGTCGGTCACCTCGAAACGTGTCTTGAGGTCGGCCTTCGTCTGCGCAATCAACTCGAGCGAGCTGCCGGTGACCAACACGTCATCCACGTAGACCAGCACGAGCACACAGTGACCGTCGACACCTTGATGTAGAGACATGGGTCGAACGCCGACACTTCGAAACCGATAAAGCATACGAACTCGTCGAAAGTCTCGTTCCACACACGTGAAGCTTGCTCGAGACCGTAGATCGCCTTCACCAACTCGAGACAGTCGAAGTCGCCATCCATCTCGACGCCTTCTGGTATCACGCAGTACACCTTATCCTTCATCACTCCGTAGAGAAAGGCTGTCACCACATCGAGCTGGTCCAGTGACCATTTGAAGTACTTGGTGATCGCGATCACCATACGCAGTGTCACGTACTTGACCACGGGCGAAAACGTCTCTGTGTAGTCGATGCCGTACTTCTGCTTGAAGCCCTTGGCAACGAGACGCGCCTTGTATTTCTCGACCGATCCATCCGCTTTGCGCTTGATCTTGAACACCCACTTGGTGCCGATCGCGCCTTGGCATCTTGGCAGTTTTGCCGCACGGAAAACTCCGAGAAGATGCATCGACTTGAGTTCCGCCTTCACAGCATTTCGCCAGTGAGCTTGATCAGGACCATTGACCGCGTCTTGAAAAGTCACAGGTTCTGCTAGGTCCGTTGCTTCCATTGCTTTTGCACTTGCACGCCAAAATGTTGGAGGCGTCGAGTCGTCATCTTGATCGTAGACGCTTGCATCTTCTTCGTCATCAGACATCGTTTCTGGAGCACTTGATCGTCGTTTCTGGTGACGGCTGGAGACGTGTTCCGGCGCACTTGCTTGTTCCAACCCAGTTCGAGGGCGATCTGAACGTGACATGCCGGGTCTTGCTTCACTCTTGCGCTTGCCAGTCTGCTTGTAGACGGTTTGACGCACGTCGTCCTCGTTGATCGCCAGGAGGTCGAGGTCCAACTGCGCATCTTCATCATCGTCACTTGGTCGGTCCATCGAAAAGTCAAAAGTCGATTCGTCGAAGGTGATGTCACGACTGATCACCACTTGGCCCGCCTCAATGTCGTACACTCGATAAGCTTTTGACGCTTCTTCGTAGCCCATGAATATCCCTTCACGAGCCTTCGGGTCCCACTTCAATCGCTTCTCCCTTGGTGTCAGGATAAACGCCCGACATCCAAACACGCGCATGTGCTTGACACTTGGTTTCGACTTGTACACGATCTCGAACGGAGTCTTGTGGTCGATCTTGGGTGAAGGCAGGCGGTTCTTGATGTAGATCGCCTTCATTGCCGCTTCAGCCCAGAAACACTTCTCCAGCTTTGCATGATGCAACAAGATGCGTCCGATCGTGACGATGGTCCGTATCGCGCGTTCTGCGGTGCCGTTGGTCTGGTGTGCATACGGCACCGTGACCTGTTGTTCGATACCATGATCTTCGTAGAAGGTCTTGATGGAGTTGGTCGCAAACTCACGCGCTCCATCGTGCCGAACAAATTATTTCTATGAGTTTGAATCTTGATAATGTGGTTCATGATACAGTCTTCACTCTCAGACTTGGACCGCAGACAGAAGCCCTTCACGCAACCGCTGGCTTCGTCAACCACAAGCAGTAAGTATCTGCTGCCACCGATCGAGACTTGTTCCATTGGCCCGCAGATGTCGAAGTGCAGCAACTCGAACACACCATATTGGCGTTTGTCACGGTTGGTTGGGAATGGTTTTTGGACCATCTTTCCTTGCTGGCAACCGTGACAAACGCCAATATGGTGTGTTCGAGTTGCTGCATTTCGACATCTGCGGGCCAATGGCCGCCATCTTGCGCAGAACTTTGAGGGTGTGCATGACCCATGCGCGCATGCAAGTCGATAGTCCCATTGCGTGTTGCTGCATTTGCCGATCGTTGAGGAGTCCGCAGCCAGTAAAGTCCATCGACGAGATCCGCTGTTGCCACAACTTGTGTGGAATTCTTGCGCTTCACTTGCATCTTGGATCCATCGAACACGACTTGGAACCTGCCACCCTTGTTGATCTGTGGCACCGAAAGCAGATTCTTGCTCATACTTGGTACGAACAATGCGTCCTTGATCTCAATGTCGCGTTCGTCACCATTGGACAGAACCACGCGTTCCATGATGGTTCCCACACCCTTGATCGCAGCCTTGCTGCCATCAGCCACTGATAGTTCGCCTTCCTCTCGCTCATTCAGGCTTGCAAACTTGGCCTTGTCGCTGCAGATGTTATGCGTCGCACCGCTGTCGACTGCCCACATCCCTGGCATATTCTTGCCCGCCGAAAGTCCAGCCTCCAGCGAAACCGCGAACGCAACTCGATCGTAGTTGTCGTCGTAGTTGCTGTTGATTCGCCACTGAACATTGTTGGCTCCGCGTCCACGAGCATTGTTGCCGCCGCGTCGAGCTCCACCTTGATTTTCGTCCTTCTGCTTGGTCCAGCACCGCTCCGCCGTGTGCCCCAATTTTCCGCAGCATGTACACTGGCGAGGTTCACGCTCGGCACTGAACGCCTTCGCCGCGTCTTCAGTCTTCACCGATGTCGTCTTGTCACCTTGCCTCTTGATGTGCTCATTCGTGAGCACTCTCACGACGTCTCGCGATCGCAGTTCCGTGCTGCTCATCTCCAAAATAAGGACGACGTTCTCGTAGCTCTTGGGGAGTGCGCAACAAGCAGATCGCCACGTCCTCGTCCTCCATCTTGGCGCCGGTGCTGCTGAGCTTCGCGCTGAGGTTGAGGACTTCGTTGCAATGATGCATCACATTGCCGCCTTCCGCCATCTCCATGCTGAACAGCTGGCGCTTCAAGTAGATGCGTCCAGCCTTCTGCGATCCGCCGTACAGCATCTTCAAACGCGCCCACGCGACCCACGCCTCTTCACAGTCATCGACGATGTGATGGTAGTCCGCGTCCATGTGCAGCAACATCAGTCCGAAAGCGACGTTGTTGGCCTTGACGTAGTCGTCCATGGCGCGATCGTCCGCGTAGGTCGGCGACGTCTCCCGGTTCACCACGTGCCACGTCGACTTGGTCAGGAACACGCCACGCATGTACCGGCTCCATGTCGCGTAGTTGTCGCCGTCGAACTTGTCAATGGAGATCTTGGTGGTGGCATCATGAGCAGAAGACATCGTGCTTGGGCTCATAACCTATTGAAAGGTGTGAAGCTTGACGACCGAAACTGGGAGTGATGCTGGGAGTCCACTCGGAAGACCGGAGAAGACACTTGGGGGGTAGATGGAAGATTGGAAAGTGATTGATTATCGGGGCTTGCTACTTACTACATGATTTATATGTGCACCACATATAAATCATGTGAAGCGTCTCATCATCCTACGCGTCTAATCAACTATGGTAATTACCGTAAGAACTACGTCGTAAATACTAAGCTGAACAGGCGGTTTGGATTGGATCGGTCACGGTTACCAATACTGGTAGGAAACCAATGACCGTCAACAGGCAGCAAGTATCTGCTGCTTATCGCGGATGAAACCAGCGGATGCATAGAGGATTTTTGTCTGCATGCCAAGTCGGAGAGTGAGGAGTGCATCAAGAGGTACATCACGATTGTCCAAAAGCAGATCAACATAAAGGTCAAGTTTGTGTGACACGATAGATCCCGCGAGTTTGCGACAAGCTCGCTTCAAGATTTCTACGAATTCGAAGGCATCGAACAGCAAACCACGGTGTCATCCGCTGATCAAGCCAACGGAACTGCTGAACGCGCAATTCGGACTGTCATCACCATCGGTCGCAGCATGCTTCATCATGTCAAAATGGACAAGCGCTTCTAGGCTGAAGCGGCAATGACGGCAGTCTATGTGAAGAACCGTTTGCCGTCACCCAAGATTCCACACAAGACACCGTTCGAGATTGTCTACAATTCCAAGTCAAGTGTCAAGCACATGCGCGGTTTTGGGTGCCACACTTACATCTTAACTCTGAAGGAGAAACAACTCAAGCGGAATCCCAAGGCACGTACTGGGTTAATTTTGGCTACGAAGAAATGTCTAAGGCTTATCGAGTTTATGACATTGAAGTGGGGCAGGAGACGATAAGTCGTGATGTCAACTTTGAAGAGTCAGCCTTTGGACTTTCTATGCTGATTTCCGATGACGGTGTTGATGGACAGGACGTCGAATCCTTTGATCTTGATGATAAAGATCCGCTTCCTAGATACTTCAAAATGAATAGGAATGCGCAAGGCCTAACTCAGTCACGAAGATGAAGATGCAAATATGCCCCGAGCAGTGCGCCAACGACCCAGATTGGAAGGGGCAAGTGCTTCAGACGACCTCTCTTCACGTCGAGCCAATAAAGATGAAGGAAGTCAGTCGAGCAACGTGACACACCAACTTCTTTCGTATTTCAACAGGTAAGTGCAAACGCTGTTGAAGCAGCAGTGCATCTTTGAGCCCGTCGATATTTAGAGAAGCAGTGACTGGCCCGGACCAAGCGCACTAGCGCGAGGCAATTAATGCAGAGCTCGAGTCAATGCGACTTCGCGTGTGTTTCGTGCTGCCAAGTTACCCAACGGGTGAAGCGCCATTGGCACAAAGTGAGTCTTCAAGATCAAGCGCAAGGCGGATGGGTCGATCGATAAATACAAAGCACGACTTGCGGCCAAGGGTTTTCGCCAAAATTATGACATCGACTACACGGAGACGTTCTCGCCCGTGGTCAAGTACGTGATGCTGTGCATAGTAATCGCGAGCACCAAGTACTTCAAATGGTCACTGGACTAACTGGACATGGTGAAAGCCTTCTTGTACGGAAAGATGAAAAAAAGGTGTTCTGCGCGATCCCAGCAGGTGTCGACAGTGATGAAGACTTTGACTGCATCGAATTGGCGAAGGCGATCTACGGACTGAAACAAGCATTGCGGGTATGGAGCGAGACTTTCTATGACTTTGTTTGCTCGATTGTATTTCAAGAGTCCGACTTCGACCCATGCCTCTATCTCAAGGTCGCAAGCGGAAAGTGCGTGCTGTTTTTGGTCTCGTCGATGATGTGCTGGCAACGGGCAGTTCGACTGAGGTAATTGTGCGCACCGAGAGTGACTTGAAAAGGCGTTTCGATATGACTGACAGCGGCAAGTGCGCGTTCGTATTGGGCATCGAGCTGGTGAACAACATCGACGGTAGTGTGACAATGTTCCAGCGACGATACGTGGACGATGTTCTCAAGCGTTTTGGCATGAGTGATTGCAAGGCCGTCATCAGTCCAACGGATATCAGTTCTCGACTCACACCAAGCGACGCAGCATCCAAGAACAACGCTCCGTCTCGTGAAGCAGTAGGTGCTTTGATGCACTTAATGACCGCGAAAAGACCGGACATTGCTTTTGTTGTGGGCTACGTTTCGCGTTCCATGGAGAACCCCAAGTCGAGCATTGGATGGCAGTCAAGCGAATTCTTCGTTATCTACAAGAAACCAAGTCACACGGCATCTTCGTTAAACCCGACAACAAGGTGGATTTATGTGGCGACTCGGATGCAGACTAGCCCAGTGATCATGAAGACCGCAAGTCGACTTCAGAATATGCGTCTATCCTGATGGGTGCTCCGATAAGCTGGAAAAGCAAGAAGCAATCAAGTGTATCGCTATCGACAAGCGAAGCAGAGTACGTCGCGCTAAGTCTGGCAATTAAAGAAGGCAAGTGGGTGCATCGCCTATTATGCGAGATTCTGAATGCCGCAGAGGACAAGCCCAGACCCGAGCTCAAGATCATGGAAGACAATCAATCGTGCATCAAGATGACGAAGAATCCTGTGAACCATGGTCGGGCCAAGCACGTCAACACCAAGTACCACCACAGTCGCGATGAAGTCAAGCGTGGTGATGATACGTTGGAGTACGGTGAGACTGCGATGATGATGGCGGACATCATGACAAAGGGACTGCCAGGACCGCGTCACACGGAATTGACGGCAGCGCTTGGCATACACGCGTGTTCGCATTGAGGGGGCGTATCGTGGGTTGACGGTTAAGGTACTATTATCAGATACCGTGTAAACCGTAAACCTGTCCAAGTCGGTCTCACGTAATTACGGTGAGCGCTTACCAATGATTAGACGCATAGGAAGATTGGATGACCTACATGTTCTATGATTTATGATTTAAATGTGCAAAATGCATGAATCAGGACACGGATCAATCAGGTAGCTTAAACAACCCAGAAATAAATTCACTTCCAAAGATTTCCTTCTCCGTCGTAAGTCGTCTACACTTTGCAGTGCAGACTTCTTTCGTTTCTTCAAGCTTCGGTTCTTTCATCAAGTGCTCTTCAGACTTTAACAGGTTATAAGCCTAAGCGCGATGTCCTCTGCTCAAGATTCCGCCACCAAGATCTGCATCGACAAAGTCGATGGTAAAAAATATGCGACGTGGAGCCGCTACATGCGCGGCGTGTTCCTGACCAAGTCGACGTGGTACGTAGTCATCCGGGAGACCACCCCCGCCTTCGCTGATCCTCGCGCTAGTGACGAGTATGTCAAGACGAACTACATTGAGATCGGCTTGATGCTGCCTCAGATGAGCGCGGATTACCATGATGTGGTTGATGAGTGTAAAGAAGCGTGGGTTGCGTGGGCACGGTTGAAGACTCTCTACGGCGGATCTCAGAAGGCGGGACGGACCTTCTTGAAGCGACAGCTGTTCAGCATGGAGATGGAGGAAGGCGGCAATTTCATGCATCATTGCAACAACGTTCTCAACACCAGCGCTAAGTTCAGCAGCATCGGCGCTAAGATGGAGGACCAAGACGTGGCAATCTGTTCGTTGCGCAGTCTCCCCAAGAGCTATGAGAACGTTGCTCTCAACTTGGAGATGAGCAGCGCAGAACTGCGGTCGCAAGACGTCGTGAGAGTGCTTACGAATGAGCACATCAAGAGACAACGAAACACGACGACATTGGTGAAGACTGAAGAAGCGACCAAGGCCTTCAGCACGAGCGTGAATTCCGTCAATGTACGTTCTGCGGAAAATTGGGGCACGTGGTGATAAAGTGCTGGACCAAACAGAGGGAAGACAACCGAGGAGATCGACGCAGCAGCAACAAGGGCCGTGCCATTGGGCTCGTGGACGCGGAGCGAATCAAGTCCAATGGCACGGCTACAGCGGCAACGGCAACAACTAAGACCATGATCGAGTGGCGTTTGCTGTTTCGCTGGAATGCGAGCTTTCGACAGCCAAGACCATGGTGGGAATGTGGGCGATTTACAGCAGCAACGCACCACATCTTCTATGAAAAGTCCAAGTTTGAAGTTCTGGACGAGCGCAATGAAGGTGATGTGCTGGTTGCAGACGGAAACAAGGCTGCGATCAATAGAGTTGGGACTATCGTCGAAAAGGTGGTCCTACCAAACGGTGAAGAGCGCGAAGTTGAAATCGAGGATGCACTTAATGTCTCAAGCATGAACAAGAACCTACTGTCGATACCCCAGATTAACAAAAGCGGCAAGTTCCAAGTGGTGTTTGATAAAAGTGAGATAAAGAGTTTGCACAAAGACTCCAAGCAAGTGGTGGCGATGGCGGATATTATGAATGGACCCTACTGGCTTCGCACATCACAACGATCTGTGATTGCTACTTCGCGGCTGAAATTTGAAGATATCCATGCGCGAATGGGCCATGCTTCAGTCGACGTACTTCGCAAGATGGTGACAAGCAACATGATTAAAGACGCTTACATCCCTTTCAAACCGAATGGACCAAGTGTGTGTCGAGGATGTCAGGAAGGGAAGATGGTTCAAAACCATTCTCGAGAAACCGTGACAAGCGCACCTTCAATACCTTCGAGATGCTCCACTTCGACACCTGAGGACCCATGGAAGACAAATCTTTAAGAAGCAGTGTTGTTAGGTGTGAAGCTTGACGACCGAAACTGGGAGTGATGTTGGGAGTCCACTCGGAAGACCGGAGAAGACACTTGGGGGGTAGATGGAAGATTGGAAAGTGATTGATTATCGGGGCTTACTACTTACTACATGATTTATATGTGGTGCACATATAAATCATATGAAGCGTCTCATCATCCTACGCGTCTAATCAATTATGGTAATTACCGTAAGAACTACGTCGTAAATACTAAGCTGAACAGGCGGTTCGGATTGGTCCGGTCACGGTTACCAATACTGGTAGAAAACCGATGACCGTCAAGACGCCCCCTCAATCCGAACTCGCACGAATGCCGAGAGCCGTCGTCAAGTCCTTGTGGCGAGGTCCCGAAAGTCCCTTGGTCATGATGTCCGCCATCATCACGGAAGTCTCGCAATACTCGAGCTGCACTTCACTGCGCTTGACCTCATCACGGATGTGATGGTACTTGATGTCGATGTGCTTGGCGCGGCCATGATGCACCGTATTCTTTGTCATCTTGATGCACGACTGGTTGTCTTCACGGATGACGAGGTCTGGTCCTGGTTCGTTTGCGGCCGCCAAAATCTCGCATAGCAGGCGATGCACCCACTTGCCTTCCTGGATGGCCAGACTCAGTGCGATGTATTCCGCTTCACTCATCGACAGCGACACACTTGACTGCTTCTTGCTTCCCCAACTCACAGGAGCACCCATCAGCATGAAAGTGTAACCCGAAGTCGACTTGCGATCAGCGTGGTCGCCGGCCCAGTCCGCGTCCGTGTAGCCACGAAAGTCGATCTTGTCGCTTGGCTGGAAGTGGGGTCCGTGCGACTTGGTCCCTTGCAAGTTACGAAAGATGCGCTTCACCGCCGTCCAATGTTCTTGCTGCGGATTCTCCATGAAGCGCGAGACGTACCCCACAGCATACGCAATGTCCGGGCGCGTCGCAGTCGTCAAGTGCATCAAAGCTCCCACAACTTCACGAAACGGAACGTCGATCTTGGCCGCTTCGCTGCAAGCGACAAGCCGAGTGCTCAAGTCGACCGGACTTGCTGTGGCTTTGCACTCATCCATGCCGAAGCGCTTGAGGATGTCGTTGACATACCGTCGCTGGCACATCGTCACGCTGCCATCCGATTCGTCCACCAGTTCGATGCCCAGTACAAAAGTACACTTGCCACTGTCGGTCACCTCGAAACGTGTCTTGAGGTCGGCCTTCGTCTGCGCAATCAACTCGAGCGAGCTGCCGGTGACCAACACGTCATCCACGTAGACCAGCACGAGCACACAGTGACCGTCGACACCTTGATGTAGAGACATGGGTCGAACGCCGACACTTCGAAACCGATAAAGCATACGAACTCGTCGAAAGTCTCGTTCCACACACGTGAAGCTTGCTCGAGACCGTAGATCGCCTTCACCAACTCGAGACAGTCGAAGTCGCCATCCATCTCGACGCCTTCTGGTATCACGCAGTACACCTTCTCCTTCATCACTCCGTAGAGAAAGGCTGTCACCACATCGAGCTGGTCCAGTGGCCAGTCGAAATACTTGGTGATCGCGATCACCATACGCAGTGTCACGTACTTGACCACGGGCGAAAACGTCTCTGTGTAGTCGATGCCGTACTTCTTCTTGAAGCCCTTGGCAACGAGACGCGCCTTGTATTTCTCGACCGATCCATCCGCTTTGCGCTTGATCTTGAACACCCACTTGGTGCCGATCGCGCCTTGGCCTCTTGGCAGTTTTGCCGCACGGAAAACTCCGAGAAGATGCATCGACTTGAGTTCCGCCTTCACAGCATTTCGCCAGTGAGCTTGATCAGGACCATTGACCGCGTCTTGAAAAGTCACAGGTTCTGCTAGGTCCGTTGCTTCCATTGCTTTTGCACTTGCACGCCAAAATGTTGGAGGCGTCGAGTCGTCATCTTGATCGTAGACGCTTGCATCTTCTTCGTCATCAGACATCGTTTCTGGAGCACTTGATCGTCGTTTCTGGTGACGGTTGGAGACGTGTTCCGGCGCACTTGCTTGTTCCAACCCAGTTCGAGGGCGATCTGAACGTGACATGCCGGGTCTTGCTTCACTCTTGCGCTTGCCAGTCTGCTTGTAGACGGTTTGACGCACGTCGTCCTCGTTGATCGCCAGGAGGTCGAGGTCCAACTGCGCATCTTCATCATCGTCACTTGGTCGGTCCATCGAAAAGTCAAAAGTCGATTCGTCGAAGGTGATGTCACGACTGATCACCACTTGGCCCGCCTCAATGTCGTACACTCGATAAGCTTTTGACGCTTCTTCGTAGCCCATGAATATCCCTTCACGAGCCTTCGGGTCCCACTTCAATCGCTTCTCCCTTGGTGTCAGGATAAACGCCCGACATCCAAACACGCGCATGTGCTTGACACTTGGTTTCGACTTGTACACGATCTCGAACGGAGTCTTGTGGTCGATCTTGGGTGAAGGCAGGCGGTTCTCGATGTAGATCGCCTTCATTGCCGCTTCAGCCCAGAAACACTTCTCCAGCTTTGCATGATGCAACAAGATGCGTCCGATCGTGACGATGGTCCGCATCGCGCGTTCTGCGGTGCCGTTGGTCTGGTGTGCATACGGCACCGTGACCTGTTGTTCGATACCATGATCTTCGTAGAAGGTCTTGATGGAGTTGGTCGCAAACTCACGCGCTCCATCGTGCCGAACTGAGTTTGAATCTTGATAATGTGGTTCATGATACAGTCTTCACTCTCAGACTTGGACCGCAGACAGAAGCCCTTCACGCAACCGCTGGCTTCGTCAACCACAAGCAGTAAGTATCTGCTGCCACCGATCGAGACTTGTTCCATTGGCCCGCAGATGTTGAAATGCAGCAACTCGAACACACCATATTGGCGTTTGTCACGGTTGGTTGGGAATGGTTTTTGGACCATCTTTCCTTGCTGGCAACCGCGACACACACTTGGACCAGTCGAGTTGAGAGGTTCCTTGGCGTCCTTGATCATGCCAGTGGCCGCCATCTTGCGCAGAACTTTGAGGGGTGCATGACCCATGCGCGCATGCAAGTCGATAGTCCCATTGCGTGTTGCTGCATTTGCCGATCGTTGAGGAGTCCGCAGCCAGTAAAGTCCATCGACGAGATCCGCTGTTGCCACAACTTGTGTGGAATTCTTGCGCTTCACTTGCATCTTGGACCCATCGAACACGACTTGGAACCTGCCACCCTTGTTGATCTGTGGCACCGAAAGCAGATTCTTGCTCATACTTGGTACGAACAATGCGTCCTTGATCTCAATGTCGCGTTCGTCACCATTGGACAGAACCACCCGTTCCATGATGGTTCCCACACCCTTGATCGCAGCCTTGCTGCCATCAGCCACTGATAGTTCGCCTTCCTCTCGCTCATTCAGGCTTGCAAACTTGGCCTTGTCGCTGCAGATGTTATGCGTCGCACCGCTGTCGAATGCCCACATCCCTGGCATATTCTTGCCCGTCGAAAGTCCAGCCTCCAGCGAAACCGCGAACGCAACTCGATCGTAGTTGTCGTCGTAGTTGCTGTTGATTCGCCACTGAACGTTGTTGGCTCCGCGTCCACGAGCATTGTTACCGCCGCGTCGAGCTCCACCTTGATTTTCGTCCTTCTGCTTGGTCCAGCACCGCTCCGCCGTGTGCCCCAATTTTCCGCAGCACGTACACTGGCGAGGTTCACGCTCGGCACTGAACGCCTTCGCCGCGTCTTCAGTCTTCATCGATGTCGTCTTGTCACCTTGCCTCTTGATGTGCTCATTCGTGAGCACTCTCACGACGTCTCGCGATCGCAGTTCCGTGCTGCTCATCTCCAAAATAAGGACGACGTTCTCGTAGCTCTTGGGGAGTGCGCAACAAGCAGATCGCCACGTCCTCGTCCTCCATCTTGGCGCCGGTGCTGCTGAGCTTCGCGCTGAGGTTGAGGACTTCGTTGCAATGATGCATCACATTGCCGCCTTCCGCCATCTCCATGCTGAACAGCTGGCGCTTCAAGTAGATGCTTCTAGCCTTCTGCGATCCGCCTTACAGCGTCTCCAAACGCGCCCACGCGACCCACGCCTCTTCACAGTCATCGACGATGTGATGGTAGTCCGCGTCCATGTGCAGCAACATCAGTCCGAAATCGACGTTGTTGGCCTTGACGTAGTCGTCCATGGCGCGATCGTCCGCGTAGGTCGGCGACGTCTCCCGGTTCACCACGTGCCACGTCGACTTGGTCAGGAACACGCCACGCATGTACCGGCTCCATGTCGCGTAGTTGTCGCCGTCGAACTTGTCAATGGAGATCTTGGTGGTGGCATCATGAGCAGAAGACATCGTGCTTGGGCTCATAACCTATTGAAAGGTGTGAAGCTTGACGACCGAAACTGGGAGTGATGCTGGGAGTCCACTCGGAAGACCGGAGAAGACACTTGGGGGGTAGATGGAAGATTGGAAAGTGATTGATTATCGGGGCTTACTACTTACTACATGATTTATATGTGGTGCACATATAAATCATGTGAAGCGTCTCATCATCCTACGCGTCTAATCAACTATGGTAATTACCGTAAGAACTACGTCGTAAATACTAAGCTGAACAGGCGGTTCGGATTAGACCGGTCACGGTTACCAATACTGGTAGGAAACCAATGACCGTCAACAGGCAGCAAGTATCTGCTGCTTATCGCGGATGAAACCAGCGGATGCATAGAGGATTTTTGTCTGCATGCCAAGTCGGGGAGTGAGGAGTGAATCAAGAGGTACATCACGATTGTCCAAAAGCAGATCAACATAAAGGTCAAGTTTGTGTGACACGATAGATCCCGCGAGTTTGCGACAAGCTCGCTTCAAGATTTCTACGAAGTCGAAGGCATCGAACAGCAAACCACGGTGTCATCCGCTGATCAAGCCAACGGAACTGCTGAACGCGCAACTCGGACTGTCATCACCATCGGTCGCAGCATGCTTCATCATGTCAAAATGGACAAGCGCTTCTAGGCTGAAGCGGCAATGACGGCAGTCTACGTGAAGAACCGTTTGCCGTCACCCAAGATCCCACACAAGACACCGTTCGAGATTGTCTACAATTCCAAGTCCAGTGTCAAGCACATGCGCGGTTTTGGGTGCCACACTTACATCTTGACCCCGAAGGAGAAACAACTCAAGCGGAATCCCAAGGCACGTACTGGGTTAATTTTGGCTACGAAGAAATGTCCAAGGATTATCGAGTTTATGACATTGAAGTGGGGCAGGAGACGATAAGTCGTGATGTCAACTTTGAAGAGTCAGCCTTTGGACTTTCTATGCTGGTTTCCGATGACGGTGTTGGTGGACAGGACGTCGAATCCTTTGATCTTGATGATAAAGATCCGCTTCCTAGATACTTCAAAATGAATAGGAATGCGCAAGGCCTAACTCAGTCACGAAGATGAAGATGCAAATATGCCCCGAGCAGTGCGCCAACGACCCAGATTGGATGGGGCAAGTGCTTCAGACGACCTCTCTTCACGTCGAGCCAATAAAGATGAAGGAAGTCAGTCGAGCAACGTGACACACCAACTTCTTTCGCATTTCAACAGGTAAGTGCAAACGCTGTCGAAGCAGCAGTGCATCTTTGAGCCCGTCGATATTTAGAGAAGCAGTGACTGGCCCGGACCAAGCGCACTAGCGCAAGGCAATTAATGCAGAGTTCGAGTCAATGCGACTTCGCGTGTGTTTCGTGCGGCCAAGTTACCCAGCGGGTGAAGCGCCATTGGCACAAAGTGAGTCTTCAAGATCAAGCGCAAGGCGGATGGGTCGATCGATAAATACAAAGCACGACTTGCGGCCAAGGGTTTTCGCCAAAATTATGACATCGACTACACGGAGACGTTCTCGCCCGTGGTCAAGTACGTGATGCTGTGCATAGTAATCGCGAGCACCAAGTACTTCAAATGGTCACTGGACTAACTGGACATGGTGAAAGCCTTCTTGTACGGAAAGATGAAAAAAAGGTGTTCTGCGCGATCCCAGCAGGTGTCGACAGTGATGAAGACTTTGACTGCATCGAATTGGTGAAGGCGATCTACGGACTGAAACAAGCATTGCGGGTATGGAACGAGACTTTCTATGACTTTGTTTACTCGATTGTATTTCAACAGTCCGACTTCGACCCATGCCTCTATCTCAAGGTCGCAAGCGGAAAGTGTGTGCTGTTTTTGGTCTCGTCGACGACGTGTTGGCAACGGGCAGTTCGACTGAGGTAATTGTGCGCACCGAGAGTGACTTGAAGAGGCGTTTCGATATGACTGACAGCGGCAAGTGCGCGTTCGTATTGGGCATCGAGCTGGTGAACAACATCGACGGTAGTGTGACAATGTGTCAGCGACGATACGTGGACGATGTTCTCAAGCGTTTTGGCATGAGTGATTGCAAGGCCGTCATCAGTCCAACGGATATCAGTTCTCGACTCACACCAAGCGACGCAGCATCCAAGAACAACGCTCCGTCTCGTGAAGCAGTAGGTGCTTTGATGCACTTAATGACCGCGACAAGACCGGACATTGCTTTTGTTGTGGGCTACGTTTCGCGTTCCATGGAGAACCCCAAGTCGAGCATTGGATGGCAGTCAAGCGCATTCTTCGTTATCTACAAGAAACCAAGTAACACGGCATCTTCGTTAAACCCGACGACAAGGTGGATTTATGTGGCGACTCGGATGCAGACTAGCCCAGTGATCATGAAGACCGCAAGTCGACTTCAGAATGTGCGTCTATCCTGATGGGTGCTCCGATAAGCTGGAAAAGCAAGAAGCAATCAAGTGTATCGCTATCGACAAGCGAAGCAGAGTACGTCGCGCTAAGTCTGGCAATTAAAGAAGGCAAGTGGGTGCATCGCCTATTATGCGAGATTCTGAATGCTGCAGAGGACAAGCCCAGACCCGAGCTCAAGATCATGGAAGACAATTAATCGTGCATCAAGATGACGAAGAATCCTGTGAACCATGGTCGGGCCAAGCACGTCAACACCAAGTACCACCACAGTCGCGATGAAGTCAAGCGTGGTGATGATACGTTGGAGTACGGTGAGACTGCGATGATGATGGCGGACATCATGACAAAGGGACTGCCAGGACCGCGTCACAGGGAATTGACTGCAGCGCTTGGCATACACGCGTGTTCGCATTGAGGGGGCGTATCGTGGGTTGACGGTTAAGGTACTATTATCAGATACCGTGTAAACCGTAAACCTGTCCAAGTCGGTCTCGCGTAATTACGGTGAGCGCTTACCAATGATTAGACGCATAGGAAGATTGGATGACCTACATGTTCTATGATTTATGATTTAAACGTGCAAAATGCATGAATCAGGACACGGATCAATCAGGTAGCTTAAACAACCCAGAAATAAATTCACTTCCAAAGATTTCCTTCTCCGTCGTAAGTCGTCTACACTTTGCAGTGCAGACTTCTTTCGTTTCTTCAAGCTTCGGTTCTTTCATCAAGTGCTCTTCAGACTTTAACAGGTTATAAGCCTAAGCGCGATGTCCTCTGCTCAAGATTACGCCACCAAGATCTGCATCGACAAATTCGATGGTAAAAAATATGCGACGTGGAGCCGCTACATGCGCGGCGTGTTCCTGACCAAGTCGACGTGGTACGTAGTCATCCGGGAGACCACCCCCGCCTTCGCTGATCCTCGCGCTAGTGACGAGTATGTCAAGACGAACAACATTGCGATCGGCTTGATGCTGCCTCACATGAGCGCGGATTACCATCACGTGGTTGATGAGTGTAAAGAAGCGTGGGTTGCGTGGGCACGGTTGAAGACTCTCTACGGCGGATCTCAGAAGGCGGGACGGACCTTCTTGAAGCGACAGCTGTTCAGCATGGAGATGGAGGAAGGCGGCAATTTCATGCATCATTGCAACAACGTTCTCAACACCAGCGCTAAGTTCAGCAGCATCGGCGCTAAGATGGAGGACAAAGACGTGGCGATCCGCTTGTTGCGCAGTCTCCCCAAGAGCTATGAGAACGTTGCTCTCAACTTGGAGATGAGCAGCGCAGAACTGCGGTCGCAAGACGTCGTGAGAGTGCTTACGAATGAGCACATCAAGAGACAACGAAACACGACGACATTGGTGAAGACTGAAGAAGCGACCAAGGCCTTCAGCACGAGCGTGAATTCCGTCAATGTACGTTCTGCGGAAAATTGGGGCACGTGGTGATAAAGTGCTGGACCAAACAGAGGGAAGACGACCGAGGAGATCGACGCAGCGGCAACAAGGGCCGTGCCATTGGGCTCGTGGACGCGGAGCGAATCAAGTCCAATGGCACGGCTACAACGGCAACGGCAACAACTAAGACCTGTTGTAACTTGAGCGCGAGGCGAAGAGAAAACGAAGCGGAGAGACCGGAGAGAACGAAGCAGAGAACACTTGCTCACTTGAGGGAGGATTCGAAAGTGATTGATTTATAGGTCTTAACTTCTGCCTACCCTATACTGCATCCAATCACATGGTGCATCTAATCAACCTGATTTACACGCGTCCAATCATCCTACGCGTCTAATCATCTCTGAGGTAATTACCGATGTAAAAACTATCTCGTAAGAACTACGCGCTAGGTTCGGATTGTACCGGTAACCCTCAATACGCCCCCTCAATCCGAACACGCACGGATGCCAAGCGCCGCCGTCAAGTCCTTGTGACGCGGTCCGTGAAGTCCCTTCGTCATGATGTCCGCCAACATCAACGTCGTCTCGCAGTATTCAAGCTTCACTTCGCCGCGCTTGACTTCATCACGGATGTGATGGTACTTGATGTCGATGTGTTTAGCGCGGCCGTGGTTGACCGGATTCTTCGTCATCTTGATGCACGACTGGTTGTCTTCACGGATGACGAGCTCGGGTCCTTCTTCGTTTGCAGCCGCCATGATCTCGCACAGCAAGCGATTGATCCACTTGCCTTCTTGGATCGCCAGGCTGAGCGCGATGTACTCCGCTTCGCTTGTAGACAGTGACACACTTGGCTGTTTCTTGCTGCCCCAACTCACCGGAGCACCCAATAGCATGAAGACGTAGCCGGACGTCGATTTGCGATCAGCAAGGTCACCGGCCCAGTCTGCATCTGAATAGCCACGAAAGTCGATCTTCGCACTTGGCTTGTAGCAGATTCCATGCATCTTGGTGCCTTGTAGGTATCGGAAGATGCGCTTGACTGCAACCCAGTGTTCTTCTTGGGGTTTCTCCATGAACCGTGACACAAAGCTTACAGCATAGGCGATGTCCGGTCGCGTTGCAGTCGTCAGATGCATCAAAGCACCCACTGCTTCACGGAATGGGACATCCACCTTGCTTGCAGAGTTGCTCGGAATCAGTCGAGAGCTGACGTCCACCGGACTTGCCACAGCCTTGCACTCATCCATTCCAAAGCGCTTGAGGACATCGTCGACATAACGGCGCTGACACATAGTCACGCTGCCATCTTCACCGTCCAATAACTCGATTCCAAGAACAAATGCACACTTGCCGCTATCCGTCATCTCGAAGCGTGTCTTGAGGTCGTTCTTGGTGCGCGCAATCATCTCGAGCGAACTTCCAGTCACCAAGACATCGTCCACGTAGACCAGCACAAAAACACAATGGCCTTCCGAAGTCATGATGTAGAGACATGGATCGAATCCCGACGCTTGAAAACCAATCGAGCGTATGAACTCGTCGAAGGTCTCGTTCCAAACACGCGAGGCTTGCTTGAGACCGTAGATCGCCTTGATCAGCTCGAGACAGTCGAAATCACCTTCCATCTTGACGCCTTCCGGAACAGCGCGGAACACCTTCTCCTTCATCACTCCATACAGGAACGCAGTCACCACATCGAGCTGGTCGAGGGGCCATCCAAAGTGCTTGGTAATGGCGATGACCATTCGCAGCGTCACATACTTGACCACGGGCGAGAACGTCTCCGTGTAGTCGATGCCATACTTTTGGCGAAAACCCTTGGCCACAAGTCGTGCCTTGTATTTCTCGATTGACCCATCCGCCTTGCGCTTGATCTTGAAGACCCACTTTGTGCCGATGGCGCTTTGTCCGTTGGGTAACTTGGCCGCACGAAAGACACCGCGAAGCTTCATCGAATCGAGCTCCGCATCAATTGCCTTGCGCCAGTGTACTTGGTCCGGGCCAGACACTGCTTCTTCAAATGTCGACGGCTCCGAAAAATCGACCGCTGCTTCGACGGCGTTTGCACTCGCATGCCAAAACGCGGAGGAAGTCGGTGTGTCATGTTGTTCCTCCGACTTCCTTTCTTCATCTTCGTTGGCTCGACGTGAAGAGAGGTCATCCGGCGCACTTGACTCTTCCAATCCGGGTCGTTGGCGCACTGCTCGGGGCATGCTTGTGTCGTCATTGTCGTGACTGGGTTGGGCCTTGCGCTTTCCTGTTTGTTTGAAGTGTCTCGGACGCGGTTCTTCATCATCAAGATCGATCGATTCGAAGTCCAGGCCATCAACATCGTCATCGGAAATCAGCATCGACAGTCCAAAGGCCGACTCATCGAAGTTGACATCGCGACTTATCATCACCTGCCCCGCTTCGATGTCGTAAACTCGATACGCCTTGGACACTTCTTCGTAGCCCAAAAACAATCCAGCCCGGGCCTTGGGATCCCACTTGAGTCGTTTCTCCTTCGGGGGTCAAGATGTATGCTTGGCACCCAAAAACGCGCATGTGCTTGACACTTGGCTTAGAATTGTAGACAATCTCGAACGGTGTCTTGTGTGGAATCTTGGGTGACGGCAAACGGTTCTTCACATAGACGGCCGTCATTGCCGCTTCAGCCCAGAAGCACTTGTCCAACTTGGCATGATGGAGCATGCTACGACCGATGGTGACGATAGTTCGAATCGCGCGTTCAGCAGTTCCATTGGCTTGATGTGCGTATGGCACCGTGGTTTGTTGCTCGATGCCTTCGACTTCGTAGAAATCTTGAAGCGAGTTCGTCGCAAACTCGCGGGCTCCATCCTGTCGCACAAACTTGACCTTCTTGTTGAACTGCGTCTGTATCATCGTGATGTACTTCTTGATGCACTCTTCGCTCTCTGACTTGGAATGCAGACAAAAACCCTTCATGCATCCGCTGGCTTCATCCACGATCAGCAGCAGATACTTGCTGCCACCCAGAGATTTTTCTTCCATGGGTCCGCAGATGTCGAAGTGGAGCATCTCGAAGGTGTTGTAGGTGCGCTTGTCACGATTACTGGGGAATGGTTTTGGACCATCTTCCCTTATTAACATCCGCGACATACACTTGATCCATTCGGCTTGGAAGGGATGTGAGCGTCCTTGATCATGTGGCTTGTCACCATCCTGCGAAGCACGTCGACTGGAGCATGGCCCATTCGCGCATGTAGATCAACAGCGTTGCTGAGTGATGTCGCATTGGCCGATCGCTGCGTCGTGCGAAGCCAGTAGAGTCCGTCTACAAGATCCGCAGCTGCCACCACTTGATTGGAATCCTTGCGAGCGACGTACATCGTATCCCCCGTCAAACACCACTTGGAAGTTGCCGTGCTTGTTAATCTGCGGCACCGAGAGTAGATTTTTGCTCATGCTGGGCACATAGAGCGCGTTCTTGATCTCGATCTCGCGCTCTTCCCCGTTTGGCAGAATCACCTTTTCCACGATGGTCCCCACACCTTTGATGGCCGCCTTGTTGCCATCAGCCACCAGGATCTCGCCATCATTGCCTTCGACCAAGCTTGCAAACTTGAACTTGTCGTGGCAGATGTGATGTGTTGCCCCGCTGTCAACGGCCCACATTCCTGGTCCATTCTTGTTCGTCGAAACTCCGCATTCGAACGAAACTGCAAACGCCACTCGATCGTAGCTGTTGCCTTCATCATAATGTCGCCAGTGGACATTGTTTGACCCGCGTCGACGACCATTGCCGCCGCGTTGGGCTCCTCGACTTTCATCCTTTTGCTTCGTCCAGCAACGCTCTGCCGTGTGCCTCACCTTGCCGCAGTATGTGCATTGGTAGGGCTTGCGCTCGGTACTGAATGCCTTTGTCGCATCTTCAGTCTTCACCGTTGTCGTTGCCGTTGTCATCTTCTCGCCTTGTCGCTTGATGTGCTCGTTAGTCAGCACCTTGACCACATCTTGCGTGCGCAGCTCTGCATTGCTCATCTCCAAGTTGAGAACCACGTTCTCGAAACTATTGGGCAGACTGCGCAGTAAGCAGATCGCAATGTCTTCGTCTTCCATCTTGGCACCGATGCTGCTGAGCTTGGCGCCGATGTTCAAGACTTCGTTGCAATGGTGCAAGACGTTGGCACCTTCCGCCATCTTGATGCTGAACAGCTGGCGCTTGAGGTAGATGCGTCCCGCCTTCTGCGACCCACCATAGAGCATCTTCAACCGCGACCACGCTGTCCATGCTTCTTCACAGTTGTCGACCACATGGTGGTAGTCGGCGTCCATGTGGAGCAACATCAACCCGAACGCGATGTTGCTCGCCTTGACGTACTCGTCGGAAGCTCGCGTGTCGGTGAAGGTTGGAGACGTTTCGCGGTTCACGACGTACCAGACTGACTTCGTCAGAAACACGCCGCGCATGTAGCGACACCAGGTTGAGTAGTTGTCCCCATCGAACTTATCGATGGAGACACTGGCCGAGGTGTTGTTGGACGACATGGCGCTTGGGCTCATAACCTGTTGTAACTTGAGCGCGAGGCGAAGAGAAAACGATGCGGAGAGACCGGAGAGAACGAAGCAGAGAACACTTGCTCACTTGAGGGAGGATTCGAAAGTGATTGATTTATAGGTCTTAACTTCTGCCTACCCTAGACTGCATCCAATCACATGGTGCATCTAATCAACCTGATTTACACGCGTCCAATCATCCTACGCGTCTAATCATCTCTGAGGTAATTACCGATGTAAAAACTATCTCGTAAGAACTACGCGCTAGGTTCGGATTGTACCGGTAACCCTCAATACGTTGTTCTCAACTTGGAGATGAGCAGCGCAGAACTGCGGTCGCAAGACGTCGTGAGAGTGCTTACGAATGAGCACATCAAGAGACAACGAAACACGACGACATTGGTGAAGACTGAAGAAGCGACCAAGGCCTTCAGCACGAGCGTGAATTCCGTCAATGTACGTTCTGCGGAAAATTGGGGCACGTGGTGATAAAGTGCTGGACCAAACAGAGGGAAGAAGACCGAGGAGATCGACGCAGCGGCAACAAGGGCCGTGCCATTGGGCTCGTGGACGCGGAGCAAATCAAGTCCAATGGCACGGCTACAACGGCAACGGCAACAACTAAGACCATGATCGAGTGGCGTTTGCTGTTTCGCTGGAATGCGAGCTTTCGACAGCCAAGACCATGGTGGAAATGTGGGCGATTTACAGCAGCAACGCACCACATCTTCAATGAAAAGTCCAAGTTTGAAGTTCTGGACGAGCGCAATGAAGGTGATGTGCTGGTTGCAGACGGAAACAAGGCTGCGATCAATAGAGTTGGGACTATCGTCGAAAAGGTGGTCCTACCAAACGGTGAAGAGCGCGAAGTTGAAATCGAGGATGCACTTAATGTCTCAAGCATGAACAAGAACCTACTGTCGATACCCCAGATTAACAAAAGCGGCAAGTTCTGAGTGGTGTTTGATAAGAGTGAGATGAAGATTTCGCACAAAGACTTCAAGCAAGCATTGGAGTATTGAGGGTTACCGGTACAATCCGAACCTAGCGCGTAGTTCTTACGAGATAGTTTTTACATCGGTAATTACCTCAGAGATGATTAGACGCGTAGGATGATTGGACGCGTGTAAATCAGGTTGATCAGATGCACCATGTGATTGGATGCAGTCTAGGGTAGGCAGAAGTTAAGACCTATAAATCAATCACTTTCGAATCCTCCCTCAAGTGAGCAAGTGTTCTCTGCTTCGTTCTCTCCGGTCTCTCCGCTTCGTTTTCTCTTCGCCTCGCGCTCAAGTTGCAACAGGTTATGAGCCCAAGCGCCATGTCGTCCAACAACACCTCGGCCAGTGTCTCCATCGATAAGTTCGATGGGGACAACTACTCAACCTGGTGTCGCTACATGCGCGGCGTGTTTCTGACGAAGTCAGTCTGGTACGTCGTGAACCGCGAAACGTCTCCAACCTTCACCGACACGCGAGCTTCCGACGAGTACGTCAAGGCGAGCAACATCGCGTTCGGGTTGATGTTGCTCCACATGGACGCCGACTACCACCATGTGGTCGACAACTGTGAACAAGCATGGACAGCGTGGTCGCGGTTGAAGATGCTCTATGGTGGGTCGCAGAAGGCGGGACGCATCTACCTCAAGCGCCAGCTGTTCAGCATCAAGATGGCGGAAGGTGCCAACGTCTTGCACCATTGCAACGAAGTCTTGAACATCGGCGCCAAGCTCAGCAGCATCGGTGCCAAGATGGAAGACGAAGACGTTGCGATCTGCTTGCTGCTCAGTCTCCCGAAGAGTTTTGAGAACGTGGTTCTGAACTTGGAGATGAGCAATGCAGAGCTGCGCACGCAAGATGTGGTCAAGGTGCTGACTAACGAGCACATCAAGCGACAAGGCGAGAAAGATGACAACGGCAACGACAACGGTGAAGACTGAAGATGCGACAAAGGCATTCAGTACCGAGCGCAAGCCCTACCAATGCACATACTGCGGCAAGGTGGGGCACACGGCAGAGCGTTGCTGGACGAAGCAAAAGGATGAAAGTCGAGGAGCCCAACGCGGCGGCAATGGTCGTGGACGCGGGGCAAACAAGTGTCCAGTGGCGACATTATGATGAAGGCAACAGCTACGATCGAGTGGCGTTTGCAGTTTCGTTCGAATGCGGAGTTTCGACGAACAAGAATGGACCAGGAATGTGGGCCGTTGACAGCGGGGCAACACATCACATCTGCCACGACAAGTTCAAGTTTGCAAGCTTGGTCGAAGGCAATGATGGCGAGATCCTGGTGGCTGATGGCAACAAGGCGGCCATCAAAGGTGTGGGGACCATCGTGGAAAAGGTGATTCTGCCAAACGGGGAAGAGCGCGAGATCGAGATCAAGAACGCGCTCTATGTGCCCAGTATGAGCAAAAATCTACTATCGGTGCCGCAGATTAACAAGCACGGCAACTTCCAAGTGGTGTTTGACGGGGATACGATGTACGTCGCTCGCAAGGATTCCAATCAAGTGGTGGCAGCTGCGGATCTTGTAGACGGACTCTACTGGCTTCGCACGACGCAGCGATCGGCCAATGCGACATCACTCAGCAACGCTGTTGATCTACATGCGCGAATGGGCCATGCTCCAGTCGACGTGCTTCGCAGGATGGTGACAAGCCACATGATCAAGGACGCTCACATCCCTTCCAAGCCGAATGGATCAAGTGTGTGTCGAGGATGCCAAGAAGGGAAGATGGTCCAAAAACCATTCCCGAGCAACCGTGACAAGCGCACCTACAACACCTTCGAGATGCTTCACTTCGACATCTGCGGACCCATGGAAGAAAAATCTCTGGGTGGCAGCAAGTATCTGCTGCTGATCGTGGATGAAGCCAGCGGATGCATGAAGGGTTTTTGTCTGCATTCCAAGTCAGAGAGCGAAGAGTGCATCAAGAAGTACATCACGATGATACAGACGCAGTTCAACAAGAAGGTCAAGTTTGTGCAACACGATGGAGCCCGCGAGTTTGCGACGAACTCGCTTCAAGATTTCTACGAAGTCGAAGGCATCGAGCAACAAACCACGGTGCCATACGCACATCAAGCCAATGGAACTGCTGAACGCGCGATTCGAACTATCGTCACCATCGGTCGTAGCATGCTCCATCATGCCAAGTTGGACAAGTGCTTCTGGGCTGAAGCGGCAATGACGGCCGTCTATGTGAAGAACCGTTTGCCGTCACCCAAGATTCCACACAAGACACCGTTCGAGATTGTCTACAATTCTAAGCCAAGTGTCAAGCACATGCGCGTTTTTGGGTGCCAAGCATACATCTTGACCCCGAAGGAGAAACGACTCAAGTGGGATCCCAAGGCCCGGGCTGGATTGTTTTTGGGCTACGAAGAAGTGTCCAAGGCGTATCGAGTTTACGACATCGAAGCGGGGCAGGTGATGATAAGTCGCGATGTCAACTTCGATGAGTCGGCCTTTGGACTGTCGATGCTGATTTCCGATGACGATGTTGATGGCCTGGACTTCGAATCGATCGATCTTGATGATGAAGAACCGCGTCCGAGACACTTCAAACAAACAGGAAAGCGCAAGGCCCAACCCAGTCACGACAATGACGACACAAGCATGCCCCGAGCAGTGCGCCAACGACCCGGATTGGAAGAGTCAAGTGCGCCGGATGACCTCTCTTCACGTCGAGCCAACGAAGATGAAGAAAGGAAGTCGGAGGAACAACATGACACACCGACTTCCTCCGCGTTTTGGCATGCGAGTGCAAACGCCGTCGAAGCAGCGGTCGATTTTTCGGAGCCGTCGACATTTGAAGAAGCAGTGTCTGGCCCGGACCAAGTACACTGGCGCAAGGCAATTGATGCGGAGCTCGATTCGATGAAGCTTCGCGGTGTCTTTCGTGCGGCCAAGTTACCCAACGGACAAAGCGCCATCGGCACAAAGTGGGTCTTCAAGATCAAGCGCAAGGCGGATGGGTCGATCGAGAAATACAAGGCACGACTTGTGGCCAAGGGTTTTCGCCAAAAGTATGGCATCGACTACACGGAGACGTTCTCGCCCGTGGTCAAGTATGTGACGCTGCGAATGGTCATCGCCATTACCAAGCACTTTGGATGGCCCCTCGACCACTCGACCAGCTCGATGTGGTGACTGCGTTCCTGTATGGAGTGATGAAGGAGAAGGTGTTCTGCGCTGTTCCGGAAGGCGTCAAGATGGAAGGTGATTTCGACTGTCTCGAGCTGATCAAGGCGATCTACGGTCTCAAGCAAGCCCTCGCGTGTTTGGAACGAGACCTTCGACGAGTTCATACGCTCGATTGGTTTTCAAGCGTCGGGATTCGATCCATGTCTCTACATCATGACTTCGGAAGGCCATTGTGCCTTTGTGCTGGTCTACGTGGACGATGTCTTGGTGACTGGAAGCTCGCTCGAGATGATTGCGCGCACCAAGAACGACCTCAAGACACGCTTCGAGATGACGGACAGCGGCAAGTGTGCCTTTGTTCTTGGGATCGAGTTATTGGACGGTGAAGATGGCAGCGTGACTATGTGTCAGCGCCGTTATGTCGACGATGTCCTCAAGCGCTTTGGAATGGATGAGTGCAAGGCTGTGGCAAGTCCGGTGGACGTCAGCTCTCGACTGATTCCGAGCAACTCTGCAAGCAAGGTGGATGTCCCATTCCGTGAAGCAGTGGGTGCTTTGATGCATCTGACGACTGCAACGCGACCGGACATCGCCTATGCTGTAAGCTTTGTGTCACGGTTCATGGAGAAACCCCAAGAAGAACACTGGGTTGCAGTCAAGCGCATCTTCCGATACCTACAAGGCACCAAGATGCATGGAATCTGCTACAAGCCAAGTGCGAAGATCGACTTTCGTGCTATTCAGATGCAGACTGGGCCGGTGACCTTGCTGATCGCAAATCGACGTCCGGCTACGTCTTCATGCTATTGGGTGCTCCGGTGAGTTGGGGCAGCAAGAAAACAGCCAAGTGTGTCACTGTCTACAAGCGAAGCGGAGTACATCGCGCTCAGCCTGGCGATCCAAGAAGGCAAGTGGATCAATCGCTTGCTGTGCGAGATCATGGCGGCTGCAAACGAAGAGAAGGACCCGAGCTTGTCATCCGTGAAGACAACCAGTCGTGCATCAAGATGACGAAGAATCCGGTCAACCACGGCCGCGCTAAACACATCGACATCAAGTACCATCACATCCGTGATGAAGTCAAGCGCGGCGAAGTGAAGCTTGAATACTGCGAGACGACGTTGATGTTGGCGGACATCATGACGAAGGGACTTCACGGACCGCGTCACAAGGACTTGACGGCGGCGCTTGGCATCCGTGCGTGTTCGGATTGAGGGGGCGTATTGAGGGTTACCGGTACAATCCGAACCTAGCGCGTTGTTCTTACGAGATAGTTTTTACATCGGTAATTACCTCAGAGATGATTAGACGCGTAGGATGATTGGACGCGTGTAAATCAGGTTGATCAGATGCACCATGTGATTGGATGCAGTCTAGGGTAGGCAGAAGTTAAGACCTATAAATCAATCACTTTCGAATCCTCCCTCAAGTGAGCAAGTGTTCTCTGCTTCGTTCTCTCCGGTCTCTCCGCTTCGTTTTCTCTTCGCCTCGCGCTCAAGTTGCAACATGGAGATGGCGGATATTATGAATGGACCCTACTGGATTCGCACACCACAACGATCTGTGAATGCTACTTCGCGGCTGAAATTTGAGGGTATTCATGCGCGAATGGGCCATGCTTCAGTCGACGTACTTCGCAAGATGGTGACAAGCAACATGATTAAAGACGCTTACATCCCTTTCAAACCGAGTGTGTGTCGAGGATGTCAGGAGGGAAGATGGTTCAAAACCATTCTCGAGAAACCGTGACAAGCGCACCTTCAATACCTTCGAGATGCTCCACTTCGACACCTGAGGACCCATGGAAGACAAATCTTTAAGGGACAGCAAGTATCTGCTGCTTGTCGCGGATGAAACCAGCGGGTGCATAGAGGATTTTTGTCTGCATGCCAAGTCGGAGAGTGAGGAGTGGAATCAAGAGGTACATCACGATTGTCCAAAAGCAGATCAGCATAAAGGTCAAGTTTGTGTGACACGATAGATCCCGCGAGTTTGCGACAAGCTCGCTTCAAGATTTCTACGAAGTCGAAGGCATCGAACAGCAAACCACGGTGTCATCCGCTGATCAAGCCAACGGAACTGCTGAACGCGCAACTCGGACTGTCATCACCATCGGTCGCAGCATGCTTCATCATGTCAAAATGGACAAGCGCTTCTGGGCTGAAGCGGCAATGACGGCAGTCTACGTGAAGAACCATTTGCCGTCACCCAAGATCCCACACAAGACGCCGTTCGAGATTGTCTACAATTCCAAGCCAAGTGTCAAGCACATGCGCGGTTTTGGGTGCCACACTTACATCTTGACCCCGAAGGAGAAACAACTCAAGCGGAAACCCAAGGCACGTACGGGGTTGATTTTGGCTACGAAGAAATGTCCAAGGCTTACCGAGTTTATGACATTGAAGTGGGGCAGGAGACGATAAGTCGTGATGTCAACTTTGAAGAGTCAGCCTTTGGACTTTCTATGCTGGTTTCCGATGACGGTGTTGGTGGACAGGACGTCGAATCCTTTGATCTTGATGATAAAGATCCGCTTTCTAGATACTTCAAAATGAATAGGAATGCGCAAGGCCTAACTCAGTCACGAAGATGAAGATACAAATATGCCCCGAGCAGTGCGCCAACGACCCAGATTGGAAGGGGCAAGTGCTTCAGACGACCTCTCTTCACGTCGAGCCAATAAAGATGAAGGAAGTCAGTCGAGCAACGTGACACACCAACTTCTTTCGCATTTCAACAGGTAAGTGCAAACGCTGTCGAAGCAGCAGTGCATCTTTGAGCCCGTCGATATTTAGAGAAGCAGTGACTGGCCCGGACCAAGCGCACTAGCGCAAGGCAATTAATGCAGAGCTCGAGTCAATGCGACTTCGCGTGTGTTTCGTGCGGCCAAGTTACCCATCGGGTGAAGCGCCATTGGCACAAAGTGAGTCTTCAAGATCAAGCGCAAGGCGGATGGGTCGATCGATAAATACAAAGCACGACTTGCGGCCAAGGGTTTTCGCCAAAATTATGACATCGACTACACGGAGACGTTCTCGCCCGTGGTCAAGTACGTGATGCTGTGCATAGTAATCGCGAGCACCAAGTACTTCAAATGGTCACTGGACTAACTGGACATGGTGAAAGCCTTCTTGTACGGAAATATGAAAAAAGGTGTTCTGCGCGATCCCAGCAGGTGTCGACATTGATGAAGACTTTGACTGCATCGAATTGGCGAAGGCGATCTACGGACTGAAACAAGCATTGCGGGTATGGAACGAGACTTTCTATGACTTTGTTTACTCGATTGTATTTCAACAGTCCGACTTCGACCCATGCCTCTATCTCAAGGTCGCAAGCGGAAAGTGTGTGCTGTTTTTGGTCTCGTCGACGATGTGTTGGCAACGGGCAGTTCGACTGAGGTAATTGTGCGCACCGAGAGTGACTTGAAGAGGCGTTTCGATATGACTGACAGCGGCAAGTGCGCGTTCGTATTGGGCATCGAGCTGGTGAACAACATCGACGGTAGTGTGACAATGTGTCAGCGACGATACGTGGACGATGTTCTCAAGCGTTTTGGCATGAATGATTGCAAGGCCGTCATCAGTCCAACGGATATCAGTTCTCGACTCACACCAAGCGACGCAGCATCCAAGAACAACGCTCCGTCTCGTGAAGCAGTAGGTGCTTTGATGCACTTAATGACCGCGACAAGACCGGACATTGCTTTTGTTGTGGGCTACGTTTCGCGCTTCATGGGGAACCCCCAAGTCGATGGCATTCAAGCGCATTCTTCGTTATCTACAAGAAACCAAGTCACACGGCATCTTCGTTAAACCCGACAACAAGGTGGATTTATGTGGCGACTCGGATGCAGACTAGCCCAGTGATCATGAAGACCGCAAGTCGACTTCAGAATGTGCGTATATCCTGATGGGTGCTCCGATAAGCTGGAAAAGCAAGAAGCAATCAAGTGTATCGCTATCGACAAGCGAAGCAGAGTACGTCGCGCTAAGTCTGGCAATTAACGAAGGCAAGTGGGTGCATCGCCTATTATGCGAGATTCTGAATGCCGCAGAGGACAAGCCCAGACCCGAGCTCAAGATCATGGAAGACAATTAATCGTGCATCAAGATGACGAAGAATCCTGTGAACCATGGTCGGGCCAAGCACGTCAACACCAAGTACCACCACAGTCGCGATGAAGTCAAGCGTGGTGATGATACGTTGGAGTACGGTGAGACTGCGATGATGATGGCGGACATCATGACAAAGGGACTGCCAGGACCGCGTCACACGGAATTGACGGCAGCGCTTGGCATACACGCGTGTTCGCATTGAGGGGGCGTATCGTGGGTTGACGGTTAAGGTACTATTATCAGATACCGTGTAAACCGTAAACCTGTCCAAGTCGGTCTCACGTAATTACGGTGAGCGCTTACCAATGATTAGACGCATAGGAAGATTGGATGACCTACATGTTCTATGATTTATGATTTAAATGTGCAAAATACATGAATCAGGACACGGATCAATCAGGTAGCTTAAACAACCCAGAAATAAATTCACTTCCAAAGATTTCCTTCTCCGTCGTAAGTCGTCTACAATTTGCAGTGCAGACTTCTTTCGTTTCTTCAAGCTTCGGTTCTTTCATCAAGTGCTCTTCAGACTTTATCAGGTTATAAGCCTAAGCGCGATGTCCTCTGCTCAAGATTCCGCCACCAAGATCTGCATCGACAAATTCGATGGTAAAAAATATGCGACGTGGAGCCGCTACATGCGCGGCGTGTTCCTGACCAAGTCGACGTGGAACAAGGTCATCAATAGAGTTGGGACTATCCTCGAAACGGTGGTCCTAGCCAAACGGTGAAGAGCGCGAAGTTGAAATCGAGGATGCACTTAATGTCTCAAGCATGAACAAGGATTACCATCACTGTCGATACCCCAGATTAACAAAAGCGGCAAGTTCTGAGTGGTGTTTGATAAGAGTGAGATGAAGATTTCGCGGATCAAAGACCTTCTTGAAGCAAGCATTGGAGTATTGAGGGTTACCGGTAGAATCCGAACCTAGCGCCTAGTTCTTACGAGATAGTTTTTACATCGGTAATTACCTCAGAGATGATTAGACGCGTAGGATGATTGGACGCGTGTAAATCAGGTTGATTAGATGCACCATGTGATTGGATGCAGTCTAGGGTAGGCAGAAGTTAAGACCTATAAATCAATCACTTTCGAATCCTCCCTCAAGTGAGCAAGTGTTCTCTGCTTCGTTCTCTCCGGTCTCTCCGCTTCGTTTTCTCTTCGCCTCGCGCTCAAGTTGCAACAGGTTATGAGCCCAAGCGCCATGTCGTCCAACAACACCTCGGCCAGTGTCTCCATCGATAAGTTCGATGGGGACAACTACTCAACCTGGTGTCGCTACATGCGCGGCGTGTTTCTGACGAAGTCAGTCTGGTACGTCGTGAACCGCGAAACGTCTCCAACCTTCACCGACACGCGAGCTTCCGACGAGTACGTCAAGGCGAGCAACATCGCGTTCGGGTTGATGTTGCTCCACATGGACGCCGACTACCACCATGTGGTCGACAACTGTGAAGAAGCATGGACAGCGTGGTCGCGGTTGAAGATGCTCTATGGTGGGTCGCAGAAGGCGGGACGCATCTACCTCAAGCGCCAGCTGTTCAGCATCAAGATGGCGGAAGGTGCCAACGTCTTGCACCATTGCAACGAAGTCTTGAACATCGGCGCCAAGCTCAGCAGCATCGGTGCCAAGATGGAAGACGAAGACATTGCGATCTGCTTGCTGCTCAGTCTCCCGAAGAGTTTCGAGAACGTGGTTCTGAACTTGGAGATGAGTAATGCAGAGCTGCGCACGCAAGATGTGGTCAAGGTGCTGACTAACGAGCACATCAAGCGACAAGGCAAGAAGATGACAACGGCAACGACAACGGTGAAGACTGAAGATGCGACAAAGGCATTCAGTACCGAGCGCAAGCCCTACCAATGCACATACTGCGGCAAGGTGGGGCACACGGCAGAGCGTTGCTGGACGAAGCAAAAGGATGAAAGTCGAGGAGCCCAACGCGGCGGCAATGGTCGTGGACGCGGGGCAAACAATGTCCAGTGGCGACATTATGATGAAGGCAACAGCTACGATCGAGTGGCGTTTGCAGTTTCGTTCGAATGCGGAGTTTCGACGAACAAGAATGGACCAGGAATGTGGGCCGTTGACAGCGGGGCAACACATCACATCTGCCACGACAAGTTCAAGTTTGCAAGCTTGGCCGAAGGCAATGATGGCGAGATCCTGGTGGCTGATGGCAACAAGGCGGCCATCAAAGGTGTGGGGACCATCGTGGAAAAGGTGATTCTGCCAAACGGGGAAGAGCGCGAGATCGAGATCAAGAACGCGCTCTATGTGCCCAGCATGAGCAAAAATCTGCTCTCGGTGCCGCAGATTAACAAGCACGGCAACTTCCAAGTGGTGTTTGACGGGGATACGATGTACGTCGCTCGCAAGGATTCCAATCAAGTGGTGGCAGCTGCGGATCTTGTAGACGGACTCTACTGGCTTCGCACGACGCAGCGATCGGCCAATGCGACATCACTCAGCAACGCTGTTGATCTACATGCGCGAATGGGCCATGCTCCAGTCGACGTGCTTCGCAGGATGGTGACAAGCCACATGATCAAGGACGCTCACATCCCTTCCAAGCCGAATGGATCAAGTGTGTGTCGAGGATGTCAGCAAGGGAAAATGGTCCAAAACCCATTCCCAAGCAATCGTGACAAGCGCACCTACAACACCTTCGAGATGCTTCACTTCGACATCTGCGGACCCATGGAAGAAAAATCTCTGGGTGGCAGCAAGTATCTGCTGCTGATCGTGGATGAAGCCAGCGGATGCATGAAGGGTTTTTGTCTGCATTCCAAGTCAGAGAGCGAAGAGTGCATCAAGAAGTACATCACGATGATGCAGACGCAGTTCAGCAAGAAGGTCAAGTTTTGTGCGCCACGACGAGCTTGCGAGTTTGCGACGAACTCGCTTCAAGATTTCTACGAAGTCGAAGGCATCGAGCAACAAACCACGGTGCCATACGCACATCAAGCCAATGGAACTGCTGAACGCGCGATTCGAACTATCGTCACCATCGGCCGTAGCATGCTTCATCATGCCAAGTTGCACAAGTGCTTCTGGGCTGAAGCGGCAATGACGGCCGTCTATGTGAAGAACCGTTTGCCGTCACCCAAGTTTCCACACAAGACACCGTTCGAGATTGTCTACAATTCTAAGCCAAGTGTCAAGCACATGCGCGTTTTTGGGTGCCAAGCATACATCTTGACCCCGAAGGAGAAACGACTCAAGTGGGATGCCAAGGCTCGTGCAGGTGTGTTCATGGGATACGAAGAAGTATCAAAAGCGTATCGAGTTTACGACATCGAAGCGGGGCAGGTGATGATAAGTCGCGATGTCAACTTCGATGAGTCGGCCTTTGGACTGTCGATGCTGATTTCCGATGACGATGTTGATGGCCTGGACTTCGAATCGATCGATCTTGATGATGAAGAACCGCGTCCGAGACACTTCAAACAAACAGGAAAGCGCAAGGCCCAACCCAGTCACGACAATGACGACGCAAGCATGCCCCGAGCAGTGCGCCAACGACCCGGATTGGAAGAGTCAAGTGCGCCGGATGACCTCTCTTCACGTCGAGCCAACGAAGATGAAGAAAGGAAGTCGGAGGAACAACATGACACACCGACTTCCTCCGCGTTTTGGCATGCGAGTGCAAACGCCGTCGAAGCAGCGGTCGATTTTTCGGAGCCGTCGGCATTTGAAGAAGCAGTGTCTGGCCCGGACCAAGTACACTGGCGCAAGGCAATTGATGCGGAGCTCGATTCGATGAAGCTTCGCGGTGTCTTTCGTGCGGCCAAGTTACCCAACGGACAAAGCGCCATCGGCACAAAGTGGGTCTTCAAGATCAAGCGCAAGGCGGATGGGTCGATCGAGAAATACAAGGCACGACTTGTGGCCAAGGGTTTTCGCCAAAAGTATGGCATCGACTACACGGAGACGTTCTCGCCCGTGGTCAAGTATGTGACGCTGCGAATGGTCATCGCCATTACCAAGCACTTTGGATGGCCCCTCGACCAGCTCGATGTGGTGACTGCGTTCCTGTATGGAGTGATGAAGGAGAAGATGTTCTGCGCTGTTCCGGAAGGCGTCAAGATGGAAGGTGATTTCGACTGTCTCGAGCTGATCAAGGCGATCTACGGTCTCAAGCAAGCCTCGCGTGTTTGGAACGAGACCTTCGACGAGTTCATACGCTCGATTGGTTTTCAAGCGTCGGGATTCGATCCATGTCTCTACATCATGACTTCGGAAGGCCATTGTGTTTTTGTGCTGGTCTACGTGGACGATGTCTTGGTGACTGGAAGCTCGCTCGAGATGATTGCGCGCACCAAGAACGACCTCAAGACACGCTTCGAGATGACGGACAGCGGCAAGTGTGCCTTTGTTCTTGGGATCGAGTTATTGGACGGTGAAGATGGCAGCGTGACTATGTGTCAGCGCCGTTATGTCGACGATGTCCTCAAGCGCTTTGGAATGGATGAGTGCAAGGCTGTGGCAAGTCCGGTGGACGTCAGCTCTCGACTGGTTCCGAGCAACTCTGCAAGCAAGGTGGATGTCCCATTCCGTGAAGCAGTGGGTGCTTTGATGCATCTGACGACTGCAACGCGACCGGACATCGCCTATGCTGTAAGCTTTGTGTCACGGTTCATGGAGAAACCCCAAGAAGAACACTGGGTTGCAGTCAAGCGCATCTTCCGCTACCTACAAGGCACCAAGATGCATGGAATCTGCTACAAGCCAAGTGCGAAGATCGACTTTCGTGGCTATTCAGATGCAGACTGGGCCGGTGACCTTGCTGATCGCAAATCGACGTCCGGCTACGTCTTCATGCTATTGGGTGCTCCGGTGAGTTGGGGCAGCAAGAAACAGCCAAGTGTGTCACTGTCTACAAGCGAAGCGGAGTACATCGCGCTCAGCCTGGCGATCCAAGAAGGCAAGTGGATCAATCGCTTGCTGTGCGAGATCATGGCGGCTGCAAACGAAGAAGGACCCGAGCTCGTCATCCGTGAAGACAACCAGTCGTGCATCAAGATGACGAAGAATCCGGTCAACCACGGCCGCGCTAAACACATCGACATCAAGTACCATCACATCCGTGATGAAGTCAAGCGCGGCGAAGTGAAGCTTGAATACTGCGAGACGACGTTGATGTTGGCGGACATCATGACGAAGGGACTTCACGGACCGCGTCACAAGGACTTGACGGCGGCGCTTGGCATCCGTGCGTGTTCGGATTGAGGGGGCGTACTGAGGTTTACCGGTACAATCCGAACCTAGCGCGTAGTTCTTACGAGATAGTTTTAACATCGGTAATTACCTCAGAGATGATTAGACGCGTAGGATGATTGGACGCGTGTAAATCAGGTTGATCAGATGCACCATGTGATTGGATGCAGTCTAGGGTAGGCAGAAGTTAAGACCTATAAATCAATCACTTTCGAATCCTCCCTCAAGTGAGCAAGTGTTCTCTGCTTCGTTCTCTCCGGTCTCTCCGCTTCGTTTTCTCTTCGCCTCGCGCTCAAGTTACAACACAGCTGTTCAGCATGGAGATGGAGGAAGGCGGCAATTTCATGCATCATTGCAACAACGTTTTCAACACCAGCGCCAAGCTCAGCAGTATCGGCGCCAAGATGGAGGATGAGGACATGGAGATCTGCTTGTTGTGCAGTCTCCCCAAGAGCTATGAGAACGTTGCTCTCAACTTGGAGACGAGCAGCGCAGAACTGCGGTCGCAAGACGTCGTGAGAGTGCTTACGAATGAGCACATCAAGAGACAACGAAACACGACGACATTGGTGAAGACTGAAGAAGCAACCAAGGCCTTCAGCACCGAGCGTGAATTCCGTCAATGTACGTTCTGCGGAAAATTGGGGCACGTGGTGATAAAGTGCTGGACCAAACAGAGGGAAGACGACCGAGGAGATCGACGCAGCGGCAACAAGGGCCGTGCCATTGGGCTCGTGGACGCGGAGCGAATCAAGTCCAATGGCACGGCTACAACGGCAACGGCAACAACTAAGACCATGATCGAGTGGCGTTTGCTGTTTCGCTGGAATGCGAGCTTTCGACAGCCAAGACCATGGTGGAAATGTGGGCGATTTACAGCAGCAACGCACCACATCTTCAATGAAAAGTCCAAGTTTGAAGTTCTGGACGAGCGCAATGAAGGTGATGTGCTGGTTGCAGACGGAAACAAGGCTGCGATCAATAGAGTTGGGACTATCGTCGAAAAGGTGGTCCTACCAAACGGTGAAGAGCGCGAAGTTGAAATCGAGGATGCACTTAATGTCTCAAGCATGAACAAGAACCTACTGTCGATACCCCAGATTAACAAAAGCGGCAAGTTCCAAGTGGTGTTTGATAAGAGTGAGATGAAGATTTCGCACAAAGACTCCAAGCAAGCATTGGAGTATTGAGGGTTACCGGTACAATCCGAACCTAGCGCCTAGTTCTTACGAGATAGTTTTTACATCGGTAATTACCTCAGAGATGATTAGACGCGTAGGATGATTGGACGCGTGTAAATCAGGTTGATCAGATGCACCATGTGATTGGATGCAGTCTAGGGTAGGCAGAAGTTAAGACCTATAAATCAATCACTTTCGAATCCTCCCTCAAGTGAGCAAGTGTTCTCTGCTTCGTTCTCTCCGGTCTCTCCGCTTCGTTTTCTCTTCGCCTCGCGCTCAAGTTGCAACAGGTTATGAGCCCAAGCGCCATGTCGTCCAACAACACCTCGGCCAGTGTCTCCATCGATAAGTTCGATGGGGACAACTACTCAACCTGGTGTCGCTACATGCGCGGCGTGTTTCTGACGAAGTCAGTCTGGTACGTCGTGAACCGCGAAACGTCTCCAACCTTCACCGACACGCGAGCTTCCGACGAGTACGTCAAGGCGAGCAACATCGCGTTCGGGTTGATGTTGCTCCACATGGACGCCGACTACCACCATGTGGTCGACAACTGTGAAGAAGCATGGACAGCGTGGTCGCGGTTGAAGATGCTCTATGGTGGGTCGCAGAAGGCGGGACGCATCTACCTCAAGCGCCAGCTGTTCAGCATCAAGATGGCGGAAGGTGCCAACGTCTTGCACCATTGCAACGAAGTCTTGAACATCGGCGCCAAGCTCAGCAGCATCGGTGCCAAGATGGAAGACGAAGACATTGCGATCTGCTTGCTGCTCAGTCTCCCGAAGAGTTTTGAGAACGTGGTTCTGAACTTGGAGATGAGCAATGCAGAGCTGCGCACGCAAGATGTGGTCAAGGTGCTGACTAACGAGCACATCAAGCGACAAGGCGAGAAGATGACAACGGCAACGACAACGGTGAAGACTGAAGATGCGACAAAGGCATTCAGTACCGAGCGCAAGCCCTACCAATGCACATACTGCGGCAAGGTGGGGCACACGGCAGAGCGTTGCTGGACGAAGCAAAAGGATGAAAGTCGAGGAGCCCAACGCGGCGGCAATGGTCGTGGACGCGGGGCAAACAATGTCCAGTGGCGACATTATGATGAAGGCAACAGCTACGATCGAGTGGCATTTGCAGTTTCGTTCGAATGCGGAGTTTCGACGAACAAGAATGGACCAGGAATGTGGGCCGTTGACAGCGGGGCAACACATCACATCTGCCACGACAAGTTCAAGTTTGCAAGCTTGGTCGAAGGCAATGATGGCGAGATCCTGGTGGCTGATGGCAACAAGGCGGCCATCAAAGGTGTGGGGACCATCGTGGAAAAGGTGATTCTGCCAAACGGGGAAGAGCGCGAGATCGAGATCAAGAACGCGCTCTATGTGCCCAGCATGAGCAAAAATCTGCTCTCGGTGCCGCAGATTAACAAGCACGGCAACTTCCAAGTGGTGTTTGACGGGGATACGATGTACGTCGCTCGCAAGGATTCCAATCAAGTGGTGGCAGCTGCGGATCTTGTAGACGGACTCTACTGGCTTCGCACGACGCAGCGATCGGCCAATGCGACATCACTCAGCAACGCTGTTGATCTACATGCGCGAATGGGCCATGCTCCAGTCGACGTGCTTCGCAGGATGGTGACAAGCCACATGATCAAGGACGCTCACATCCCTTCCAAGCCGAATGGATCAAGTGTGTGTCGAGGATGCCAAGAAGGGAAGATGGTCCAAAAACCATTCCCGAGCAACCGTGACAAGCGCACCTACAACACCTTCGAGATGCTTCACTTCGACATCTGCGGACCCATGGAAGAAAAATCTCTGGGTGGCAGCAAGTATCTGCTGCTGATCGTGGATGAAGCCAGCGGATGCATGAAGGGTTTTTGTCTGCATTCCAATTCAGAGAGCGAAGAGTGCATCAAGAAGTACATCACGATGATGCAGACGCAGTTCAGCAAGAAGGTCAAGTTTTGTGCGCCACGACGAGCTTGCGAGTTTGCGACGAACTCGCTTCAAGATTTCTACGAAGTCGAAGGCATCGAGCAACAAACCACGGTGCCATACGCACATCAAGCCAATGGAACTGCTGAACGCGCGATTCGAACTATCGTCACGATCGGCCGCAGCATGCTTCACCATGCCAAGTTGCACAAGTGCTTCTGGGCTGAAGCGGCAATGACGGCCGTCTATGTGAAGAACCGTTTGCCGTCACCCAAGATTCCACACAAGACACCGTTCGAGATTGTCTACAATTCTAAGCCAAGTGTCAAGCACATGCGCGTTTTGGGTGCCAAGCATACATCTTGACCCCGAAGGAGAAACGACTCAAGTGGGATCCCAAGGCCCGGGCTGGATTGTTTTTGGGCTACGAAGAAGTGTCCAAGGCGTATCGAGTTTACGACATCGAAGCGGGGCAGGAGACGATAAGTCGCGATGTCAACTTCGATGAGTCGGCCTTTGGACTGTCGATGCTGATTTCCGATGACGATGTTGATGGCGTGGACTTCGAATCGATCGATCTTGATGATGAAGAACCGCGTCCGAGACACTTCAAACAAACAGGAAAGCGCAAGGCCCAACCCAGTCACGACAATGACGACACAAGCATGCCCCGAGCAGTGCGCCAACGACCCGGATTGGAAGAGTCAAGTGCGCCGGATGACCTCTCTTCACGTCGAGCCAACGAAGATGAAGAAAGGAAGTCGGAGGAACAACATGACACACCGACTTCCTCCGCGTTTTGGCATGCGAGTGAAAACGCCGTCGAAGCAGCGGTCGATTTTTCGGAGCCGTCGGCATTTGAAGAAGCAGTGTCTGGCCCGGACCAAGTACACTGGCGCAAGGCAATTGATGCGGAGCTCGATTCGATGAAGCTTCGCGGTGTCTTTCGTGCGGCCAAGTTACCCAACGGACAAAGCGCCATCGGCACAAAGTGGGTCTTCAAGATCAAGCGCAAGGCGGATGGGTCGATCGAGAAATACAAGGCACGACTTGTGGCCAAGGGTTTTCGCCAAAAGTATGGCATCGACTACACGGAGACGTTCTCGCCCGTGGTCAAGTATGTGACGCTGCGAATGGTCATTGCCATTACCAAGCACTTTGGATGGCCCCTCGACCAGCTCGATGTGGTGACTGCGTTCCTGTATGGAGTGATGAAGGAGAAGATGTTCTGCGCTGTTCCGGAAGGCGTCAAGATGGAAGGTGATTTCGACTGTCTCGAGCTGATCAAGGCGATCTACGGTCTCAAGCAAGCCTCGCGTGTTTGGAACGAGACCTTCGACGAGTTCATACGCTCGATCGGTTTTCAAGCGTCGGGATTCGATCCATGTCTCTACATCATGACTTCGGAAGGCCATTGTGTTTTTGTGCTGGTCTACGTGGACGATGTCTTGGTGACTGGAAGCTCGCTCGAGATGATTGCGCGCACCAAGAACGACCTCAAGACACGCTTCGAGATGACGGACAGCGGCAAGTGTGCCTTTGTTCTTGGGATCGAGTTATTGGACGGTGAAGATGGCAGCGTGACTATGTGTCAGCGCCGTTATGTCGACGATGTCCTCAAGCGCTTTGGAATGGATGAGTGCAAGGCTGTGGCAAGTCCGGTGGACGTCAGCTCTCGACTGGTTCCGAGCAACTCTGCAAGCAAGGTGGATGTCCCATTCCGTGAAGCAGTGGGTGCTTTGATGCATCTGACGACTGCAACGCGACCGGACATCGCCTATGCTGTAAGCTTTGTGTCACGGTTCATGGAGAAACCCCAAGAAGAACACTGGGTTGCAGTCAAGCGCATCTTCCGCTACCTACAAGGCACCAAGATGCATGGAATCTGCTACAAGCCAAGTGCGAAGATCGACTTTCGTGGCTATTCAGATGCAGACTGGGCCGGTGACCTTGCTGATCGCAAATCGACGTCCGGCTACGTCTTCATGCTATTGGGTGCTCCGGTGAGTTGGGGCAGCAAGAAACAGCCAAGTGTGTCACTGTCTACAAGCGAAGCGGAGTACATCGCGCTCAGCCTGGCGATCCAAGAAGGCAAGTGGATCAATCGCTTGCTGTGCGAGATCATGGCGGCTGCAAACGAAGAAGGACCCGAGCTCGTCATCCGTGAAGACAACCAGTCGTGCATCAAGATGACGAAGAATCCGGTCAACCACGGCCGCGCTAAACACATCGACATCAAGTACCATCACATCCGTGATGAAGTCAAGCGCGGCGAAGTGAAGCTTGAATACTGCGAGACGACGTTGATGTTGGCGGACATCATGACGAAGGGACTTCACGGACCGCGTCACAAGGACTTGACGGCGGCGCTTGGCATCCGTGCGTGTTCGGATTGAGGGGGCGTATTGAGGGTTACCGGTACAATCCGAACCTAGCGCGTAGTTCTTACGAGATAGTTTTTACATCGGTAATTACCTCAGAGATGATTAGACGCGTAGGATGATTGGACGCGTGTAAATCAGGTTGATTAGATGCACCATGTGATTGGATGCAGTATAGGGTAGGCAGAAGTTAAGACCTATAAATCAATCACTTTCGAATCCTCCCTCAAGTGAGCAAGTGTTCTCTGCTTCGTTCTCTCCGGTCTCTCCGCTTCGTTTTCTCTTCGCCTCGCGCTCAAGTTGCAACATGGAGATGGCGGATATTATGAATGGACCCTACTGGATTCGCACACCACAACGATCTGTGAATGCTACTTCGCGGCTGAAATTTGAAGGTTTTCATGCGCGAATGGGCCATGCTTCAGTCGACGTACTTCGCAAGATGGTGACAAGCAACATGATTAAAGACGCTTACATCCCTTTCAAACCGAGTGTGTGTCGAGGATGTCAGGAAGGGAAGATGGTTCAAAACCATTCTCGAGAAACCGTGACAAGCGCACCTTCAATACCTTCGAGATGCTCCACTTCGACACCTGAGGACCCATGGAAGACAAATCTTTAAGGGACAGCAAGTATCTGCTGCGTGTCGCGGATGAAACCAGCGGGTGCATAGAGGATTTTTGTCTGCATGCCAAGTCGGAGAGTGAGGAGTGAATCAAGAGGTACATCACGATTGTCCAAAAGCAGATCAGCATTATTGTGGGTTGACGGTTGAAGTACTGCTATCAGCTACCATGGGAACCGTAAACCTGTCCAAGTCGATCCCGCGTAATTACGGTGAGTTTTTACAAATGATTAGACGCATAGGATGGTTGGATGACCTACATGATTTATGATTCATGATTTATATGTGGACAACATATAAATCAGTGCAGAGATAAATCAGGTAGCTTTAACAAAACCCACAAATAAATTCACTTCCAAATATTCCTTCTTCAGCACAAGTCGTCTACACTTCGCAGTGCAGACTTCTTTCAAGCCTTTCAAGCTTCGTTCTCTCGTCCAGTGCTCTTCAGACTTTAACAGGTTATGAGCCCAAGCACGATGTCCTCTGCTCAAGATTCCGCCACCAAGATCTCTATCGATAGATTCGATGGAGACAACTACGCGACGTGGAGCCGCTACATGCGTGGCGTGTTCCTGACCAAGTCGACGTGGCACGTGGTCAACCGGGAGACCACCCCCACCTTCGCCGATCCTCGCGCCAGTGATGAGTACGTCAAGACGAACAACATTGCGTTCGGCTTGATGTTACTTCACATGAGCGCGGACTATCATCACGTGGTTGATGACTGCGACGAGGCATGGGTTGCGTGGACACGGTTGAAGACTCTCTACGGCGGATCGCAGAAGGCGGGACGGATCTTCTTGAAGCGGCAGCTGTTCAGCATGGAGATGGCGGAAGGCGGCAATTTCATGCATCATTGCAATGAAGTTCTCAACATCAGCGCCAAGCTCAGCAGCATCGGCGCCAAGATGGAGGATGAGGACGTGGCGATCTGCTTGTTGTGCAGCCTCCCCAAGAGCTACGAGAACGTCGTGCTGAACTTGGAGATGAGCAGCGCGGAACTGCGGACGCAAGACGTCGTGAAAGTGCTGACGAATGAGCACATCAAGAGACAAGGGAAAAAGACGACATCGGTGAAAACTGAAGAAGCGACCAAGGCCTTCAGTACCGAGCGTGAGGTTCGTCAGTGTACGTTCTGCGGAAAATTGGGGCACACGGTGGAAAAGTGCTGGACCAAGCAGAAGGAAGACAATCGAGGGAGCTCGACGCGGCGGCAATGCACGTGGACGCGGAGCGAATCAAGTTCAGTGGCAAGGCTACAACGGCAACAGCAACTGTGACTATGATCGAGTGGCGTTTGCTGTTTCGCTGGAATGCGGACTTTCAACGACCAAGAGCATGTCTGGAATGTGGGCGATTGATAGCGGTGCAACACATCACATCTGCTATGACAAGTCCAAGTTCGAATTTCTGGACGAGCGCAATGAAGGCGAAGTGTTGGTTGCAGATGGGAACAAGGCTGCGATCAACGGTGTCGGGACAATCATCGAAAAGGTGACCCTGTCCAACGGTGAAGAGCGCGAAGTCGAGATCAAGAACGCGCTTTACGTCCCAAGCATGAACAAGAACTTGCTGTCGATACCACAAATCAACAAAAGCGGCAAGTTTCAAGTGGTGTTTGATGGTGACGAGATGAAGATTTCGCACAAAGGCTCCAAGCAAGTAATAGCGATGGCCGATCTTGTGGATGGCCTCTAATGGCTTCATACATCCCAACGATCGGTGAATGCGGCTTCAGGACCAAGAGTCGAAAACCTTCATGCGCGTATGGGCCACGCACCGATTGATGTCTTGTGCAGAATGGTCTCCAAGGGCATGATCAAGGATGCCAAGAAGCCAGAAAAATTGAGCGTATCAAGCGTGTGTCAAGGTTGTCTAGAAGGAAAAATGGTTCAACGACCGTTCCCGAGCAATCCAAACAAGCGCCACTACGATCCGTTTGAGCTTCTACACATCGACACTTGTGGTCCAATGGAAGTCGACTCTCTAGGTGGAAGCAAGTACTTGCTGCTGATCGTCGATGAAGGCAGCGGATGTATGAAGGGTTTCAGTCTGCGCGCCAAGTCCGACAGCGAAGAGTGCATCAAGAAGTACATCATGGCAGTACAGACGCAGTTTGACTACAAGGTCAAGTTCGTTCGACACGATGGTGCACGAGAATTTGCGGCGAATTCGCTCAAGGCATTTTACGATGATCAAGGAATCGAGCAGCAAGTTACCGTTCCGTATGCGCATCAGACCAACGGCACGGCGGAACGGGCAATTCGGACTATTGTGACGATCGGGCGCAGCATGCTTCACTACGCCAAGCTGGACAAGTGTTTTTGGGCTGAAGCAGCAATGACGGCAATCTACATCAAGAATCGCCTACCATCGCCCAAGTGCCAAGATCAAACCCCCGTTCGAGATCGTCAACGGATTTCGACCAAGTGTGAAGCACATGCGGGTTTTCGGCTGCCGAACGTTTGTGCTGACCCCTAAGGAAAAGAGATCGAAATGGGATCCGAAGGCTCGTGAAGGACTATTCATGGGGTACGAAGAAGTGTCAAAGGCATATCGCGTTTACGACATTGAAGCGGACCAAGTGGTGATATCTCGCGATGTCACATTCGACGAATCAACGCTTGGTTTCTCGCCGAGGCTACCACAAGAAATTGTTGATGACACTGCGCTGGATATCGAATCGATGAACATCAACGATGAGCCTCACCCCATGCAGTTCAAGCAAACTGGAAAACGCAAAAGCCGTTCAATCAGTCAAGAACAAGTTCTGCAACGGACACTTCTTGAGCGTCGTGGAACCGGGTTAGAAGAAGCAAGTGCTCCGGATGACTCTGAATCGCACCAAGCGAAGCGACGATCAAGCGCTCGAGACAATCTGGACGAAGAGCAAAAGGGCAGTGACGAAGATAACGAGGATGCTACACCTCAAGTCTTTTGGCGAGCGAGTGCCAATGCAGTCGAAGGTACTGACTTGTCTGAGCCGACAACGTTTGGAGATGCTGTTGGTGGACCAGATCAAGTGCATTGGCGTAAGGCAATCTGTGCCGAGTTGGACTCGATGAAACTTCGTGGCGTGTTTCGAGCGACCAAACTGCCGTCTGGACAGCATACCATTGGAACCAAGTGGGTATTCAAGATCAAGCGGAAAGCTGACGGATCCATCGAGAAATACAAGGCGCGCCTCGTGGCAAAAGGGTTCAAGCAGAAATATGGCATCGACTACACGGAAACGTTTTCGCCGGTAGTCAAGTACGTGACGCTGCGCATGGTGGTTGCAATCACGAAGTACTTTGGCTGGACACTGGACCAACTGGACGTGGTGACAGCTTTCCTTTACGGAGAAATGAAGGAAAAGGTATTCTGCGCGATCCCAGAAGGAGTCGAAGTTGATGAAGACTTTGACTGCTTTGAACTGGTCAAGGCGATCTACGGACTAAAACAAGCATCGCGCGTATGGAACGAGACTTTTCATGAGTTCGTCTGCTCCATTGGATTTCAAGTCTCCGATTTTGACCCGTGTCTTTATCTCAAGATTACAAGTAACGAGTGCGTGCTTTTGCTGGTATACGTCGATGATGTGTTGGTGACTGGCAGCTCAACCGAACTGATTATGCGTACCAAGAGTGACTTAAAGGCGCGTTTCGAAATGACCGACAGTGGGAAGTGCTCATTCGTGTTGGACATCGAGCTGGTGGACAACGACGACGGTAGCGTGACGATGTGCCAGCGACGCTACGTGGAAGATGTTCTCAAGCGTTTTGGCATGAGCGACTGCAAAGCCGTCACCAGCCCAACAGACATCAGTTCTCGACTCATACCAAGTACCGCAGCAACTAAAATCGACGCCCCGTTTCGTGAAGCAGTAGGCGCTCTGATGCACTTGATGACCGCGACACGACCGGACATTGCCTTTGCTGTGAGTTACGTTTCGCGCTTCATGGAGAACCCCCAAGTCGAGCATTGGATGGCGGTCAAGCGCATTTTGCGATACTTACAAGGGACTAAGTCGCACGGTATCTGCTTCAAGCCTGATGACAAGATAGACTTCTGTGGCTACTCGGATGCAGACTGGGCCGGCGACCATGCAGACCGCAAGTCGACTTCAGGATATGCGTTTATCCTGATGGGTGCTCCGGTGAGCTGGGGAAGCAAAAAGCAGTCAAGTGTGTCGCTGTCAACAAGTGAAGCTGAGTACATTGCACTAAGTCTGGCGATTCAAGAAGGCAAGTGGGTGCATAGATTGCTGTGCGAGATTCTGGATGCCGCAGAGGACAAGTCTGGACCCGAGCTCAAGATCATGGAAGACAACCAGTCGTGCATCAAGATGACGAAGAATCCTGTGAACCATGGTCGGGCCAAGCACATCGACATCAAGTACCACCACATTCGTGATGAAGTCAAGCGTGGTGATGTCAAGTTGGAGTACTGTGAGACTACGATCATGTTGGCGGACATCATGACGAAGGGACTGCCAGGACCGCGCCACAAGGACTTGACGGAAGCGCTCGGCATACACGCGTGTTCGCATTGAGGGGGCGTATTGTGGGTTGACGGTTGAAGTACTGCTATCAGCTACCATGGGAACCGTAAACCTGTCCAAGTCGATCCCGCGTAATTACGGTGAGTTTTTACCAATGATTAGACGCATAGGATGATTGGATGACCTACATGATTTATGATTCATGATTCATACGTGGACAACATATAAATCAGTGCAGAGATAAATCAGGTAGCTTTAACAAAACCCACAAATAAATTCACTTCCAAATATTCCTTCTTCAGCACAAGTCGTCTACACTTCGCAGTGCAGACTTCTTTCAAGCCTTTCAAGCTTCGTTCTCTCGTCCAGTGCTCTTCAGACTTTAACAAGCATAAAGGTCAAGTTTGTGTGACACGATAGATCCCGCAAGTTTGCGACAAGCTCGCTTCAAGATTTCTACGAAGTCGAAGGCATCGAACAGCAAACCACGGTGTCATCTGCTGATCAATCCAACGGAACTGCTGAACGCGCAACTCGGACTGTCATCACCATCGGTCGCAGCATGCTTCATCATGTCAAAATGGACAAGCGCTTCTAGGCTGAAGCGGCAATGACGGCAGTCTAAGTGAAGAACCATTTGCCGTCACCCAAGATCCTACACAAGACACCGTTCGAGATTGTCTACAATTCCAAGTCAAGTGTCAAGCACATGCGCGGTTTTGGGTGCCACACTTACATCTTGACCCCGAAGGAGAAACAACTCAAGCGGAATCCCAAGGCACGTACTGGGTTGATTTTGGGCTACGAAGAAATGTCCAAGGCATATCGAGTTTATGACATTGAAGTGGGGCAGGAGACGATAAGTCGTGATGTCAACTTTGAAGAGTCAGCCTTTGGACTTTCTATGCTGATTTCCGATGACGGTGTTGGTGGACAGGACGTCGAATCCTTTGATCTTGATGATAAAGATCCGCTTTCTAGATACTTCAAAATGAATAGGAATGCGCAAGGCCTAACTCAGTCACAAAGATGAAGATACAAATATGCCCCGAGCAGTGCGCCAACGACCCAGATTGGAAGGGGCAAGTGCTTCAGATGACCTCTCTTCACGTCGAGCCAATAAAGATGAAGGAAGTCAGTCGAGCAACGTGACACACCAACTTCTTTCGCATTTCAACAGGTAAGTGCAAACGCTGTCGAAGCAGCAGTGCATCTTTGAGCCCGTCGATATTTAGAGAAGCAGTGACTGGCCCGGACCAAGCGCACTAGCGCAAGGCAATTAATGCAGAGCTCGAGTCAATGCGACTTCGCGTGTGTTTCGTGCGGCCAAGTTACCCATCGGGTGAAGCGCCATTGGCACAAAGTGAGTCTTCAAGATCAAGCGCAAGGCGGATGGGTCGATCGAGAAATACAAGGCACGACTTGCGGCCAAGGGTTTTCGCCAAAATTATGACATCGACTACACGGAGACGTTCTCGCCCGTGGTCAAGTACGTGATGCTGTGCATAGTAATCGCGAGCACCAAGTACTTCAAATGGTCACTGGACTAACTGGACATGGTGAAAGCCTTCTTGTACGGAAAGATGAAAAAAAGGTGTTCTGCGCGATCCCAGCAGGTGTCGACATTGATGAAGACTTTGACTGCATCGAATTGGTGAAGGCGATCTACGGACTGAAACAAGCATTGCGGGTATGGAACGAGACTTTCTATGACTTTGTTTACTCGATTGTATTTCAACAGTCCGACTTCGACCCATGCCTCTATCTCAAGGTCGCAAGCGGAAAGTGCGTGCTGTTTTTGGTCTCGTCGATGATGTGTTGGTAACGGGCAGTTCAACTGAGGTGATTGTGCGCACCAAGAGTGACTTGAAGAGGCGTTTCGATATGACTGACAGCGGCAAGTGCGCGTTCGTATTGGGCATCGAGCTGGTGAACAACATCGACGGTAGTGTGACAATGTGTCAGCGACGATACGTGGACGATGTTCTCAAGCGTTTTGGCATGAGTGATTGCAAGGCCGTCATCAGTCCAACGGATATCAGTTCTCGACTCACACCAAGCGACGCAGCAACCAAGAACAACGCTCCGTCTCGTGAAGCAGTAGGTGCTTTGATGCACTTAATGACCGCGACAAGACCGGACGTTGCTTTTGTTGTGGGCTACGTTTCGCGTTCCATGGAGAACCCCAAGTCGAGCATTGGATGGCAGTCAAGCGCATTCTTCGTTATCTACAAGAAACCAAGTCACACGGCATCTTCGTTAAACCCGACAACAAGGTGGATTTATGTGGCGACTCGGATGCAGACTAGCCCAGTGATCATGAAGACCGCAAGTCGACTTCAGAATGTGCGTCTATCCTGATGGGTGCTCCGATAAGCTGGAAAAGCAAGAAGCAATCAAGTGTATCGCTATCGACAAGCGAAGCAGAGTACGTCGCGCTAAGTCTGGCAATTAAAGAAGGCAAGTGGGTGCATCGCCTATTATGCGAGATTCTGAATGCCGCAGAGGACAAGCCCAGACCCGAGCTCAAGATCATGGAAGACAATCAATCGTGCATCAAGATGACGAAGAATCCTGTGAACCATGGTCGGGCCAAGCACGTCAACACCAAGTACCACCACAGTCGCGATGAAGTCAAGCGTGGTGATGATACGTTGGAGTACGGTGAGACTGCGATGATGATGGCGGACATCATGACAAAGGGACTGCCAGGACCGCGTCACACGGAATTGACGGCAGCGCTTGGCATACACGCGTGTTCGCATTGAGGGGGCGTATCGTGGGTTGACGGTTAAGGTACTATTATCAGATACCGTGTAAACCGTAAACCTGTCCAAGTCGGTCTCACGTAATTACGGTGAGCGCTTACCAATGATTAGACGCATAGGAAGATTGGATGACCTACATGTTCTATGATTTATGATTTAAATGTGCAAAATACATGAATCAGGACACGGATCAATCAGGTAGCTTAAACAACCCAGAAATAAATTCACTTTCAAAGATTTCCTCTCCTTCGTAAGTCGTCTACACTTTGCACTGCAGACCTCTTTCGTTTCTTCAAGCAAGTAGTTTGAACAAATCCACAAAAAATTCACTTCCAAATATTTCCTTCTCCGTCGTAAGTCGTCTACACTTTGCAGTGCAGACTTCTTTCGTTTCTTCAAGCTTCGGTTCTCTCATCAAGTGCTCTTCAGACTTTATCAGGTTATAAGCATAAGCGCAATGTCCTCTGCTCAAGATTCCACCACCAAGATCTGCATCGACAAATTCGATGGTAAAAAATATGCGACGTGGAGCCGCTACATGCGCGGCGTGTTCCTGACCAAGTCGGCGTGGTACGTGGTCAACCGGGAGACCACCCTCCTTCGCTGATCCTTGCGCCAGTGACGAGTATGTCAAGACGAACAACATTGCGATCGGCTTGATGCTGCCTCACATGAGCGCGGATTACCATCACGTGGTTGATGAGTGTAAAGAAGCGTGGGTTGCGTGGGCACGGCTGAAGACTCTCTACGGCGGATCTCAGAAGGCGGGAAGGACCTTCTTGAAGCGACAGCTGTTCAGCGTGGATGTGGAGGAAGGCGGCAATTTCATGCATCATTGCAACAACGTTCTCAACACCAGCGCTAAGTTCAGCAGCATCGGCGCCAAGATGGAGGATGAGGACGTGGCGATCTGCTTGTTGTGCAGCCTCCCCAAGAGCTACGAGAACGTCGTGCTGAACTTGGAGATGAGCAGCGCGGAACTGCGGACGCAAGACGTCGTGAAAGTGCTGACGAATGAGCACATCAAGAGACAACGAAACACGACGACATTGGTGAACACTGAAGAAGCGACCAAGGCCTTCAGCACCGAGCGTAAATTCCGTCAATGTACGTTCTGCGGAAAATTGGGGCACACGGTGATAATGTGCCGGACCAAACAGAGGGAAGATGACCGAGGAGATCGACGCAGCGGCAACAAGGGCCGTGCCATTGGGCTCGTGGACGTGGAGCGAATCAAGTCCAATGGCACGGCTACAACGGCAACGGCAAACACTACGACCATGATCGAGTGGCGTTTGCTGTTTCGCTGGAATGCGAGCTTTCGACAGCCAAGACCATGGTGGAAATGTGGGCGATTTACAGCAGCAACGTACCACATCTTTAATGAAAAGTCCAAGTTTGAAGTTCTGGACGAGCGCAATGAAGGTGATGTGCTGGTTGCAGACGGAAACAAGGCTGCGATCAATAGAGTTGGGACTATCGTCGAAAAGGTGGTCCTACCAAACGGTGAAGAGCGCGAAGTCGAAATCGAGGATGCATTTAATGTCTCGACCATGAACAAGAACCTACTGTCTATACCCCAGATTAACAAAAGCGGCAAGTTCTGAGTGGTGTTTGATAAGAGTGAGATGAAGATTTCGCACAAAGACTCCAAGCAAGCATTGGAGATGGCGGATATTATGAATGGACCCTACTGGATTCGCACACCACAACGATCTGTGAATGCTACTTCGCGGCTGAAATTTGAAGATATTCATGCGCGAATGGGCCATGCTCCAGTCGACGTACTTCGCAAGATGGTGACAAGCAACATGATTAAAGACGCTTACATCCCTTTCAAACCGAGTGTGTGTCGAGGATGTCAGGAAGGGAAGATGGTTCAAAACCATTCTCGAGAAACCGTGACAAGCGCACCTTCAATACCTTCGAGATGCTCCACTTCGACACCTGAGGACCCATGGAAGACAAATCTTTAAGGGACAGCAAGTATCTGCTGCTTGTCGCGGATGAAACCAGCGGGTGCATAGAGGATTTTTGTCTGCATGCCAAGTCGGAGAGTGAGGAGTGAATCAAGAGGTACATCACGATTGTCCAAAAGCAGATCAACATAAAGGTCAAGTTTGTGTGACACGATGGATCCCGCGAGTTTGCGACAAGCTCGCTTCAAGATTTCTACGAAGTCGAAGGCATCGAGCAGCAAACCACGGTGTCATCCGCTGATCAAGCCAACGGAACTGCTGAACGCGCAACTCGGACTGTCATCACCATCGGTCGCAGCATGCT